CCGCGCGCGCCCTCTGCCAGCCACCCCTGCCCCAGCCGCACGTCCCCCGCTGAGCGCCGCCGCCGGCCCGCACACGCAGCGCGGTCATCTGCGAGGACCCGGACGACGTCGCCGCCTTTGCCAACTACGTGCCTTCGATCAAGAAGGTGCCGAGCGGACAGTTCCTGTGGCAGGCGTACCTTGTGAGCGGGCTGGAGGCAACCTCTTGCAGCAACAGCTAGCCTAGTTGCGCTCCCCGAACCTCTCAGTGCCGCAGTGGCGGTGACAAACGTCCCGCAGACCCGACCAGGCCGCTCTTGCACTCCCAACTCCTTTTGAGCGCCCGGTCGGCTCGTTTTACAAGATAACACGTCCTCTCTTGTCTCTCGTCTCTCGAGCGAATCAGAATGTCCAATGGCAAAATGCGCACACGTGAGATATGGGGAACTCGTACTACGTCAACTTTCTTTTAAGCAGCTTGTATGCGGCTAATCGCTAAATGAAACAGGGCGACCGTGTGTTGTGCTCGCGCGTCAGAGAGGCGACAACCCCTCGCCGCTCTACGGCTCGCTAGGAACAATAAACATCAAGGGCGGGCGTTTGGGCGACGGCGCGGCGACCACGCCATCGGAGCCGCGGCGGAGGCGGTGCGGCCGGTTGGCGCTGCGGCGGGCTGCTGCCGCTGCTCCAATCCTGCGAGCTGCTCGAGCTGCTGTGTTCGCGATGGGCATGAACGCATGTCGGCCGAGCTCATGCATCGTCATCCATCACATGCGTTTGCAGGAGCTCAGGCCGTCTCGGACCCCTCCCCATCCTCTCGCCGCTCAAACTGCAGCAGCACAAAATCACTGACAAACTTTTCCTCGTTTGATCCGATGGCGTCAACGACGGTGTCAAAGCTCCACTTCCGGCAGTCAAACATCTCGCGCTCCCACTTGCTGCCCTTGAAGCGGATCGCCGTCACGCCGACCAGCTTGTCGCCCACCATCACCTTTCCCGGCACCGCGGTATTCTCGCCCTCGACGCAACGGAGCACCGACGTGCCTCTCGCAGCGTGGCTGTCTTCTACAACCTGGTTGACCGACACGCCCGACATGCCAATAATCGGTCCGTCCTCCTCGAAACCGATCCCGAGCGGCCGCTGCACGAGCACTTCGAAGACGTTCTCGGGGAGCGGGTCGATCGCGCCCTCGTAGCACCGCTCGCCATACTCCATGCGACATGGTGGCGGCGAGTGCAGGGTGCGGCGGACGGAGCTGCCGGTCGGGAGCACCCAGGCGCTTGAAGAGCACAGCAGAAGAAGCGCCATGCCAAGCTCGGCGCCTGTAGGATGGCTGTGTGACGCGCGCGGCCGACGACGCCGTTGGGCGGAGAGGAGGTTGGCAGCCTTCTGCGCTCGAGGTGCAAGAGAATTTTGCAAGCGAACTCACACCGGTACTTGAGCACTTGCTTGAGCACTGGATAGGGTCGATTCCGCATGGTACAACACCACTCCTAGGCCCCCCATCCCTAAACGCGGCGCCCCTACCCTTCCAATAGTCGGAACCCGCTGCAAAATGCCCATCGATCGCCAGCCAATACGGAGCCACCTTTGGTTGGGGCGATATACGTCGAGCTCCCGCGTAGCGACGTCGACTATGCTCTTTGGAGTGGCGCATTCGACGGACGACGCCGGCTGGCGCGCGGTGAGGCTGCGAACGAAAGTCCGACGGTTCGTGGGTACGTGCAAACTCGCGAGTGTTTGTCGGGCCCTCCGGCACCTCCTACCGCACGATTGGTCTTGCGTATGGGGCTTGGCCTTTCCGAGGGTTTCCTCTCGCACCCTACCTGGTTTCCTTTCCGTGTTTCCTGCTCGTTTCCCTACAACACCCTCTAGTTTCCTCGGGAACCCCCGGGGAAACTCCGTGGAATTCGTCATTTTGGGGGGGCTCTGAGCCGTGTCTGAGGCTGTTTTGGGGCCAAAATCGGCAAAATACCGGGTATTTTGCGGGTATACCTGGAAAACCCCGGTATACCTGGAAAATACCTGGGTATCGTGCCGATTTCCTCAATTTTGCCCCAGATTTTGCCCCAGACCAGCTCTCAGACTCAGGGAAACTCGCGAGTTTCCCGAGGGAAACTCGAGAGAAACAGAATGGAGCACCAAACACATTAGGGGACCCCTAAAAAAATAAAATATTCTTACCTTCAAGCCCCCCTCCGAGACTAGGGACAGTCACCACCCGTACACAGGAGAGATGGGAGTGCCCCCCGCCCCCACTTGCCCTGACTGCACAGGATAGCGTGCCCCGATAACGGCGACACATAGTGGGGGACACTGCGCAAGGAGGGGGTGCGAAGCCTAAGATTGGGGTTCTAGGTGGTGGGACCATGAGGGGGGGAGGGCGGGGTCCTGTGGGGGTGAAATGTTGCGCGGCGAATTCGAACCTACCCCCTCGCCGCGCCGATCCTCACGCGGAGGGTAAAACCCTGTGGGACAAAACCCCTCCGCGGTCGGCTGTCTTCAGAGTGGACCCCCCCCTCCCCAGCCTCCCCTGTTCGTTTTCGCACCCCCCCCCCCCGCTCCCCATCGGTGACTCGCGAAGGACACGGACACTCGGGGTGGGAGGGGAGGGGTCCCCCAGAGAGGGGGCTTTGGGGCGCCTTGTTGAGTCAATCTGCCCCCCAGAGGGGCCTTCTCGGGTCGACCTCTGGTCGATCTCGTGTCGATCTCGGGTCGATCTCGGGTCAATCTCGGGTCGATCTCGGGTCGATCTCGGGTCAATCCCGGGTCAATCTCGGGTCGATCTCGGGTCGATCTCGGGTCACGTCGTGCGGCGTAATGAGGCGAGATGAGGTGAGATGAGGAGAGATGATTAGGGGACCCCTAGGGTTCTGAGGGCCGGGGTTTTTTAAGACCTTTTAAGAAACGAGGAGGTTTGGGGGCTTAACTTGCTTAAGAGATTGCAGGCGCGGGGGGTCCCTCTCTTAAGACCGTTTAAGAAAATCGGCCTCGCCGGCATGCGTCGCTGGGTTCCGCGCCGTTTTCTCCAATTGTCCAATACTGCCGTTATTGGGCACAAACCCGCCTCTGAAGACACATCTGTAAGTCTGGTGCACTGGCAGGAGCCATACTTGCATAGGGGACGCGTGCTAGCTGACTGTAGCCAGCTTCCCGGCCTACGGCGTCTACCGGGAGCCTCCCGGACCATCGACCTCGGGAGCTCTCCCGCACCGTTTAAGCGTTTAAGACCGTTTAAGGAATCGGCGGCCCAGGCAGCCTTAAAATGGGCCTAGGCCCGTTTTAAGCCGTTTAAGCCGCAGGCGCCCCAGGGCCCACCCTTTTAAGCCTAGGGGTCCCCTAAGCCAAACACCCTCTGGTTTCCCTGGAAACTTCCGGAAACGCAAAGTGCTGGGGACCCTCTGGTTTCCCTCTGGGTTGCCGGAAACCCTCGGAAAGGCCAATATGAGGCAGGTTTCGAGATTTTTGAGGGGTAGGGTATGGGTGCACCGGCAGGACCACACGCATACCCCCCCCCCCGAGGGCGTAACATCCGTAACGGACGGTAATGGACGGAAGCTTCGCGTACAAAACCAAATCTCACTCACTTGTTTTGTTTGTTCGTTCGCATGTGCATGCACATGCAGAGTGCATGTATTGATTGGGTTGGGTGGGACCTTCTTTTCCGTGCACCTCTCTCGCTCGAGGCACCTAGCCTCGCGAACTGGGAAGAAGAAAGAAAGAAAACGCGACTCGACTTCAGGTCGGATTCTTCTTTCTTGGGGGGGGGACGGCGGGAGCTCCGCGATATTTAGGTGCCCTCGGTGCCATTTATGAGTTGTTCCAGCGCGGGAAAGGCGGCGTCCCTGAAAAGCAAGTTCTTCGACTCTGCTTGCCGTTGGGGTAGACATACACACGCGCGGCGCCGCGCGCTTGTGTGGCGGCGAGCAGCTCACAAAAGATGGGCCTGTTCGCAAAGTCGAGGCCCAAGACGGCACCTGCGAAATCCGCCTCCGCCAGTCATGCCAGCAAAGGCAGTCCTCGCCCGGGGTCGGCGTCGCCGCTTCAGCATGTTGGCAGCACCCGTCGAACCTTGTCTGTGACGCCGGCCCTGTCGGCGCCGGCCTTGTCGGCAACAAGCGTTGCCGGTTCCTCGAGCGACTCCAGCTCGCTCGACGATCAGGCATCGAAGGACGCAGAATCGCCGCTCCAGGAGCAGGCGGCTCGGCTCGGCCTGCCGTCGCAGTTCTTCACTGCTCCGAGCAACGGCAGGGTCGAGCTGGACGCTCTCAGCGACCGGCTTCCTCTCGGTAGCGGCGAGTTTTGCACCGTTCAGTCAGCCACGCTGCGTGGGGAACGAGTCGCGCTGAAGCTGCTCCGCCCGGCTCATGAGCGGTCGGAGCTTGCAGTCTCTGACCTCCGCCGCGAGATTGCCGCTCTCTCTGGAGGACCCGTCACCAGACGACGCAGGGCAGACGACGGGGAGGCGGAGCAGACGCGCAGGGCGAGACGAGGGAGGGAGCAGGATGTTGCTGAGATCAGCAGGAGGATGTACGACGAGATTAGGAGCAGCAGGGACCCGAGGGACCATGTGGAAGACGGCTAGTGCTAGTCCCCCATCGGGAGGACGACCCCGGCTAGTCGCCGACCACACCCACAAAGAACCCTGCACAAAGACCGCAGGGCGGGGACCTGTTCCTTTTTACCCATCTCCTAGTAGAGGTGTCCGTTTTATTTATTTATGAGGTTCTCATGAATCATAGTATAATATTGAAATTATTTTAGCGCTACGCGTACGACGCCGTACCGCGCGGCGTCCGCGAGAGGTATATCCTAAAAGATCCACAGCAAACGATATTCCACCCCCGCGCCCCGGGGGGGCCCGGCGTAGGCCGTACTGCGTAGGCTGCTGCTGACTAGGCTGCTGAGACCCACCCTCGACGTAGAATAAGGTACACAGTACGACGTCGAGTGTGTGCACTCACATGCACATGCACACACTCGCGCTCAATTCGATCGGCTATCGCGGCACAATCTACCACTAGTCTACCGTCGCGGGGTGCACGACGTCCCTGTAGTAGCTGTCCGGGTTGGCATCCTGCAGGATGACGTGCATCGAGTGGCGCATGCGCCGCCGCAGCCTCGCGTGCAGCGTCTCCACGTCGAGCCCAGCCTCCTCGTCCACCGCCACGCCGCCGCCCTCCGCCCCCTCATTCCCGGCGCCTCCTCTTCCTCCGCCCTTCTCGCCGCCCGCGCGCTCCTCGTACTGCGCCCACACCTCTCGGAACGCCTCGGGCAGCTCGTGCGTCGCCGCGCTCTCCCTCGCCACCCACTCGTGCAGCTGGCGCGGCCGTGAGGAGAGGCTCTCGGCCAGGCTGTGATACGTGTCTGCGTGTAGTGCGAGGGCTGACTTCGACTCGAAGCCCGACCGCTGCTGCTGCTGCTGCTGCTGCTGCTGCTGCTGCTGCGGCGGCGGCGGCGGCGGCGGCGGCGGCGGCGACTGCTCAGCGGACGGCAGCGACGCGGCGGCGGAAGCATCTGGCTGCGGCTGCGGCTGACGTGCGGTGGCGGCGGAAGCCGCCGAGGCGAGGGGCGAGGCGAAGCTGACGGCGGCGGCGGCGGCCGATTCCACCGGGATCAGAACCACGCCCGCCTCGGGCCGCTCGAACTTGCGGTACTGGGAGATCTGCCCGTACGTTGGGTCGCGCGGTCGGCCTCCGGGCCGCGTTGCGTCGGCCGCCGCCGCGGCGGCCGCAGCGGCCGCCTGCTCCTCCTTTGAAGTCGGAGGCGGCTCCGTCCATCCCTCGGGGTGCACAAAGGGGCAGCCAGCTTGGGCGCACCCTGCGCCGCGGCGGCAGAGCTCGCCGCCCACACGCCCGCGCAGCAGCAGGCCCACCTCCAGCCGCGCCGCGGGCCTGGCTAGCTCGCCGCCGCGCGCCTTGGCCACGCGCGACTTGAGGCGCCGCACGAGCTGCCTGCGCGCTGCGGCCGGCACGCACTCGAGCGCGGAAAGAGGAGGGAAGTCGACGAGTGCTGGACGCCGGCCTGCGTCGACGGCGGATGCCACAGCGAGCTCCACCGCACCCTCCACCGCCGCCGCGTCCTCCAAATCCACCGCCGCCGGTCGCGCGAGCACGGGTGGAGGCAGCGGCGGCGCCGCCTCGCCGCCTCCGGCCTCCTCCGCCCCCGCCTCGAGCGTTTCGCGGTCGAGCGCCCCGAGCCCCAAAGCCGCCACGCCCGCCTCCGTCTCCGCCGGCGCGAACCGGACGCCCGGCAGCGAGAAGAGGAAGGCGGCCGCCGGCTCGTTTCGGTCGGCCTTGCGCCAGTGCACGCCGAGGTGCGTGGCACCGCGCTCTGCAGCGACCCCCGCGGCGTGTCGCATCATCATGTGCTCGATGCCTTTAATCAGTGTTAATCAGTTTAAATTAGTTTTAATCAGTGTTAATCAGTGTTCATCATCATGTGCTCGATGCCCAAATGCAACGAGCGGCACGAGAGCAGCCAGCAGCGCACGTGCAGCACCCGCCTGCTCCCACCCGCCCCACCCTCCGCCCCCGCCGCCTGCTCCTCCGCCCCTCCCTCCTCCGCCCCCTGCTCCTCCTCCCCTCCCCCCTCCGCCTCCGCCTCGGCACCACTCGCCCTGCTCGACCCTGCATCCACCGTCGCGGCCCCGTCGAGCACGATGAGCCCGATGAGACCGTGGTGGCCGAACCGGTCGCTCGCGTCGACGGTGAGGCACCTACGGGAAAGCTCCAGGAAAGGTCAAGGAGAGGTCCAGGAACCGGTCGCTCAGCGTCGACGGCGGGGCACGTGCGCCCGCGCGTGCAGCGCAGCAGCCGCGGCGCCGAGAGCGCGCACCTGGGCACGCGGTGCAGTGTGCTCGGTGCATCGCGGGAGCACAAGGCGAGACTGTACCTAGCGCTGGGAGTATGCTGGAAGACATCCGACCACGTGCTGTCGCGAGCGCTAGTGCGGACAGCCGCGCGCGCGCGCACTTGCACGCGTTGTGCTGGTTAGTCCGCTCCGTCAGCTGCGCGGCCCGCTCCGCCGCCTCCTCGTCGAGCAAGCCGATGTCGACACGCAAGTTGAACGAGGCGGCGAACGCGTCCATCGACGAGGCAGCCGCCGCCGACGACACGAAGCTCTTCCGCTCGTCGAGCTGTCGGTAGAGAGCGGTGCGTGCGAGATCCTCCGCCGTCGGCGCCGCCGGACCGCCCGTCGAGGTGGCCGGCGGCGGCTCGTCGAGCGCCCAGCACGCGTCCAGGTAAGCGGCGATGGCCTGCTCGAGAGGGGCTGAGCTGAGCCGAGATTCGCCGCGCTTGTCCAAGTACGCAGCGAAGGAATCTCGGCTCACCTCGGCTCCTCTCGGCTCCCCTCGGCCCCTCTCGGCTCACCTCGGCTCACCTCGGCTCCTCTCGGCTCCTCTCGGCTCCCCTCGGCTCCTCTCGGCTCACCTCGGCTCACCTCGGCTCACCTCGGCTCACCTCGGCTCCTCTCGGCTCCTCTCGGCTAATCTCGAGCATGCGACCGCCTCTGGCTCGCGAGGCACGTGCACGACTGCCACGCCGCGCGGCGCTGCCCGCGCCGCCACGTCGGCGCACTCCAAGGGCGAATCGTCCACAAACGTAAAGGCGGCGGCGTCGAGACAGAGGGTCGCTGCGAGGTCGAGGACAGCGGCGGACCTACAGGAGAGTTCGGAGAAGGCTCCTGCGAGAGGTCCTTGAAGGTAGTTGAAGGTAGGGAGCTCGACGGGCATCTCGGGTGATCTCGGGTAGATCGCGGGTAGATCTCGGCTAATCCGGACGACTTGCGCATGTCTGGCGCGGCGCGGATGGCGACGACGTGCTCGTCGCGCAGCAGCAGCTCGTCGCGCCGCTCGCGCAGCACCTGCCGGGTCGGCTCCAGGAAAGGTCGGGGAGAGGTCCAGGAAGAGAAGCTCGAGGCAGTGCAGCTCGAGGCGCGCCGCCCGCACGTCCTCCTCGACGTTGCGAGAGACGAGGCAGAGCAGCGCGCCACGCCGCTGCCTCTCCACAAACCGCCGCTGCACCGCCAGAAACGCGTCGCTGAGCGCCACACCTGTTCGGTTTGCCGATCCGAGAGGCGTCCATCGTAAAGTCCTTCGGCGGTCTTCTGGCCATGTGTGCGTGCTGGCCCAACGGCGTGGAGTGTGCCCGGCGCTCCCTCGCCCATGGTGCGTGCTTTTCGCGCACCGTGTGGGCCGAGCTCTCCGACGGCGCCGCCCCACAGCGTGTTGTCGCAGTCGAGGCAGTACACCTGTGGGACGTGTCTCGGACAGGTCCGTGACGTGCCCCGGTGCAGCCGCAGCTCAAGGCGGAACCGCCTTCTTCCTCGGCGCGCGCCACCGCACCACTTCGCGGCTGATGCTCGCCGCAAAGACGCTGCACGCTTCGGGCGAGTACGGAGAGTGCGCAACCTGAGGCGAGGCGAGGCGAGGCGAGCTTCTCCACACACGCGGAGGCCTTGCCGGCGTGGAGAGAGGGAAAGTCTCTCCCTCGGAGGCGGTAGCTCCCCGCGGCGGCGACAGTGCGAGGCCCGGTGCGCGTGGGTGAGCGGTGTGTGCGCGAGGGTGAGCGGTGTGTGCGCGTGTTGTGTGCTTGCCACCTGGTCGAGAAACGGCGAGTGGAAGCGACGCAGCGATCCGAGCGCGCCGCGCAGCTCGCCGCTGTCCACGACGACGCAGGCGCCGCCGATGGCACGCAGTTCGGCTGTGAGCGCCGTCGCCGCCTCGCCGCCGTCGCCGTCGGCAGCCGGCGGCGGCAGCAGGACGAGCGTCGGCGCGCCTCGCCTGGCGATGGAGGCTCGCAGCGCCTCGAGCAGCAGCGCCGCGGCGTCTTCAAGCGCCGAGTAGTTTGCGCGACGCATGTCGCACCACCGCAGTAGAAGCACGTTGAGCCCGCCGTCGTTGGAGCCCCACGCGCTGCTGGCGTCGGCAACGGCGTCGAGGACCATTCCGTAGCCGACCCAGCTGATCTCGCAGCGCAGGCCGGTGAGCGAGTGGAGCCAGACGTGCAGCGGCCCTTGCAGACCGAGCGGGTCGAAGGTGCACGCCACCACGATGCGGGTCGGCGCGAGCCCGTCAGAAAATGTGGAGGGAGTTGGCAGGAGCGGAGGCTCCTCGCCCGACGACATTGCTTGTTACGACGACGACGAAGAGCGTCTACTCGTTTCCGTCTTCCTCTACAGCGGCTTTGTCGCGGCCTTCCCGTTCCGTCTTCCGACTCGCGCCTCCGCCTCACTGGCACTATTGCAGCCCTGGCCGGTGCGCGTGCAGAGTTGAAGTTCCGGAGTGAAAATTCGAACGCGTTCTCTCACGGTGGCCAAAAAATCTCCACCTCAGAGGCACCTCCGGAGGCAGGCCGCCGCACGCCGGCGACACAGCTCCAGCTCGCAGCTGTCGAACTGACCCGCAGCTCCTCTCAGAGCGGGAACTGTGACAAAAGTTGACTGACGCGGTTGTCAGAAATCATCATACGGATCACATGGTGGCTCTCTCATGACGGGAGACCGCCCGACCACTCCTGGGTGGCACTGCCACCGGTGTCGCTCGACGTCCTGTCGACAGCGCGCCGACAGCGACACAGACCATGTGGGACGCGTCGAGTATCGACCTCTACTGCTTCCCAGCCTTCGAGTGTATCCTGGTTGTGGTCCCACACCCACTGGTGTCCACCTCAGAGACCGCAGGAGGTCATGAGGGTCGATGGGAGTGCCAACCCCACAATGCCTAAAAACCCAGCCCAGCACTCCCGTTCGACCCATTCGGATTTGCAGGACGACGTGCCCGAGCGGGGTGTGTCCCCTCTGCTGGTGCTCAAGCAGCGGCGTGTCCGTGCCCATCTCAAAGTGTCGGCGTCGGCCGCTGTTCTTCCTTTCTCTCCTCTCCCGTGGTGGGGGCGCGAGGAGGGCGAGGGCAATCAGCGCGCTGGCTGGCGAAGTAGTGTGCCGAGCAGCTCGCCGATTGGCGCGCGCGGGCGTGGGATTTTGTCCATCCTCCGCTTCCAGGATTGGCATGTGTTACATTCTGTCCCACCTTTGCGGGCGTAGTTGAAGTCCACTCCCGGATATTTGCCTAGCGGGTGACCAGTGCTCACGCATGTGCTACACAGGCGCTGGTCAGCCATCAAACTTAAGTCTTGAGTCGCGTCGGTTGGCAGCTGCTGGGATTTTTTACACCTCATAACACCTCATAACACCTCATAGCACTCATAACACCTCCCACTGGTTTTTATGACAGCCAGCATAACAACCTCATAACAGCTGTTATGACTCGGCCAAAACCGAATATTTGACCCCTGTGGCCCACGGATTTCCTGCCCACCGGTGCCACAGATGGCCCGTCCGGCTCAGTCAGGGGGAGGATTTCGCCGGCATCTGGCTCGCACGATCTGCGCCCTCCACCGGAATTCGTATGCAGCATAGGCACCGGGTCTGGCAGCACCGGCTCAACGCCGCGCCCCCCGGTCGGTGCAAGCAGGGAATGTTCCCGCTGCTGCTCTGCTGCAGCCTCGAGTCGCGGTGCGGCCTCCGCACTCTCGGCGTTCGCCTCTCGCCCTGCTGCAGCATCCGTTCCCATCTCTGGCTGCCGTTCGCCGAGCGCCTCCTCAAAGCATGCGAGAATCTCGTCGCTCTGAAGGCCAGTCTCGAGCACGTCGTCGGCAGCGCGGATGCTCGCCCGGCCGGTCGGCCCTCGAGACCTCACAGTGGCGGCCGCCTCTGACAGCGGCGGCAGCCTCCCAAGCTGGCCACGCATCATGCTGCGCTTCGCGAGCAATCGCGTAACGGGAGGCTCGCTGGCTTTTTCTGGCTTTTTGGACGGCTTTTTTGGATTCTCCCGCCCCCCAACCCCTCTCTTGGATTTTTTCTGCTGGTCAGCTGCTTTCTGGTAGGGGAGGCAGCATCCGTTGGTGGCCAGCACCCCCCGGACGGAGCTGACTCCATCCGCGCGGGCGAGTAGAGGCACACCAGCGACGCCTCTCGAGGTCTCTTGGAGCAGAGCCCCAGAGCCCTCGACAGGGGTTCCCTGGGTGGGCGGGGCCTCTACTCGCTCAGGCCGACGCGGATGCTTTGTGCAAGAAAAAAGCAGTTGTCTTTCTTTCGGATCGCAAAGAAAAAAGCAGTTGTCATGAGAGTGCGTTCTGTTCTTGCTTTCTCATTGCCGCCTAGGAACTCTGACATCGACTGACATCTTGCTGACAAGTGAAGCATGCCCCTCGCAGCAGTAGGCGATCGCGCGGAAGATCTCGTCGCCAAGGAGTTCCTCCGCGACGCGAATCTCACCGACACGAGTCTGGTCGATGATCTCAACAAACAGTACGCAAGCGCCGGGATCGCGCCGATCACACGAGGCGCATTCTTCGACGAGCTTGGGCCGCGGCTCCACGGTCCGCATCGTCGGCCTCCAGGCCAAGCCAGCGCTCAATGGCGTGACCGGCAGGGTCATGGCCTTCAACGAGGAAAAGGGCCGCTTCGCGGTCAGGCTGATCGACGGCGAGAGCATCCTGGTCCGAGCGGCCAATCTGGAGTCCGTGCCCACGCCGACAGAGCCGGTGTCCACGCCGACTGCGGAGGATGTGCGTGACGGTACGATGTGCGCCACTCGGCTCGCCGACTGTGCCGCCGGTGCCGAGCGCGTCACTGAGCTGGGCCGCCTCGACAATGAGGCCGCCTACGCGGTGGCCCTGCGCCACGGGCTGCACCGTGGCCTCACGTCGGCTCTGGAGGATGAGGCTCGTGAGGTTGCCGCGCGATGGGAGAGCGGCACGTGCGTCTCCTACCTGCACTTTATCAGCACGAGCCTCTTCCGCGGCCAGCGGGATCGCACCGACGGCGGCTTCGGCGCGGTCGACGGCCTGCGCCTCTCCGCCTACTTGCGCGCCGAGCCCAGGGGGTGGACGGCGCTGCTCGCCGCCGCCGCCGCTGTCGCGCAGATGGTCGCGACGGCCAAGCTGCCGCCGCCGTCACAGCTCGCGGCCCACCGCGCCGGCCGCGACTGCTGGGTCTTCTTCACACTCGCGCTCGTCCACCGCCCCGCGCCTGCGCCCTCCTCGGCCTGGCAGCAGCCCAAACAGCGGCCTGGATGACGGCGGCGCGCCCGAGGCGCCCAATGACCTCGACACGACGCTCGGCCTCGCGCTGAAGCGTGGCGTGCTCACGGAGGCGCAAGCCGACGCGAAGACGGACGAGCTGGCGCGCGGCGAGACGACCGAGGCGCAGCTGTGCGCGGCGCTCGCGCCGTTGGTCGCCGCCGCCGCCAAGGCTCGGGCCAAGGACGCCGCCAAGGCGAGCGCGGCGACGGTCAAGGGCGCCATGGCCGCGCTGGACGCGGCGGGGGAGGCGCGCGACCCGAGATTACCCGAGATTACCCGAGATTACCCGAGATTACAACGTGCTGCTGCAGGCGCGCGACCCGGGGAGCGTCGTCGAGGCGAACGTCTTCCAGGCGTCCGCGATGCTGGCCTACTGGTGCCGCGAGCTGGGCACGGGCGTCGATCTCGAGGCCGAGCTCGCCCTCGACAACGTCAAGCGGGCGATGTATCGCACCATGGCCAAGCCCCTCGGCGAGGCGACCATCCGAAAGGGCGGCTTCCTCAACCAGCAGGAGTACCTCGAGGCCATCAGCCTTGCCGACGTCCTCGACACGATGGAGCGCCAGGCCATCGAGGCGTGCAACTCGCGACCAGGCCGTCTGCGCCAGCATCAAGGAGGGAAGGGCACCGCCATCAGCAAGCGACCGAAATCTGCCGTGATGCTGCTGGTCTATGGTGCGCGCTACAAGCCCGACGCATATCGTGCTAAAATCGGGCGCCTCGCCGCAAGGAAGTCGGCGACCGCAGGCCCTCGCGCGCACCGCAGCGTAGACCAGCCCAAGCCTGAGGGTGGCTCGTCAGCTGCCGACGCGGTGCGAGGCATGTTTGGTCTGTAGGCCTGGCGGGTGTTGCTCTCTCTGGTGTCCAGTCCTCGCGACAGTCCGAACATAGTTAGAGGCTGCGCAGGCCGTCCCGTGTGCATGTTTGCATAAAAAAGCCCCGCGGCTCTCTCTGCGGCGCGCAGACTGGAGAGTGAGACTCGCTCTCTCCGGAGAGAGCGAGTGTGAGAGGTCCCCGCCCCGGCGGCGGCGGCGGCGGCGCGAGGTCTTGTGGACACCCCGGACGCGCGGGAGAGTCTCGCGCAGGCTGCGCGGTCAAGTAAAAAACAAGAAAACACGAAGGAGGTACTCCAGCCGAGGATGGGTGGCGGTGGCGCAAAGGGCGGCAAAAAGGGCGGCAGAAAGGAGAAGGGCGGCCGCCGCTGACGCCTACCATGTGACTGTGTTGTTCGAGGCATGTCTGGCAGGCCACACCGTGTGTCGGTGTGTGCGGTACCGTAACTGTATCCGATACGCGAGTGCGGAGTGGCAGTGGGACAGTGTAGGTAGTATACAGCTCGACACATCACTACATGATATAATATTGATTCAATAAAAACAGCACACGAGTGACGAGAGATCGAGAGATACTCTACAAGTACCACGAATCGTGGAGCAAAAAAGGGACCCGAGCCCGAGCGCCGGAGGGACCATGAGATCCATGTGGAAGACGGCTAGTGCTAGTCGGTAGTCCCCCATCGTGAGGACGACCCCCCGGCTAAGCCTAAGGTAAGGCTAAGGTATAAGGTAAAGGTGAATTGTATGTCTAAGGCGGAGGGCGACCCTCGCCTTTCTCCACACCCGGACACGGCTCTGGGGGGAGGCGGGGGGCCTAGGTAGGGGGTACCCATGCGGGGGGGATATGTGTTCCCATGGCCCGCCGCAGGCGCCGATTTTTGGGAGTTTTTTCTTTTTGCCCGATTTTTTACTTGTTTTCCTGGGAATTCGGCGTATTGGCCATGCTATCACGCCTTGCGACAGCCTGTCGGCGCTGCTGACCGTGCCCTGCTGCACAATTGACCACCTGCATAGCTCGCGGCCTTAGTATCAAGCATTCAGTGACGACCTGATCGTACGGCCAGTAGGAAGGTGTCCTTCCAGCGCGTGCACGCTTCTGACGCAATGCGCGTCACAAACTGCCTCGGATCGGCTGCTGGCACTCTCGAGGCTATGCCTACACAGCCTCGCGCGCATGGGCAGTCAAGAGGGACCACGCACCTTCTCAGGACAGCGCCGGTGCCTCTCTCTTGGACCGGCAAACGTGGTGGTCTCGTCACCAATGTGGGACCAGACAGTGCGGCATCGCGCCATCGACAGCTCTGAACTGCGCCTCACCACCGACCGGGAAGGCCGCCAAGTGGGCCAGCACAGGTCGCACATTGTGGCAGCAGTCAGCAGTGCATGTCTGATAGCTAGAGCAGCAGCATCAGGGTCGCAGGGTCGCATCGTGTCAAGCCTCTCGCCCGGCCGGCCGCGTGCAGACGTCGGCCTGTCTGCTGATTTTTGGAGTGATCAGTCGGCGGTCAGTACGACCGATCAGGTCGGAGTTTTCTTATGGTTGGAGGGTCTATCTGTGTGTACTCCTCGAGATCTCTCCAAATCTTCCCTCTAATAGACCGGCTTAGATCGGGAAGTCGGTGCTGGAGACTAGTAGAGACGGAGCCCCGTTTCCGCACTGCTGCGCGGCGCACGGTGCCTCCGGGGGCCGTCGCCTCCCCCAGAGGGACACGGGCAGAAGCCCCCCACAAAAAACCCCACGGCATTCAAAGTGCAAGCACTGGCCCGGTGACCCCGGCTAGTCGCCGACCACACCCACAAAGAACGCCCTGGGGCTGGGCACAAAGACCGCACGCGTTGACCGAGCTGTTTCTTTTTACCCATCTCCTAGTAGAGGTGTCCGTTTTATTTACGACAAAGGTGAAAGACACGAGGCAAGGCTGTGGCGTGTGGGGACAGACTGTGCGTGTGTGTGGCGACTGCGGACTGGCATTAGTGCCAGAAAAGAAAGAAAGAAAACATAAAAGGAGGGATGAGAGGACGTTAGTGCCAGTACGCGCCGAGGGTGCTCCCAGTTTTCTTTCTGTCTTTCTTTTGCTCCCAGGAGGGGAGGGCGCATGCGTAACGACGCTGCTAGAGATGCCTTTTTCGGAGCACTTTTCGGAGCCCAGAGATAAAACTTCTATCTAATGCCATGCGTGACAGAATGCCCAGCTATGTGCGTGTCCACGTTGGAGCCAGGCATGTGTGTGTGTGTGTGGTGTGGATGGACGCGAGAATAGCTCCGCCGTTCATTCATGGAGGCAACCGATGCGAGTCGACCGGCACGTGTGTTAGTGTGTCGTCGTGGTTCATTTGTTTGGCACCGGTGCTGTCCAGTCCGCATTTGGCGCCGGTGTCCCGTAGCTGCTCTTCATGCGGACGAACGTTTCATCCATCCGTCCGTCCGTGTGGGTGCGGACTCGTCCCCTGTTGGGGGAGCTCGCGTCCCAGGCGCGCTTCTCTATCTGGACACGGAGAAGCACAGCCCCCAGCGCAGGCGACGCAACGACTATGATGGCACCGCCGCCGACGAAGGTTTTGGAGTGGAGACTCGAGCCCGCATGGTCGCCGCCGCAGACCTCGGCCACGCACCTGAGCCCCGTCGGGCACATGGCAAAGCCGCCAGAGCTCGCACGCGTTTGCAACGCGAACCTCGTGACGCTTGGCGTGCTCTACTACAACGACCCGGCGCCACTCCGCCTCCACTTTGGCATCTGGGCGCAGTATCCGGCGTCGGTTCAGTCGCGCTTCGAGTTCGTAGTCATCGACGACGGTTCCTCCGAGCACATGCAGGCGCACAATGTCCTGGCGCAGCTGCACAGGCTTGGGCGAGTGCCTCTTTCGTTATCTATCCTCAGGGTGCGCCGCCGGCCAGAAAACGGCCAGAATCCAAGCCGCGCCCTTGGTTGGGATGGGCGACCCGGCTGAGCTTGCCTCTGTACTGATCCCCACGGCTGCAGGTGCTTCCGCCCAAGCTCGCCTGGAACATCGGGGGCGGGCGAAATCTTCTGATGCACAGAGCAAGCGGGTGCTGGGTTATCATCGCTGACTTGGACTACGCGGTGCCGCCAAAGCTGGCGGCCGCCGTGCTGCCCACAGTGCTGGACCCAGCAATCAGTCCAACTCGCGTGTTCAAGTTTATGCGCGATTGGCAACCCAAGGGCAGACCCCAGTTGCATCCCGCGTTTGCCATGATGCGGAGGGATCTCTACTGGCAGGCGGGCGGATGTGACGAGGACTTCGTCGGCCACTACGGCTGGACCGACCCGCACACGTGGTTCCGCTTGGGCCATCACAGACCGCGCGTCACCATCACAGTGAACCGGTCATGGCCGGCGATCCACTATCTCCGGGCGGGGGCGAACAGAACGTCGCAATCGAAGGACAAGGAGGAAAATGCCAATTTGTACAGACGGAAGACGAGCGGCGCAGCAAATTGGAGCAACGTCTACCTGCGCTTCAAGTGGGTGGAGCACCGTCACACACGCACCGCATCATCGGCGCGCGCGCACGCTCACCGCCCCGCCTCGGCCGGAAAGAGATGAGTATAAAAGATGTGTGAGACTGCTGCCCGGGGCAAAAGGAGCTGTTCAACTTTCAAAGGCAAAAGACGACGCTCTGCGCTTTGCCCTTTGCGCTTTGGACACCCCTCACACTGACACACACCCCTCCTCCCATACCCTCTGCAACACCCCGGCGCGATCGAGCCGCCGCCGCTCTTTCAAGCGCGACGAAAACGAATCTCGCCGCGTCGCATCTCCCACCGGCCCCACCGGCTATTCGTCGCCCATGCAGCATGCTGGAAGCGATCTTTATATGGGGCTGGGCGGTCTCCCCTTCCTTGGTGTGCTTCTTAATCTTGTCCTTCTGCTCAAGAATGCGCACTGTTTGCTGCCACTATGCTCTCCGCGTTTGGGATGGGGATCTGTGCCTCTTTTGGTACTGTGGCGTACCTGTGTCGAACCTGTGTGTCCTTGAAAAGTAAATACTCCACTTATTCACAGATACCATACCAGCAAAGTACCCGAATCCAACTCCACGTGCCCAAGCGCACACCGGCCGGAGCGCCACCGGGGGGTGCTGCCCTCCCGTTCATGAGCCCAACAACACGAACGCTATCCATCCTCACCGGCCCCCATCCCCGTGGTCGGCCTCGCTCGCCGCGCCAAGCCGCGGTCCGGTCGTCCGCCCGGCGGCCAAGCCCAAGGGCGGGGAGGGGGCCACCCGCGCTCGCGCAGCGCCGCACAACACGCAACACGCAACGCACAACGCACACACACCCCACACACCGCACACCACCACAACACACAACACACAACAAGTGCTCGTCTTTTCTCCTGTCATATATCAACATACATTTTCTCCTGTTCTATAAAGAACCTACATTCTTTTGTTGTCTGTGGAACCTGTGTAATGTCAGTGCGCGCCAGTCCCGTGCCCAGTATCGTGCGAGGCGCGTGCCTATAAAATTCTTTTGTTCGCGGTGTGGAAGACTCACGGACTAGACTTTGGCCATAGCCAAATGGGGAACGAGGCAAGGGTCGGCAGATCCGAGCTGGCCCTTGCCGCTGGCACAGCCGTCAACGCCGTCTTCGCATACTCGTTTGTGACGGCATGGCGGCGGAAGGGTGCACCCTTTGTGCCATCGGCGCAGGCCAAGATTGACGCCATTTTTGGCAGGGGTGGCGTGCTGCAAAGCCATGTGCGGAGAAGGCAGCACGCTGTGGATTTGGGCAGCGGCGGCGGCGCGTTCGTGCGCGCTGCGGTGCGAAACGGCCACTTTGCTCGAGCGACGGGCTACGAGCTCAATCCTGCTCTCGTCCTATTTGCGCGCATGCAGTCTGTCCTCGCCCGTGGTGAGCACTTTCGTCTCTGCTCCCTGTGGGACGCGGACCTCTCCGACGCGGACCTGGTTTTTGTGTACGGCGTGCCGTCCATCATGGTCGCCCTCGAGGCGAAGCTGACGCGAGAGCTGCCAGTCGACGCCGTCGTTGTCTCCAACCTGTTTCGCTTCCCTGACGTCGAAAATGGCCGGACCACAGCGCTCGTCGAGGAGGCCTCGCAGTGGGTGGACGCAGGGCTTCAGAACCTCTCGATGGATGACTCAGGGATGCTCTTCGTCTATCGGCACCGAGCCAAGAGCAGTGAGTGAGCGCGCCAAAATTCTGCACGTCCATCCCGCCCGGCTTCGCGCTTGAGCGGTCTTCCCCGAGCGTGCTCCTGATTTTGTGCTTTTGCGCTTTGGCTTTTGGGCGCGTGTGCGCTGAAGACTGCTGCGCGCGTCGGCGTGTCGACTCTCCTGTCGTCGGCTGCGTGGTTGGTCAGCTCAGGCGGGCCTGGCGCGGGCTGGGGGGGCGCTGTGTGTCCTGTGTGCTGTGAGCTGTGTCGTGTGTGTCGGACCTGCGGTCGGTCCGCGCGCTGCTGCGGGGACGCGAGCATAACCAAAAGCATAAGCTTTAGACGCGCTCCACACACCACCCCGAAATACTCACACATGCAAGGTCACATGCATAGGACACGACAGTCGACAGACCAACTGTCAACTCACGGGCCGCGCAGCGCGGCAGCCGGCACTGCACACCGCGACTGTACCCCTCGCTCGTCTTGCGCACACCTGCAGCACGAGTGGGCTGCAGGGGCTCTGCGCTGGCCTCACAGGCCAAACTTGGGGGAGAGGCCGGAGAAGGTTGAGGCGGAGAGGCGCTCGAAAAAGGACTTTGCTGGCGTGGCCGCCCTCGCCGCCTCGGGCTGGGATTGCCCGCGCTCGAGCAGCGCCCTGACGCCGGGAGAAGCGGCGCCCGCCGCCGCCTCAAGCCGCTCCATCAGCGCCTTGATGACGGCTTCACGCTGCCCGAGCACCTCCCGCACTGCCTCCGCCTCGGCGGCGCGCACTGCCAGCGACCTCTTCTCCTCCCGAGCGGCGTCCAGGTCTGTCTCGAGCGCCTGCGGGTGGGGCGGCGGGCTAGCGGCGAGTCCGTGCGGGCCGGGTGCGTTCGAAGCCACAACAGCGCGAGCCTTGATGCGGTTGCGGTTTGCGATGGTGAGGCGGTCGTTCTCTATCACCTCCTCCTTGAGCGCCTTTGACGTCTCGCGCTTGAGGCTAGCCTCCTCCCGCGCCGCCTCGGCGACCGCCTCAGCCTCGCTAGCGCGGAGCGTCGCGTCGGCCGCCTCCTTCTTGGCCTCTTCGATCGCGGCCGCGCTGCGAGAGAGCTCCGCCTATCTCGGTCAATCTCGGTCAATCTCGCGAGCCGCACCCGGGCGTGCAGCACACTCCTGCAACCGCCTGCAACTCCTCCTCCCTCGCGCTGTGCGACGCCAGCAGAGCCTTTCGCTCCGCCAGGAGAGCGTCGCGCTCGCGGCGCAGATCCGCCTCGCGCTTCTCGTGCTCCGCCTGACGGCGGCGGCGAGCTCTGGGTCGCTGGCAAGCAGTGGCGAGGGCGGCGGCGGGCTAGGCGGCGGCGGCGAGGGCGGAGGCGGAGAGGCGGAGCTAGTGCCTCGGCCGTCGCGAGCGTACGCCGCGCCGCCTCCTCGTACCGCATGTGGCGCTCGTAGATGGCGATGAGCGACGCCTTTGAATCGTCTTCGAGGTTCACCAGGGTTGGCATGGCGGCGAGCAGCATCTCCGAGGAGAGGAATACGCCCTCGTCCTGGTCGCGGATGACCTCGACAAGCTGCACCTCAAGCTCGGCCCACTCTTCGTGCGTCAGGTTGCGGCTCCGCAGGAAGCCCTTGGTCTTCGCCTGGTTTGCGGCGGCCGCGTCCTCGACGAGCGCCAACGCGTCCTTGTCGTCGATCAGGCGTCGACCGCCCTCTGGCAGCGGCTGCTCGGCGCGCTGCGCCCGCTTGGCCGCAGGACTGGAGTCGAACGAGCGCCTCGCGGCCCGCTTCATGTGTGTATCGGCTGGCTGCACGTCCGACTGTGGCAGGCCCAGTCAAACGACAGAGCCGCCCCACCAACATGACAGAACCCTGCAACCCTCCCGCCCCGGCCCCCTTAGATCTATACAGGTCAGGCCCGAAGGTATATCTTGATCCCTCTTCCCCCACCGTACAACCCCCACCTCTACCCTCCCCCTCTCCCCCTCCCTCCCCGCCTCTCGCAACCGCCCCGGCCCCACCATCCCCTGCCCCCCGGTGCAGCGTCAAGGGCGAGCCGCACCAAACAGCGAAACCGTACGCACATATGCCGCGCTCTTCCTCTGGAGCGCCCTCTCCGGCATCCACGTCTTTGTTGGTTCCCAGCCCGCGGCCGGCGCCTCTCCCTCCCCCTATCCAGTGCTCAAGTGCTCAAGTGAATCGTGGGCGTGGAAAATTCTTTTCTTGTGCGCCAGTCCCGTGCGCGTGTCGCGAAATTAAATTCTTTTCTTGGAATGAGTGTAAAATTCGCACAACACTCACGTCGGTCGTCGCTTAGGCGGCTCCCGTGGTGTACCTGATCCTACCTGTGTTAGTGCCAGTGCGCGCCAGTCCCGTGCTCGACCGTGCCCAGTGTTGTGCGAGCGAAAACTCGGAAGATTCTTTTCTTGCACGCCAGTCCCGTGCCCAGAAAGAAAAAACCCCGGTCAAATTCTTTTCTTGGAAGAAAAAATCTTCCGGCGCAGTTTGCGCAAGCGCAGCCCTACTGCAGTATCCTGCGTCGCTGGCTCGCGGCCAGATGCGCCACCTACCGCTGCACCTATCCCTCGTTGTCCTCGTCCACTCTGACACCGCGTGCGAGCGCTCGCCTGACGCCTGCGAGCCGGTGATCCTCGTTCCCGGCGTGATGGGCAGCCGCCTGCGGCAGCATACGCGGGTCCCGGGCGCTCTGCAGACCTCGTCATCACACCTCTGGCTGCCAGAGTCGCACAGGCTGCTCGCGCGCTCGGCGCTCTCCTCTCGGTCGGGCGTGCTCGGCGGCCTCTACCGCTCGTGGGTCAAGTCGCTCGACCCGCGAGGCGGCAGCCGCTGGTCGGTGGTGGAGCCGGACCGCGCCAACTGGGGCGTCAAGGGCGTCGCGTGCATCCTCAAGGCGGGCCGAGAGTGCGTATCGACGGCCAAGGTGTTTTGGGACATGATTGTCGCGCTGGAGAAGGCAGGCTACCGCGCCGGCAGCAACCTGTTTGGCGTGCCGTACGACTGGCGGCTCGCGCCGACGGAGAACAAGCTGTGCGCCGACCTGGCGACGGTGCTGCACCACGTGACCAACAACACGCGCCACCGCAAGGCGCTGCTCGCCGCCCACTCCCTCGGCAACCTCCAGCTCGTCCACTGCCTCAACCGCGTCTTCAGCGCAGAGACGCTCGCAAAGGTCAAGGCGCTCGTCGCCATCGCGCCGCCGTTCGGAGGCTCGCCGCAGGTGGCGAGGGTCCTCTTCTCGGGCGCCGAGATGGTCTCGCGCCTCATCATCTCTGACCTCGAGACAAGGGACTTTGCGCGACAGATGCCGGTGCGCGCCGCCGCCGCCGCCGCCTCGCCTCTCCATGCCAGCGTCGACTGCGGGCTTGTCCGGCAATAGGCTGCCTACATGCTCCTTACTGCCCACACATGTCCCTCACTGCGGTAGGCTGCGTACATGCTCCTGCCGAGCGAGCGCGTCTTTGGCAACGACACCATCCTCTCCCTCGGCACAGGCGACGCCTTGTCTGGACACCTCCTGCACACGTCGTCTTAGACGCTTCATCCTAGACACTTCGTGGACGCCTCCTGGACACTTCGCCTCCTCCCGACGCCTCGCCGCCGCCGCGAGTGCAGGCGACCCGGCGGCGCGGGAGGACTACCTCGGCACGGCAGCAGACATGGGCGCGCTGCTGCGCAAGATCGAGGCGCACGTCGGCCCGGAGGCGAGCGGGATGGGGCAGGCGCACGCCGCCTCGCTGCGGGCGGACATGTGGGAGGCGCCTCCTGTGCCGGTGGTGTGCGTCATCGGCGCGGGCGTGCCGACGCACGTCTCGTTCGGCTACTGCGAGGGGTGGCCGCGGTCGATGCGGGAGGAGAGCCATGCGTGCTCCGTGAGGAAGGCTCGACCTGTTCACAGCTCTCAGTCCTGCAGCCGTGAACAGGAGCCGTGCGTGCTCCGCTTCGAGGACGGCGACACGACGGTGCCCGTCCGGTCGGCCCAGTCCGTCTGCGACCACTGGCAGCGGCAGAAGCGCTGCCTCTCCCCCCTCTCGACGGTCCACCCGCAGCGGTACCGCGCCGAGCCGTTCCGCTCCGAGTGCGTCGAGGTCGTGCACTTGCACTGCATATGACATAATATAATATAATATAATATAATATAATATATTTGCGTCGAGGTCGTGCACTTGCACTGCAAGGGGCACACGATGGAGGCGGAGGCGGCGCATCGGAGGCGGAGGCGGCGCGGGAGTGGAGTGGTGAGGCGGGCTGCGGTGCGAGTAGGCGGAGGGGGAGCCCCGCGGCGGAGACCACTGCACTGAGTACCACCAGCGGATCCTGCACAAGCGGCCGACCATCGACCTCGTACAGAGCCTCGCCTTCAACGTCAACGCGCTCGAGCCGCGCTACTCTGCACGCGCGCAGCAGGCGAGGCACTTCCTAGACACTTCCTAGACACTTCCTAGACACTTCCTAGACGCACGCAGCAGGCGAGCGAGGCGGGCACCGTGTCGCCTGGCCTCCAAGTCAGTGAGCGAGGGGGGCCCAATTGAAAGGCGAGCGAGCTCTCCGACTTGGTCGCCTGGCTGCACAACTCGGCGGCTGTCGCGCTCGCGCCGGTGCCCGCCCTGCAGAGCGCGATCGACGGCTGGAGGGCGGCGCTGCCTTCGGGCCTCTCTCTCCGCCTCTTCACAGCCAGCACTGCGAGAGCTGTGAATAGGCGTCGCTGCCTTCGGGCCTCTCTCCGCCGGAGGAGGAGGCCGACTTGCCGTCCTCGCTGCTCGCTGCGTGGGAGCAGCTCAAGGGCCGCGGCCTCTACGAGCAGGCCCCTCCGGGCTGTCACGTCGTCTCCTCCCGAGCCGCGCCCATGACTGAGCGCCCGTGCCCCTGCGCCCCTCAAGGCCATCCGCGGCGCGAGCACGGTGAGCACGCACGCAGCGATCGCCACCGGCGACGCCAAGGCCGACATCGAGGGGACGGTGGCGGCGACTGGTTTGCCGGCCGAGCGGGTGGAGGCGGCGGTGGCTGCGGCGCGCGCCTCGTCGCAGGCGGCGCTCGGGGGCGGGATGGCCACGCTGCGAGGCGGGCTAGGCCCTTTGCTGCGCAGCGCGGCCGACGCGCACGAGAGGCTGCGGCGCGTGGCGGCGCTTTGCGAGCAGAGCCGCGCCGAGAGCTGCAGAGGGGAGGCGGAGGGCGGGCAGCAGGAGGGGCGGGCGGAGGGGGAGGAGAGGCAGCTTGAGGAGAGGCAGCTTGAGGAGAGGCACCCTCTCTGCCACTGGGGCGACGCTGCGGGGCTCGGCCTGCCGGACGGCCCGTCGGCGTGGGAGGACATCGAGCTGTGGAACTTGCGGCACGCGAGCGACTCGTCGGGGAGGGAGGAGCGCGAGAGGCGGCGAGCTTGGGCGTGCGGGCTGCGGCGGGCGCTCGACCCGCTCCGGCCGCCGCTCGAGCGGCTGAGGAAGCAGCTCGACTGGTCGGAGCTGCACTGGCGCGCGCTGCAGGAGCGGCTCGACCCGCTCGAGCCCCTTGCCGCCGCCGAGGAGGACGGGGCGGCGAGGGCGTCGGAGCAGCCCGCAAAGTTTGAGAGCGTGCTGTACTCGGGGCGAGATGCGGACGAGTATACGGACGAGAGGACAGGTTGGAGGTGACACGTCGCGTTACCGTTAGCTGGTCAAAGAGCAGAGAGGTCAGTGGTCTCGTTTCGCACGTTTGTGTACTGCGACCACACTGCATGCCACGTCCCGCCTCTCACAAAGAGTCCGCGAGATCCCCCTACACGTAAGTGACGTTACTAAAAGGACGCCGCCATCCGCATCGACCTGCACAATCGACCCGGCACCCCGCGCAGACGCGCGATCGATGGGCGTGCGCGGGCGGTTCAAACATGACATTCTGTCCCCTAACTCGCTCTCCCGCACGCATGCTCGCACACCCCGCCGCACACCGCGCGGGCTAGTCAACTCCAACAGCTGAGCCACCAAATGCCCGGCCGTACAGAGCCCCCCGATACCTCACTGCCCCGGCGCCCACGCCTCGATCTTCTTGGGCAGCAGCTGGTCCGACAGGTCCTCTCCGTGTCCTAGGCAGCCGCCCTTGCCCCAGGTAAACACATCGCCGTCGGCGGTGCGGGCGATGCTGTGGCTGCCTCCCGCCGACACAGCGACGACGCGCTGGCCAGCAAAGGCCTCGACCTTCTTGGGCAGCAGCTGGTCCTGCTGGTCGCCGTGGCCCAGCTGGCCAAGGTCTCCACCGCCCCAGCTCCAGACAGCTCCGTCGGCGGTGAGTGCGAGGTTGTGGCGGGATCCTGCCGACACGGCGACGACGTGCCGGCCAGCAAAGGCTTCGATCTTCTTGGGCAGCAGCATGTTCTGCCAGCCGCCGTGGCCCAGCTGGCCATCCTCTCCAGCGCCCCAGCTCCAGACGCTGCCGTCGGCGGTGAGGGCGAGGCTGTGGAAGAAGCCTCCCGCCGACACGGCGACGACGCGCCGGCCAGCAAAGGCCTCCACCTTCTTCGGCAGCAGCTGGTTCTGCTCGTCGCCGTGGCCCAGCTGGCCGTAGAGACCAAAGCCCCAGCTCCAGAGGGCGCCGTCAGAGGCGAGGGCAAGGCTGTGGCTGCCTCCAGCCGACTCAGCGACGGCGCACTGTCCCGCCAACGCCTTGACCTTCTTCGGCAGCAGCTGGTTCTGCTGGTCGCCGTGGCCCAACATGCCAAAGGCTCCACAGCCCCAGCTCCAGACGCTGCCGTCGGCGGTGAGGGCGAGGCTTTGGCCGTATCCAACGGACACGGCGACGACGCGCCGGCCAACAAAGGCTTCGATCTTCTTGGGCAGCAGCTGGTGCTGCTGGTCGCCGTGGCCCAGCTTGCCAAAGGCTCCCTCGCCCCAGCTCCAGAGGGCGCCGTCCGCGGTGAGGGCCAGGCTGTACGAGCCTCCAACCGACACGCTCACGGTGCGCTCGCCGCCCAGGGAGGGGAGGAGTGTAGGTGTCTTGAGCTGTGTCACGCCCTCGCCGTGCCCGAGGAGGCCTGTGACGTCTTCCGCCGTGCCGCACGACGAGAGCCGCCCCTCGCCGTCGATGAAGACGCTGTGCTGAATGCCTGTCGCAGCCCTCGCCGGCGGGTTGGCCTCGCGCAGCAGCGCAGCGAAGCACAGCCACCGCACGGCGCAGCCCTCGCCCTCTGGCTGCGCCAGCAGCTCGAAGCCGCGCTCTTGCGCCCACAAGCGGATGGCCTCCTCCGCGAACGAGGCGTAAAAGAGCAGCGAGACGGCCGCGACGCGAGCGATGTCGGCGGGGTCGCAGCGAGAGAGGGCGCGCAAGAGGAGGTCCGTGGGGAGATCGAGGAGGCGGGCGGGCGGCGGCGTTCTAGGCGAGGGAGCGGCGGCGGCGGTTTTGGCGTGGCGGCGCGAGCGGCGCGGCGGGCTGGACATCGCGAGAAAAGAATTAATCCGCCGCATAGTAGCAACAACAAGGGTCCCGTTCCCCTGTGTCCCTGATCGCCCTTACAAGATCCTGCTCGCGCAGGTGGGGACCCTGTCCTTCTCCCACCCCTTGTTTGGTGTGTCCGTCTTATTTATTTATTTAGCAAGGCACGAGCTTTGCCGTGGCCGCCGCCGAACGCCGCTCCCACGCGTCCTCACCAATCTTCGATTTCTTTTCAGGGAACTCGTAAAATCGCTTTGTGTTGGCCGCCGGAACGAGAACGCCGTCCTTAACTGCTATGATCTCGCAGCCGCCCGCCAGGGGCTCTGCTGGGAGCCTCCTGCTCGCGGCCATCGCCGGCTCGGCGCCCCATCTCTTCTCGCTTCCGCGGCGCGTGGCCCAGTCCCTCACGCGGACTGCTCCGGCGTATTAGGTGCTGACTTTTGTTGCGGAGCGCGCGCTCCCGGCCCCCTCCAAGCAGATGGCATCCTTCACCCCATCCCCCAAGCTCGACTTTGTGGATGCGCCGTTCGGGAAGGCACCCGTCGACGACAACGTCGAGGCGATGCTTTACGACCCAAAGGCAGACCCCCTGGCTGAGATGTTTGACGCCTCTGACCCCGCGATCACGCCCAACGCGCCTGGAGGGATACTTGCGCGACTGCAGCAGCGGCTTGCGCAGTCCCTGCTCACGCAGGCCTTCAAGAGGTGGAACGACGTCCTCGACGAAATGCACGTCCCAAAGTTCAACATGACCGAGGGGCAGGACGCCTTCACGCTGCAAATCCAGACAGATACCCCGGATGTGGACATCACGGTCCAGGGCGACCTCGTGACGGTCAGCGGCTCCAAGACGTTCGATGACGGCGATGGGCTCTCGCACACGGACTCGTTCGTTGAATCCGTCAGCTGTGTCCCTCGCCACGTCCTCGTGAAGAATGCGACCTCGAGCTACGACGAGGAAACGGGCTGCGTCGTGATCACCTTCCCGAAGGAGAAGACGCCCCAGACCGACAAGATCCCGGCGCGGCGAGATTATCCGAGATCCGAGCAAACAAGGCCTTTACTCATCTCGCACGGGGTGTAATAGGTGCAAACCAAGGTCAAGGCGGAGAAGTGAGAGGCGCAGCTCTTGCACGTTGCAGTAAAGGGTGACGCGCGCCACCGCACGCGCTCTGGTTGCTCGGGTGGTGCGCGCCGCGCGCCGAAAGGGTCGACGCGGCAAAGGTTGTAATATAGGTCAACAGTATGTTGGTGAGGTGCGTGTTCCCTCTCTTGGTGTGAGTGACTAGTAAAATGTACCCCCCAGGTCTAGGTGTGTGACTGTGTCCCTCTCCGTACTCCGAGTCACTGTGTCGTCTCTCTGCGCTATGGCGACCGTGTTGCGTCAGTATACACAGTAAACTCTCTCCGCGCAACAACCTATGCGAGCGAGATCCTGAATGCCCAAACACGCCGGGAAACGTACACCTGCATCGCAGCATCTCCTCTGGGCCGGCGCGGGGCCCCCCGGAGGCACCGTGCGCCGCGCCGCAGTGCGGAAACGGGGCCCCGGCTCCACTAGTCTCCACTAGCACCAACTTCCCGATTAAGTACGGTTAAGTAGAGGGCAGATTTGGAAAGATCTCGAGGAGTACATACAGATAGACCCTCCAACCATCAGAAATCTCCGACCTGATCGGTCGTACTGACCGCCGACAGATCACTCCAGACAGCAGACAGGCCGACGTCTGCACGCGGCCGGCCGGGCGAGAGGCTTGACACGATCCGACCCTGCGACCCTGACGCTGCTGCTCTAGCTATCAGCCATGCACTGCTGACTGCTGCCACAATGTGCGACCTGTGCTGGCCCACTTGGCGGCCTTCCCGGTCAGTGGTGAGGCGCAGTTCAGAGCTGTCGATGGCGCGATGCCGCACTGGTCCCACATTGGTGACACGATACCACCACGTTTGCCGGTCCAAGAGAGAGGCACCGGCGCTGTCCTGAGAAGGTGCGTGGTCCCTCTTGACTGCCCATGCGCGCGAGGCTGTGTAGGCATAGCCTCGAGAGTGCCAGCAGCCAATCCGAGGTGACGCGCATTGCGCCAGAAGCGTGCACACGATGGAAGGACACCTTCCTACTGGCCGTACGATCAGGTCGTCACTGAATGCTTGATACTAAGGCCGCGAGCTATGCAGGTGATCAATTGTGCATCATGGCACGGTCAGCTGCGCCGACAGGCTGTCGCAAGGCGTGATAGCATGGCCGCAAGTACGCCGAATTCCCATGAAAACAAGTAAAAAACTCCAAAAAAGAAAAACAATCCAAAAAAATCGGCGCCTGCGGCGGGCCATGGGACCCCATCTCCCCCCCGCATGGACACCCTCTGGGGCCCCCGCGCCGGCCCAGAGAGCATCTCGGCTGTGTGAGGGACCTCCAGTGCTCCACGCGTCGTGTGTGAGACAGAGAGCGCGCGTGTGCGAAAAAAAAACTGTTCAAGTCTTAAAGGCAAAACACAACGCTCTGCGGTTGGTGCACCCCTCACACTGACACATTCCCCTCATCCCTTACCCTTGGCTGAGCACATCTACCTGCGAGCTAGCCTCTCCGCATTTTCTCTTCCAGTCATCCGCCCGCGCCGCGCGCCATCTCTGGGCGTCTAGTGCAGCCACTGACAGAGCTATTCCGAAGGAGTGGTCGACGCCTCGCCTAGAGTTCGGGTGGACTTGCGCACTGCTTAGCCCTGAGGGGGGAGTGTGTGTGAGGTGGTGTAATGTCGTCCCGTTTCAGGCGGCAGGTCAGGGGATTAGCCGGGAGGATTCGGCAGCTCAGCTCCGGGGGCTGAGCGTCTGCAGGCAGCCTTCCGCTCGCGCCGAAATTCACAGCCCTCCCGGGCCGACGGGGTGCTCCTTGGATCGGGCCCCGCTCCCCGCTTTTCCTGTACCTGGACTGTCCGGGTCAGGAGGGTGAGAGTATTGGGTGGGCGAGGGCAGTACATCTGGCGGGTGGGGATTGAGGGACAGCAAGAGGGCTGATTGGGGTGTCAATGGGCGCGCGGGCGGCGCTTCGTGGTCCTGGGCGAGCAGGGGCAGTGGTTAGGAGTCTTGGGCCTGGAGATATGAGGATTGTCGAGATGTCATGCGAGAGCGGTAGGTGGGCGAAGGTAGCGCGGCTGGAGAGTGGTGTCCGAGGGACAATGATGAGTTGTCAGTTGGGGCGCGAGACGCGCGGGACAGTGTCGGAGGCGGCCAGTGAGGTAGGGTTGGCTTTGAGCAGTGCAGCGAGTGTGTGGTCAAGCGTGGGAGCGGCGCGCGAGCACCGGATTTTTTTGCTGTGCGAGTCGAGTTCGTGGCCGGTGCGCGGGAGATGAGTTGTCAGTTGGGGCGCGAGACGCGCGGGACAGTGTTGGAGGCGGCCAGTGAGGTAGGGTTGGCTTTGAGCAGTGCAGCGAGTGTGTGGTCAAGCGTGGGAGCGGCGCGCGAGCACTGGATTTTTTTGCTGTGCGAGTCGAGTTCGTGGCCGGTGCGCGGGAACCTGGCTGAAAACCCGCGCATCCGGCCGGTTGTGCGACCGAGGTCGCCGATTGTACGACCGAGGTCGCAGAGCCTTGGCGACGCGACGCGCACGTCGCCAAGGAGTTCGTAAAATGTCCGAGGTTTTTTCAGCGCGCGTGTGCGAGAGCGACGCCGACGGCACCCCTCACGCGCGGCGCCGGCAACAGCCAACACACACGCGACTAATCACGTCTCACGCGTGTCGACGTCCTAGCGCCCTAGATGAAGCACGGCTGCGCCTCGACCATCAGAAAGCTCTTGTCGCCCTCGAGCGCCTCCTCGGCCATCCAGTCGTCCATCGAGCTGCGGCTCAAGCGGCCGGCTTGCTTCTCGCTGCTGATGATGTCGTCCTTCGCCCCGCCGCGGCGCGAGTCGACGATCAGCACGGTGCACGGCGGGAAGAGGACCTCCGCCTCGCCCGGAAACTGCGAGAGCATCGAGATGTCGGCGCCCATGTGCAAGCCGACGTCCGACTCCGCGCGCGGGTGCAGCTTCCAGAGCACGTTCTGCCCGCCGCCCATGTAGGCGAGCGGCGTCGCCTGTGTGGCGGGCGGTGCGTCGAGGGTGCGAAGGGCGACGCATTGCAGGGAGGGGCATGCGCTGCGGCGGGCCTTGTTGCGCGAAGTGGACATGAAGGCCGTCTCTGTCGCAACCACCATCCCCTGCGAGTCGGCCACCCAAAAGGAGCGCGGAAGCTCGCCTATGGGCGTGGGCTGGGCGACTCGTCACAGACTACAAGCGGCGTGACTTTGATCGAACGCCGCTCACCGCGCACGCCGCGCCAGAGCGGTGCCGCCACCTCGTCGGCGGTCGCGACGGCGGCGAGCTTCCTGACGGCGGCCGCGAGGTGGCGGCACGTCTGCGCGAAAGTGAGCGCCGGGTCGCTGGCGAGGGCCGCCCGGTGCCGGCCCTGCAGCGCCGCGACCTGCCGCAGGTACGAGTTGATGGGCTGGTACGCCGGGCCGCTGTAGAGCCGCACCGCCAGCACCTCGTCGCGGGAGAGCAGCGGCGCGTCTGGGCTGCGGCTCGACACGTACTCTTCGGCGAGCCGCTCGTAGTCGTCGAGGCGCAACCCGCCGCGGCCGCAATCGCGATGGCCAGCGGTGCAGTCGCGGCGCTCGACCGACTCGCCGAGGCAGTACTCCCACTCCTCGGCCAGGGTGTAGCGCGCGCCCTTCCAGTCGCTCCACTCGAGCTCGCGCCGGAACTCCATCTCCATCGTGAGCGGCGGCCTGCGGGACGTGTCGTGGACGTGTCACGGGACGGAGGTGTGTGTGCTCCGCCCTCGACTGGCGAGGGTCCTCGTCGGCAGCAGCCCGTCGAGGCCCTCGACGAAGGCCTGCCTGCCGCCGTAGGAGAGGGTGCCCGACGCGACGCACAGCTTGCCGCCGTCCGCGCCGAGGCTGGCGAGCGGACGCGTGGGGCGGTAGGTCGCGGAGACGACGTAGAGCGGCTGCTCGACGACGACTCCGTTAGGCGCCGTCCAGCCGGGCGGCTCGACGCGCTTGAGTCGGAAGAGGGTGTTTGGCGGGAAGACGGCGTAGATGCCCGGCTTGATCACGACGCAGCAGTGCAGCCCGTGCTCGTCTTCGGGCGCAGAGTCGAAGCGGACGACCGGCGAGTCCTGCGGCTCGAAGGAGACGTTGCCGGCCGCGTTCCGGTGGTAGACAGCGTGGCCGCAGCTCGTGAAGGCGCTCGCGCCGGTGCCGAAGTCTGCGGCGACAAGCGACGAGGAGCAGACGCCGCAGAAGCCGGTCGAGTCTGGCACCGTCAGCCTCTCCCAGGCAGGGTCGCTGTTTGCGAGCGAGTTGAGGCCGCGCAGATTGGTGAAGGTGGGCGCAAAGTCGGAATCGCCCGCATCGCCCTGTCGCAGCGCCTGCGCGACGATGGCGTCGCACAGCGCGAAGGTGGAGCCGGCGTACCGCCTGTCCCGCTCGCGCAGCCGCCGCGCCAGCGCCCACCGCTTGCTCGTGAGACACGCGTACGCCTCCGCCTCGTGCCTATGGAGAGGCTCCGAGGAGATCTAGGGAAGGGTCATGGAGACACGCGTAACGCCTCCGCCTCGTGCCTCGGCGCGCCCAGCGCCACCAGCGGCGCGATGTCGCTCCCCTCGAGCTTCGAGAGCCACTTGGAGAGCGGCTCATGCTCTGCCACCCACGCCGCGTCCCGCGTGACTCCGCTGACCCGCGCGGCGCCGGACTGCTCCAGGTTCTCCGCGTAGAGCTCGGCCCACTCGGACCGCCACGCGCCTGGGAGGGTTGAGAGAAGGCTCAGGGGAGGCTCTCTCCGCGTAGAGCTCGGCCCAAGCTAACACGTGCCCAAGCCACGGCCCGCCAGTGCTTCTCTCTGCTCTGAGAGGCTCTATCGGACCGCGCCTCCGTCGTCGGGCGGAGGGAGCAGCTCGGAGAGGGCGACGAGGTGGCCGGCGCGAGTGGAAGGCGCAGCCGCCTCTACCACGGACTCGAGCGCGGAGAAGGCCGCCGCCTGCGCCGCAGGAAAGCCAAGGAGCACCTCGCGGAGGCTCGTGACCACCTCTTCTCTGCCGCCGCGGTCGGCCGAGGCGGCAGCGGCAGCAGCGGCGGCAGCGTGTGAGGCAACCTCAGCCAGCCGTGCCAGCAGCGCCGCCGTGGCCGCGACAGCAGCACCTGCCGAGTCGTCCTGAGGATCGTCCTCCTGCACTGCGGCCGCTTGCGCGGATAGAGCGGCCGCTCTCTCCCCGAGGCTGGCCCCACGCAAGAGCTCGAGCGCGACGGCGGTGCACGGGTCCTTTGGCTGCTCGGCCAGCGCCTTGCCGACCGCTTTGCCAAGGCGCAGCTCAAGCGGGCCGCGCCAGCAAGACAGGTACTCCTCCACGGAGCCGGCGGCAGCGCAACCCGTCGGCATTGCTCCCACGGAGCCGGCGGCAGCGCAACCCGTCGGCATTGCTCCCACGGAGCCGGCGGCAGCGCAACCCGTCGGCATTGCTCCCACGGAGCCGCGGCAGCGCCGCTCGTGCCGGCGATGTCACGGCGACTCGCAGTAACAACTCCTAGAAAAAGAATCGCGGGTTCACCGATGACCAAGGGTTAGGGTGGGCGACGGCCAGCACCACACCCCTCTCCTTAAAATCCCTGTGTGGTGGCGGCGTGCCGCCCTCCCATCCCTCCCTGGGTTCTCTGTTTTCTTTCTTTCTTTCTGTACATTCACTCAACATTTGCCAACAATATAGAAGAAGGACCATATTCGACACCCTCGAAGACCATCTCGGCTATACGGTTCCGACGGTTCCGACCACGCCGACGACCATCTCGGCTACGGTTCCGACTCCGGCTCCGGCTGGTAGTCGACAAGCTGCCGAGCCCAAATCACTCTGTGTGCCACATTTATTTCTTGTTGGCTTCTAAAAATCTCTCTCACAATATACCATGACTCAACAGGCAAAGCGAGGACGAAGCCGTCGTCCTCAGAAGCATGGTCGAGAAAAAGAAATTTACGAGCAAACTCCTCGCACGACTCGACCGCCCTCGCCGCACGCAAGCTCATTCACAATCTGTCTGCTCTGCGATGGCTCTTGCTGAGTGTGGTGGGGATCGGAGTGGTCTGACCGTGTGGAATGGTCCTGGTCGAGGCCCTCTGTAGCATCGTGAGGCGTCCCTCTGCTCTCGCTCGAGAGATGGTCATCTGAACCCGAAGCATCGGTGTCCAGCAAGTGGAGTTCAAGTCGTACGCGGTTCCGCGGTTTGGTCGCGGGGGATAGACTGCCCGCAGTGCCGCGGGCTTCCTCATCCGATGAAGACATATTTGTAGAGAGTATTCAAAGTGCGAAGGCGTAGTTATACACCGGTGGGGGAGTGGCGCAATTATGCACCGAGTTGTGACACCACAACAGCAAAGAGGTCGACTGTCTCGCAGCGCGTGCCGCCCAGCGAAAGCAGTCGGGAGACTATTACGTGCCAATATTTGGGCGCCGTCGGCGCCCAAAGTGCTAATATTAGGGATCTAGGTGGCGAGACGTGCCACTGCACAGCTCAGGGTGTGGGAATACGGGGACATGGGAATATGATGGACTATTTATCACTCTGGAGTGGGGAAGGAAGAATGATAGGTGAAGCCTCTCGGTACAGGTCAGGCTACTGGTCCTCGTGAGAGTCCTCGTGCCTCACCTCCTGCGACACTGAGAGAGATTCTCTCTCTGTTGCTGTGAAAAGAAATTTCGGCTTTTGAAACGCAAAAAGAATCATAAAAAGAATCAGCACGCAGTGGCCAGTGCCAGAGTGCGGAGGACGGCAGATTCATATCCCGGGACCCTGAGGGAGGGTGAGAGAGAGAGAGAGAGAGAGATTGTTGAGGGTGTAGAGGATGTAGAGTGTAGGTTTTAGGTGTAGAGCGCTGTAGAGCTGTAGAGCTGGAGAGCGCTGTAGAGCTGTAGAGCTCTACATCCACCGCGTGACGAACTGCTTTCCCGTTGTAGAGCGATGTAGAGGCGCTCTCAACGTGAAATCTCTACAACAAACTCTACATGATAAGCGGCGAAGGAGGCACGGTCGCTCTCCGACATGAGGCGCGTTGCACTTGCCAGTGCTGCCCTGGCCTTCTGTCTGCCCGCCCAATGGGTGGCAGGTGCCTCTGCTGCTGTGGCATGCCTCACGGCTGCGACTGGCCGGCGCCTCGGCGCGTCAGCTCGGCTCGGCGTAGCGATAGTGGCCAGCGCAACTCGCCTGGACTCAACGCTCAGCCAGGAGCTCCCGCACGCGCTGGCGCGAGTCATGGCGCATGCAACGCGCAGCAATGCTCGCCTCGCCTCGCGCAAATGCGACCGTCCTCGCAGCCGACAGTCCACCGCCTGCTAAAGAAGCACTGCGATGAATGCGGCACCGGCGACGCATGGCAGGCTGGTCATGACGCAGTTATAGTTGTGGTGCCGTCAGAGTGACTATCTGTGTGTCAGGGATAGTCAGGGCCGTCCATCAGAGCTCCAGTAAGCTCGAAGACACCCCATTAGTGCGACTCGACCTCCTTGAGTCACTGCCTTCCCGGCGGTTTGGCTGTAGAGCCTCTACAACAAACTCTACAGCAAAATCGCGCTCTACATCGCTCTACAACGCACGCAGTTCGTCACGCAGCCGATGTAGAGCTCTACAGCTCTACCGCGCTCCAGAGCGCTCTACATCTCTACAGCTCTACAGCGCTCTACACTCTACATCCTCTACACCCTCCCTCCGCCTCAGCCGGGACCTCCATAAAAAGAAATCACGCTGGGCGAACAAGGTTCCCTGGGCTAGCACTTTCTACCTGTGTTAGTGCCAGTGCGCGCCAGTCCCGTGCCCAGTGTCGTGCGAGGGAGTTTTGTTGAAAAATTCTACATCTAAGCTCAGCTATTATAGCAGGGGCACACACGGCAAAGAATAAACTCTCCTCCAAGGCTGGGGTTTAGATGAACCAGATCCCTAGATATCTGGGTATCTGCCAGATATCTGAAGGCTCAGAGCCACTATCTGATTCTACCAGATAGTAAAAGAGCGCGTCACACCCAGATACCAAGCAGATACCTACCGTCCAGACACGCACCAAGACACACCCACACACTCCGACAGCGGCACGGCGGACAGCGCGGCCGCGACACACCGCGGGCGCGGCAGGGCGCGAGGGCCGGAGTGTCGAGGCGCGCTCCCGCGCTGCCTCTCACCCGCGCTGCCGCTCAAGCCGCGCACCAGTCGACTCCCTACTCGGTGTTGAACTCCGCGAAGAGTGAGTGCTCGAGCGTGGTGTCCTTGGCCGACTTCTGGAGGTCGCCACACGCCGTGCATCTTGCCCGCGGCCGAGAAGACGCGCTCGACGCCCGCGGAGGAGGCCGGTGCGGCGAAGTACTGCTTGACCATCTTGGCAAGCGCCGGCCACTTTGTCTCCTTGGCCTTCCACCACGCGAGCACGTCGAGCTCGAGCCGACTCCTCGGACTCCGCGAGGTACTGCTCGCGAGCTCATCGAGCACCGGGGTCGAATCGGCGGGCGCGACCTCCTTCATGATGCCGGTAAAGTTGAGCTGTGTGAATGCTGCGTGAAGAATATTTTTTCGGGCCTTTCACCACCGCAAAAATCCGGCCGGTCGGCCCACACGTGACACGACGGGACAACGCTCAACGGCAGGACCCCAGATACCAACCAGATCTCTGCCCAGATATCTGCTTGTAAAAAATCGCGGAAAAGAGCAACCAGATACCTATCTGGCACCGTTTTTGCACTATCTGCAGATAGTGAAAAGCACCTAGATACCGGTAAACCCCAGGCCCAGCCTGTTGCACGTTGCAGCTCGCCTCTCACACGGCTTCAATCTACAATCATAAAATAAGATGGAAAAATATTTAAACAATACTCGCCAGCGCAAGCCTGCAGCCTGCCAATCTCGCACGGACACGCTCGTGATTAAAAAGCGACGCGTGTCGCGATCTGGAGGGAGGAGGCAACGGGCCATCGTCAGTGCTGGGTCTACTTTCTGCCAAAGAGGCCGCCCTTCTTCTTCTTGGCGACCGGCGGCAATCCTCCCGCCGCGCTCTTCGCGCCCGGGGCGAGCGCCCCTTTAGTCGGCGTGCCCTTCGGCGCCTTGTCCGCCGCGGCGCTCGCCTTGCCCGCATCATAGAGCGGGCTCCCCACCAGCGGCGGGCCCTGGAACTCCTCCTGCTTGCTCCGCGGCGGCGCGCCGAGCGGCCGCCCTCGCTCCGGCGGCGTCGCCTCGCCTCCGTCGGGAGCGGAGCCGTGCAGCTCCGCGAGCTCCTCCTCGAGCTGCGCGACGTCGATGTCGTCGTCGATCGCGGCGAGCATCAGGTTTTGCGACCGCTCGTCGAGCATGACTGAGAGCGGCAGACAGGGGCAGGGGCGGTGGCAAGCTGTGGCACCACCCCCCGCGTGATAAGGCACGCGAGGTGGGGGTGCTCTGAGGGAGAGGGAGGGGAGGCGGGAGAAGGAAGAGGAGGATTGTTTGCTACTACCGCGAGTCGCGCCTCGGCTCGCTCTGGGCACTGGCGCTGAGGCCGCCCGCGCCAGTCGTTGGCTCTTGGCGTCCGCCCCACCGCCCGCCCCGGTCGTGGCGACCGCCGCCTTTCGGTACTGCGGAGCAGCGGCCGCGTTGGAGGCAGCCGCCGCCGCCGAACTCCTAAGCGGCTTAGCGGACTCCGCCGGGGACGGGCTAACGTCGCGGCGCTCAGAGGCGCGAGGCGAGGCGCCCTTGGAGGAGCGAGCGGAGTCGTCGGGGGAGGCGCCTGTCGCACGCGAGAGGATCAAACGGCGGGCGGCGCTGAGGCTAGCTTAGGGTAGGGGTGGTAGGAGGGAGCGAGCGCAGAGGGGTGCTGTGACGGGGTGAGCGACGCGCGCCATTATCGCCACTGGACGTGCGGTGCCCCTGCGTGAGTGCCGCCGTCGCCATGTACGGTCGCGTCGGGTGCGGTCGGGACTTGTTGTCCTTGCCGTTGGCGATGACTTGCTGGCGGAGCCTGGCGCTCTCCGCCAGAGCTTCCGCCAGCGCCGCCTCCGCCGCTGCGAGCTCCGTGCGAATCAGGTGGATGGCGACCGAATCGGCGACGGCCCGCTCCTCGACTGCAAACGCGATCCGCTCCTCCACATTCGCGTACGCCGACTTGACGGTGGAGCTTGTTTCGCGGTAGACGGCCTTGAGGATCGATGGTGAGAAGGCCGGGATCGGCGAGTCTCGGCTGTGATTGCTGCGCGGCTGCTCTTTGGCCGGAGGCGACGGCTCCTCCTCCTTGGCGGCGGCGGGATCGCCGGACGATGTGCGGCCCATGAGGCCGCCAAACATGTTGAGGAAGGGGTTGCTGCTGCCCTCAGAGGACATTTGGGCGGCGAGAGCTCCGCAGCGATCCTTGTTCGCAGAGCTCAGCACCTGCGTTCTGTGTGTACAGCGTCTCACCCGCGGCTTCCCCCCCCTCTCTGTTCGGCGGGCGCCTTTTTTTCTTTTGTTCTCTTTTTCTTTCTGACTCTCAGGCGTCATCGACCCGGGACAGTCACAATGCTGCGGACCGCCCTCTCGCGCTCGTCGCTCGCCCGCTCGGCCGCCTCGCGCGGGCTGCCCCGCGCCGCGGCGCCGCGGCTCGCTCGCGGCCTCGCCTCCGACGCGGACGGCGAGGACGGCGTCCACGTCGACATGGTGGCACGCATGTGGTCGTGCAAGGCGCGGCCGCTGCGGCCGCCGCGTCCGCCGCTCCGAGCGCCGGCTGTCGCCTCTCACCGCCCGCCTGCCTCCCGCGCAGGTTAAGGACGACCCGGGCGCGTACCAGATGGACCTCGTCTTTGACAGCTTCATTGACAAGGCCTCGCAGGTGGAGGGCGTGGTCGGCGCGTCGCGGCTGCTGTGCAAGTCGTACTGGGACTACAAGCTGATCCTAAAGTTCGAGGAGACGGGCGCGCTCAAGAGGTACCTGGCCGAGAATGGCGAGCACGATGCGCTGATGAGGGAGTACCTGCCCCAGATCGAGAAGCTCACCATAGACGGAAAGGTGCACCAGCAGAGCTTTGTTTACGACGACATCGAGTGAGTGCCTCCCGCCTGGCGCCGCGGCGTACGTGGCGCGCAGGGCGTCCAGGAGCAGGTCGAGAATTCGCACTGCAGCGCGCCCGCGGGCGCGTCCATTCGGAGAGTAGCGCCTCCGCGGCGTCTAGGGCCGGGGCTGGCCATCGCTCCATTCGCTCCCTCGCGTGAGCGCACCATAATGGGTTTTTCTTGTGCAGATGGCTACATTGCCCCGAGAAAAAAGGCCCGCGACCGCCGGTTGCCGCGAAACATCTCGCGCCGCGAGACAGAAGCGAGACTGGAGACTGCGGTCGCCACGCCCGCCGCACTTGAGCCAGCTAATCATGAAGAGCAGCCTGAAGAGCAGCCTCGTATCACGGTCTGCGCTGCTTCGCTCGCTCGCGCTCGGCACGGTCTTCACGGCCACGCGTCGGCCTGCGATCGCCGCCTACACCATCGTCCCGACCGGCTCGGTCCGCGACAAAACCGCCCGGCTCGCCGAGGTCGAGAAGCTCTACGCCAAGACGCCCGACGACCCTTACGCGTTTGGCGAGAAGGCGCAGCTGGAGTACGACATCCGGCAGCTGGAGCAGAACACCAAGTTCGTCGCCTCTACCCGCGAGCAGGTGCGCGCCGGCTCGACCCGCTTCCTCCAGCGGCTGCGCGTCCCGGTCGACGACATGCGCGAGGCGGTGCAGTTCTGGAGGGAGGGGTGCGGCGCGCTGGTGCTGAGCACGCGCATCGTGGATGGGGCGAACGTGACGGTGGTCGGCTTCGGCCCCGAGTCGCTGCGGCGCGACGACGGCGCCAAGTTCGCGCTCGAGCTCGTCGAGTCCTCCGAGCCGGCGCCGATGGGAGGCGAGCACGCGCTGCAGTACGTGCAGCTGGCGATGCCCGTCTTCCGGCTGTCGCGCGTGATGGCGGCGGGCGGGAAGATCGAATCGGCGTACGGCTGGACGCAGCTCACCGCGCCGGGCGGGCTCCCCCTCCGCGTGCGGATCGACGAGTCGCGACGCGACCCGTTTGAGTTTGTCGCGGTGCGCGTCAGCGCGATGGGCGCGGCGGTCGAGCACTTCACGCGGCTGGGGATGGCGGCGGGCAAGCCGCAGGAGGGGAGGAGGCTGCGCAAGAACCTCGGCCTCGACTCGCTCCTCTCCTCCAACTCGCTCCTCGAGGAGAGCGCCGCCGCCGCGCGCCGCCGCCCTCCCGCCCCCCTCGCCGCCGCCACTTTTGGCCGCGACTTGCAGCCGTGCGCGCGCCGGCCGAGCCCCGCGCCCCGGGCCCTCGCCTTCAGGAGGGCGACGCGTTCGAGCCGGAGCGCGAGATCGGCTCCGTCTACGTTGGCTACGGCGACCCGCAGAGCAACACGGGCCTGCTGCTGCTGCCGCCCCTGCCGGGCAAGCGGCCAAAGCCGTCGCTCGGGGCGCAGGGCCAGCCCGAGCCGACGCTGCGCGCGGTCGGCGCGCCGCCCGCCTCCGCCTCCGCCACGGAGCGGAGCCCGGACGGGCTGCCGGTCCGCTTCGAGGACGAGGACGCGTACGAGGGGTCGCTGAAGGCGGAGCGGGCCGCCGCCTAGAGACGGAGGAGTCGCCACTCGCCAGCGAGCGGGTGGGAGTGGAGGAGGTTTGTTTGGGGTGGTGGGAGTGGGTTAGCGCGGAATGGCCCAGGTAGCGAGGTAGGCAGGGACCAGGGAGGCCGCTCCCAACCTTTCACACGGCTTCAAACGTCGCCCTTCAACAAACGGCTTTACAAGATGAAAAATGCACCCTCCCCCAGACGCCAGAGCCTATTGGTATTGCCTATAGTCTATCTGTGTGTGTATCGCGCGCCTTGCGGGGGGGGCGCGGAAAAGAGGTAGAGGAACCTGACAACTACATTGAGCTGATGTGTGATGAGAGGTGCCGTGACCCGTTTGCCGCCCTGCGGGAGGACGCGAGAATCGAGAATAACGGAGAAAAGACAAGGTCAAGTCTCAAGTGTAGGCGTGTTAGGAAAGAAATGCACGCGGCAGCCAGCGATCCATTCAACTGTGCTCCCGACTCTCTCCAACCACGATGGCGGCCTCCCTCCTCTCATCCGAGCTCCTTTCATCGTGCGACTGGTTTGATGACGAGCAGCAGTCCGACGAGGTCGTCGTGTTCAACGCGGCGGCGCCCGCAAACAAGACGACAGCGGCCGAGAACGCGGCAAAGGCCGCCCGGCGCGGGGTGAGCAAGAGCAAGAAGCGCGGCGCGCTCAGGGAGGGTGAGGCGGCGCCGCAGTGGCGCAAGCCGCTCAAGCAGCCCAAGGAGGTGCGCGGCGCGGGCCTCTACCGGTCAAGCCAGCCGGAGGAGGAGGAGGAGGAGGCTGACTCGCCGTGGAAGGGGCTCCCGGTGAGCAACGCCTTTGCCGTCCTCGCCTCGCCCGAAGGCCGGCGCTCGCGGCGAGCGTCGCTGGCGTCGTCAAAGGCGCCGACTCCGGCAAAGGCGCCCACGCCGGCGGCTGCACCCTCTCCCGCAAAGGAGGCGTCCCCAAAGCCGGCGGCGAAAGCTGCAAAGCCGGCGTCGCTGGTCAAGGCCAAGTCGCCGCTGAAGCCAAAAGCGGCCTCCGAGGCGAACGAGGGGACGCCCCTCAAGCGCCGGACCCGGGCGGCCGTCAAGATGGTGCAGGACGTCGTGAGTGCGGTCGTGCAGGCGCTCTCGCCCTCGATCGCCGCCTGCAGCCCTGTCAAGGCACTCGCAGCGCGGCCCCGCGCGACCCGCGTGTCGAAGCTGGCGACCTCCGCCGTCACCGCGGCGGTGGCGGCGAAGCCCGCGGCCCCGATTACGCGGCGCTCCTCGCGACTCTCCACCAAGGCGTGAGTAAGGGGGCTGCAGCAGGGCCGCGCAGAAAGGGCCGCGCAGAACCAGCCTGTATCTAGACTGGAGGTCGAGGCGTTTGTCGCGTGAGAGCGAGTGCGGGTACAGTGCCCCCCACGCTCGTGGCATGTTGCGCATGGACTGCGGCTTGTTCAGTGTCTGGTGGACGTCTCGTGATGCCGGGTGGACTGCATTGCGCGAGACGTGCGCCCTTGAGGGGGCGGCGCCGGCGCCGGGGCGGGGGGGCTGCGACGCGCGGGACGCGCCGCGAGGCTAGTAGAGTGTAAACTAATGATGACATGTTCCCATGTGGCTTGGTAAAACTCTATCCTAAGAGCTAAAGTTATCTCCGGAATCGATCTATTGTGACGAGATCTGAAACGCTCGCCGCTCGCGGCTCGCCGGGCACCGCGCGCACGCGGCACGGCCCGACCCACCTCCCACGCCCCACGGCGGCGCGGACGACGGCGAAACCGAAAGCCGACACGCCTGACGCGCCCCACGTTTTCTCCCGCCGCGCCGCCGCCGACGCCCTAGAGAGAGGCCAGAGGACGGGAGACACGCTCGGCAGTGCAAGTGGACCAGTCACGACCCTAGTGGGAGCCCCCTGGTGCGTGTGGTGTTGTGAGGAATGAGGTCATGTCTCAGGAGGAGAAGACGATAGAGGCAGAGGACGAGGGAGGTTGGCCATGAGGTCAACGGCCTCACATCACGCCCGCCTCCCGCGCCCACGCCTGGAGGTCCAGCAGCCGGGGGACAAGCCCCAGTTGCGTGGGCACGATCCCTATCACGCGCTCGAGCAAGTCGAGCCGCAGCAGCGGCGGCTTCCCCTCCCCGTCGAGGCCAAGGATTGCTTCAAGTTGTGACATCTGACCGAGCACGCCGCCGGCGCGGCGCGAGGCATCGCCGACCGCGGCGGGAGCGGCCGCCGCGCCACCGACGCTACTGCAGGCGCCGCCGGCATGGCTCGAGCAGGGCGGCCCCCTCTCTCCCGCGGAAGCACTCACGCCCAGCGTGGCGTCCGCGAGAGGCGGCCCTCTCGCTGCCGGGTCGGCGGCAGCGGGCAGCGCCATCGCCATCTCGCCCCAGCCGCAAGCCTCGCCGTGCCGACGCGTCGCCGTCGCCGTCGGCCCGTCCAGCGAGGTCGGTGCGAGAGTGGGCCGCCCGCTTACAGAGGGATCGGGCCTCGGCGGCGCATGCGGGGCCGCGCTCTTTTCAACACCCGCCGCACCCGCCGCCGCCTCTGCTCCGCCGCCGCCGCCCGCTGTGCGCGCCTCGCCCGCGCGTGCCCAGCTGTCGTAGGGCGCTAGCATCACCTCGGATCGCGCTCGCTGCACCTGCGCCTCCGTCCCCATCAGGCTGACGAGTCGCGACTCGTCGCCCCAGCCGGGGGGGGGGCCCTCCTTGTCTAGGATGAAGATGTGCGCCCCGGTGCGCCTGCACAAGTCCCGGTACGCCGAGCCGCCCGCCCCGATGAGTCTGCCGATGTGCTCGTGCGGGTAGCGCAAGTCGACTCGCTTGCCGCCGAGCGCAGCGACCTCGGCCATCCTGCGCCCCATTGCCTGCGCGGAGACCGACCAGTCCGGGAAGCCGGCGAGGAGCTGCCCCTCCGGCAGTGCCCTCTGTTGCCGCTGCTGCGGCGGTGGCGACGACGCCGCGCCGCGCTGCGCCTGCGCCTTAACTGCAGGCCGCCCCGCCACCGTCCAGCCGCCTCCGCCCTCGCGCTCCGCCCTCGCAGCCGCCTCAACCTCGGCGACGGCCGCCTCGCGCCGTCGCCTCAACGCCTCGCCCGCAGGCGCGGCGCGGCCCTGAGACCGCATCTGCCGCACCTGCTCCCGCACCTTTGCGTCTGCAGCCGCCGCGCGCCTCGCCTCCTCCTCGGCCGCCGCCTCCTCGGCCGCCTGCAGCCTCCGCAGCGCCTCTTGCTCCGCCTCGGCTCGCGCCTCCTCCTCACGCGCCTTGGCCTCCGCCCGCCGCCGTGCCGACGCAACCTCCTCGTCCTCACTGTCGTCACTGTCGTCGTCGCTCTCCCGAGAGGCATCGCTCTCATCGCTCTCGCCGCTGGCGCTGGAGTCCTCGCCCGACTCCGCGCTGGAGTCGGCGGCGAGCGCAGCAAACCCGCCCCCGCGCCGCGCTGGCTGTGCAGCCGGCGCAGCCGCCTTTGAGGGAGCCGCCGGGGCCGCGCCCTTCCTCCGCCCTCCCTTGCCTCGCTGCTGGCTCGCCTTGGCGGCGCGGCCGCCCTTCCTCTCCGCCGCCTCCCGCTGGACCGCCTCCTCCTGCCGGATCAGCTCCTCGGCGAGTGCGTCCGCCCTGGCCGCCGCCGCGTCCGACTCGGAGGTGAGGAAAGCTCGCACCGCCGTCCGCAGCTCCTCCCTTCCGTCGAGCAGGCCCTGCAGCAGCCCCAGCGCGCGGAGCTGCTCGAGCGCGGCGCGAGCCGCCGCCTGATCGCCCAGCTCCAGACTGCTCTCGAGGTGCCCGAGCAGCGGCTTTGCGCGCGCGCTGCCGGGCAGCAGGCTCTGCGGCATCGCCAGCACCGCGGCAAAGTCGTCGCGCGCCTCTTGAAAGGTTTCGCGCGCTTTGCGCAGCAGCTGGCCCGCCGCCTCAGACACGCTCATCTCCGAGTCCTGCGCCATCATGCTGCCCATCACCTTGGCCGTGACCGACTGCAGCAGGAAGGCCTGCCCTCGCAGCAGCCGGATCTGCGCGCCGCAGCCCGGCTGGCTCGGCGGGCACTCTCCGATGGCTTCGTCGTAGAGCTGGACCGCCTCGGGCAGCTCCTCGAGCATCGACTCGAACACCTCCACCTCGTCGCGATCGCGGTTGACGATCCTCGCGGCGCGAGACGCCTTCTCGGCACACGCCGCCACGGCCTTGATGTCCGCGCTGGGGTCGGAGGTTGCTGCGCGGCCCGGGCGGAACTCGGCGAGCAAGCTGAGCCGCCGGCTTCGATCTCTTCCGCCGGGGATCTGCGCAATGTCGTCGACGGAGAGCCTCCACTGCCCGAGAGAAGCGTACGCCATTGCGCGCACGCTGCGGATCCAGCTCGAGCCTGCCTTGCGCAGACCGCCCAAGCTCTCTCCCAGTGGCGTCGCCAGCGCGGTGGTGGCGTCGCGCACGGCGCGCTCCCAGTGGCCGCACTCCAGGTTGGCCTGCGCGCGCATGGCGTACACGAAGGGCGGCGCCTGCGTGTCCGGATCTAGCTCCTGCGCCAGATCGCAGAGCTCGAGCGCGCGCCGAAAGTCGCCCGCAGCCACCGCGCCGGCGAGCTGCTCGTACGCCCCTTCTGCCGTCTCCACCTCGGGAGGGTCGCTGCTCAGCTCATTCAGGTAGCAGTCGACCGACTCGTTGTTTGGCGGCAGCATCACCGCGACCGAGTCTTCCGGGTCCTCTTCGGCGGCCGGCCCCACCACCCTCCCTCGCGCGCCGGGCATCAGCCGGTCGCCGTTGTCGAACGTCTCGGGCGGGCCGACGTAGTACACCTCGTCTCCCACCACGTAGTCGCCAGGAAGAACGGGCGGCGGGTCTCCGCTCAGGCTGTCGATGTGGCACTCGACGATGCCTCCCACCGTTGCCTTTGGGCTCTGGACAAAGTGGAGCTTGATCATGAACGGCGATTCGGACAGACCCGCTACCTCGCCCCACGCGCCGTGGTCGAGGCGGCCCCCGCTCTTGAAGGTGCGGCTCGGCCCGGTGTAGAAGAGCCGGTCCCCAGCGCAGTGGCCGCCGGGGAGCGGCGGCGGCTTGGAGGAGGAGAGGAGGCTCAGGCGGCAGTCGATCGGCTTCTGGCTCCACGGGAAGAGCACCGCAACACTGTGGTCGGGCACGCCGAGGAGTGCTGCTTGCTTGGACGCCTTAGATGTGGACGCGGGCCCTGCGATCTCGCCACGAGCGCCGTGCTCGACGCGCCCGGCGCGAAACGCTTTGGAGACGCCCTGGTAGTACACAACGTCTCCGAGCCGGTAGCCGCCCGGCAGCGCGCCGCCGGCCGAGGACGAGGAGGAGGACTGGCTGCCAAAGACGAAGACTGGCTGTTTGCCCATGCCTGCTGAAGACGACTGGTTCTTCGGCGCGGCTCTCCGCGAAGAGTGTCTCGCAGATTGCGGTGTGCGTGGCCGGTGCACGGCGCGTGCACCACGGCGTCGAGCAAGGCGCTCGGTCCACAGCGGGCAATTCTTACTGTGCCGTACGAAAGTGTGAACAGGTTGGAGCAGCAGCTCCTGAGCACAGCGCCGCAGGCGCCTGTTGATAGGTCCAGGTGGTAGCCCTGGATGGGCAATGCATACGCCTCACTGGGCCTTAGATCGCCCGACCGCGTTCCGGTGCTCTGTGGTCGGATTTGTGACGCCGCCGCACCCACCGACCGCGCCGCGGCCGGGGCGCGGGGGCGCTCCGGAGGCCGAGGATGGCCGTGACGGACCGGGACGAGCTCTGGGAGGTTCAGTGTCAGTGTATATATTGTAGAGATCAACCATGTGCACAATATCTCTCAGTCTAGCTAAGCGCCTGGGAAGGCGATGCCGGGGCCGTACAGCAGCTTGATGGTGCTTCGCCGGCGTGCGTCCCGGAGCGGTGCCGGACGGGCGGTCCGTGGGAGGAAAACCAGGATCAGCGCCGACGGCGCTCTGATTCGACTTTTAACTTCAAACAAAGACAGTCGCACGCGCCGCAGCGCGGCGCGTGCGACTGTCAGGAGCGGATCCGTCAGCTAGTCGTGTTCACGCCGGGATCGTGATCCCGACAACCTGGGCAGACTTTAGGCCACGACAGTACGCGTAAGAAGTTAAGAATTTTTTTGAGAGCGCCTTCGTTGTTAATAGTACAAACCCGATGGTCCTCTGCGAGCGGTCCTTCGTTGCAGTCACGCACACGCACACGCCATGCCGCACCGCGCGCCCGCCCACCGCCCCGCCCAGGCGGGAAAGAGATGAGGAGATGGGACAGCAAAGGAGGAGTACGAGCACGTATGGGAGGGTTCAGTAATGCGCCACGCTGCCCGGCGTTTCTCACTTTCCGGGACAGCCCCGCCCTTTCGCGTTTCGAGGCAGGAGAGTGACGGCTGGCTCGTTGTGCGAGTATATGGGACACGATGTCTCAAATATGAGAGGTTTTGACTCCTACCGGCTCCTGACGCTATCCCTGGCAGCTCTAATGACCAGGATCAGTAGTGCTATGATAGAGGGTGCCCATACTAGCGCAGGAGCTGCCACACTCGCCCGGACCGGCTCCCTCTGGGGCCGGTTCCGCAGCCCGTGAGAGCCGACAGCGGGGCCGTGCCGCGGGTGCCTACTGCCGAGTGCCACAAACACTGCGCCGTCCCGCCATCACCTACAGGCTGTCTTGTGTGATGGTTGGGATGTCCAAACGCCACCATCTTGGCTCTTGCGACCTCAAACCCGCGAGCTGTATGGGTGGTCCTGACGTCGACAGACGCCCGATGACCACGGTGAAGCTGAGCCGTAACGAGTCGACAAAGTCTCGTCTGAGCCCGTGGCGGTCGCCGGCTGAGTCGCTGTGCACGGGCCGGTACCTCAGGCGTCACCTCCGCAGCCTCAGGTCTCACACTCCATCACCGCCGACGGGACGCCGTCGGTGGCACGCTCGGCGGCGACTTTGTTGCAGCCCCACAGCGAGCGCGGCGTCGAGCCTACCCACTCCAGTTGGTTCGGCACACTCGGTGGGGTCCACTGAGTGTGCCGAACGCGCGAGCGGTGCGTCCCGGCAGCCCGCGCTGGCTGCGGAGCTGCAACAAACTCGAGTCACGCTTTTTGGGACATTTTCGACGCTTTTGTCCCATTTACTCGCACAACATGCCGGCTACCCCGTACGCACCTGCTGCTCATCTGCTCTACCCCGACGCCGACCGCCCATTCCCCCCTCCTCGTTCCCGCCTCGAACTCTCCGGACCCCGACAAGCCGCCCGACGTTGGGCCTCTGCCCCGCACGCCCCCGCCCCTTCTGCCCCTCGCACACACCCAGGCCCGACACGCACATACAAGACAAGCCCGGCGTCCTGCTCTCAAAAGAAAAGAAAAAATGGGAAGGAGGAGACCAGCGGGGGAGACTCCCCGCCTATGCAACACCCCAGAGAGGGGCTGCCATCGCCGAAGCTGTGCCTAAGCATAACTCCCAAACCCGCAGCGGCCCGGGGGGCCTTGGGAATTTTTTTGGTTATCCAAGTACGTACGCTCATCTTGACCAATTAGCACTTTACATTCTCACATCAACAACAACCTCTCTGATGCTCTCTCGCCACTGCACTCTTCTCTCCCCCCTCGGCTCAGCGGTCCACCGGAGACGAGCTCGAGTCGAAGAAGGGAACGTTAACATCGGATGGACCGCCGAGCGCCGTGCCGTCCACCGCGCTGCCTTCGCGCGCCATCACGACCCCCTCCTCACGCCGCCTGCCTCGCCGCGCCTCGCGCCTGCTCCAGCTCGCGGTCGCTGCGCATCAGGTCCGACTCGGTGTACAGCGTCCACGTGAAGAAGGAGGCGAAGCCGACGATGTGCCCGCCGAGCCAGAGAGGCGCGAAGGTCTCGACCCACTGCAGCAGCCGGCCGGAGGGGTACAGGGCGAGCGCGAGTGCAAAGTAGAGGCGGAACTTCTCCTCGACCGTGTCGGTCGCCTTGTTCCACTTGTTGTACGCCGTCACCACGCCGCCCACGAGCAGGATGGGCACGAAACAGGTCACCAGCGAGGTGCGCGCCACGTTTTGGACGAGGGCGGCGCGGTCGAGCCGCTGGCGGACCGACTCGAAGAGCCCCCACGCCGCGCCGCCCCCCGCGGTGTGCAGGTAGAGCAGCACGCCCGACTCGATGAGGGAGGAGCGGGCCGCGTGCAGGGGCTGGGCCCGCGCCTCCGCCTCTGCGGCCGCGTACTCGGCCACGAGGGCCCGCTCCGCCGCGGGCAGCCGGGCGAGCTCGGCGGGCGGCCTAGCTCGCGCGAGAGACACTTCCTAGACACTTCCTAGACACTTCCTAGACCATGTCGGCGGGCGGCCTAGCTCGCGCGCCGCAGCAGTGAGCAGAGAGGGGTGGGCCCTCCCTCGGGCGGGGGCGGGAGGGCGCGCCTCGCTGCGATCGCCGCCGCGAGCCTCCCCAGCGCAACCTCCACCTGCACGCAGACGAGAGGGGCGCGTGGCGGCGTGTGCTTGCGGAGCCTGGCGGCGGTGCGGCGGCACACGCCTTCTTCCGCCGGACCGCCTGCGAGGAGGCCTGCGCGGCGTGGAGCGCCCCGACGGCGCCCTCTGCTGCGAGGAGAGGGACCGCCTGCGGGGCAGAGGTCGGGGGCTGGGAGCGAGATGGCTCTCCTCTGCTGGTGGCCCTCCTCGGCTGCGAGGGCAGGGCCGTCTCGCCTCGGGGAGGGCCGCCATCGAGCAGAGGGCGGCGGCGAAGGTCTTGCGCAGGTAGAGCGCCGCGTCCGGGTCGGCGACAGCGCGAACCAGCCTGCGGCGAGGAGCGGACGAGGGCGCTGGAGGTGAGCAGCGGCGGCGGCGGCAGGTGCGGGTGCGGGTGCGGGTTAGCGGACGTGCCTCGCGTGCTCTCCGCGCTCGAGCAAGAGGAGGGCGGCGGGCGGCGAGGCGCAGATGTACTCGACCACCTTGGCCGCGTGGTTGCGCGCCGTCTGCGACGCGTTCGGCTCCGCGCCGAGGGCGATGTCGATGAGCCTGCCGGAGAGGCCTGCCGACTGGGCGAGGGCGAGCTTGAGCGAGTCGTTGAGCGGCGCGCCGCGCGCCTGTGGCGAGCGGAGCGGGTGTGGGCGGGATGGGCCGGCGGCACGACCGCGCGAGGGGCGTGCTGCGCGTCACTCTGTGCCGGGCGGAGAGCAAGAGAGGGAGGGAGCGCACCACCCTCTCGAGGCGCTCCGTCAGCCGCTCCTGCGGCGTGTCGGGCGAGAGCAGCGGCGCCTCAAACTCCTCCAGGTGGAACAGGATCTGCACGCCCTCGTCGCCCTGCGAGAAGAAGGCAGCCACGTTGAGGCTCACGGCAGTCCACATCGCTATCGGGATGCCGTGCCGCTGCATCACGCCGGCGGACGGCTCGCCGCCCGCCGCCGCCTCCGCCGCCTGCATGCCGTGACGAGCTGCGGCGCCGGAGGACAACCGGCGAGCGCATGTCCGCGTCGCGAGGCGGCGGCAGGCTGTCGGGAGGCGCAGGCGGCGCGAACGACAGAGCATTTTCCGACAGCAAAGAGAAACCATGGAAAATCACTCTGAATTACATGACCACACGTGTGGTGGCGGCGTGTCCTCCCATCCCTCCCTGGCGTCTGTTTTCTTTATTTTCACATGACAAGCGATCCAGGAAAGAGAAAACGCGGCCCTTTCTGCGAAGAGGGCCGCAGAAACAGAAACAACTTTTGGATTTTGTAAAAGAAAAAGCCTGGTCTCGCGCAAATCACACCTCGCTCAAGCTCGCCCTCGCCCAGTCGGCAGGCCTCTCCGGCAGGCTCATCGACATCGCCCTCGGCGCGGAGCCGAACGCGTCGCAGACGGCGCGCAACCACGCGGCCAAGGTGGTCGAGTACACCAGCGCCTCGCCGCCCCCAAGCCAGCAAGTGCACATGTGCGTCTCGCTCCACCTCTCGCTCCTCTCCATCGTGCGGCCGCTGGTCCGCACGCCGGCCACGTCGCTCCTCCGCGATCGCGAGAGGAGTCCGCAAACGTCCCTGCAGCTGGCGGAGGCGCTGGTGCCGTTGCGCCGGCCGGCGCCGGCGCACTGGCGCGACCGCGACATCTCTTGGTCCAATCCACAGGGATCCGTCCTCACGCAGGTCCACGACGACGTATGGCTCGCCGAGCGGCCCTTCTTCCCGCGCCTGCCCGGGCTCCAGGGCACCGACGTCGGCGGCAAGATGGCGGTGGTGCGGCTTCCCGACGGCACGCTGTGGGTGCACTCGCCCGTGGAGCTCGATTCGGCGCTGCGCGATGCGCTGGCCGCCCTCGGGCCAGTACGCCACGTGGTGACGCCCAACACGGAGCATCAGAAATACGCGTCCGACTGGCTGCGCGAGTACCCGGAGGCGACCGGCTACTCGTGCCCGGGGCTGCGCGAGTCCAAGCCGGAGGTCGGCTGGCATCGGTCGCTCTCGTCGCTCCTCGACGCCCCGAGTGGCCTCACCTCGGCGAGCGCCCCTGCTGAGTGGTGCAGCGCCATCGAGCTTTGCTGGGTCGAGGACAGAGTGCCACTCACGCGCCGCCTGCCCTTCTTCAATGAGGTTGTCTTCTTCCACCGGCCCTCCCGCTCGCTCATGTGTGCGGACCTGTGGTGGAACTACCCCGACTACGCTGACGCCGACGCCGACTTCCAGGTGCCGCGCTCCACCCGCCTCTGGAAGTGGGGGATGGACGTGGTCTACAAGCCAGTGTACAATAGGCTGATGAAAACAGACTCGTGGGAAGAGAGCTATCGTGTCATCGCGGGGTGGGAGTTTGAGACCATCCTGCCGTGCCACGGGGAGCCGGTGGCGGAAGATGCCAAGAAGGTGTTGGCATCACACTTGGCCATGGCAGGGTAGATCTCTGGAGGCGTGGACAACATGGACTCGACCTTCCGCGGTGCTCGTTCTTTTTTCCCTTCGTCTTTCATCCCGCTCGCTGCGTCCGCCCCCGCGGACACGGGAGACGCGTGGGTTTGAGTAGAAGTGTTTTGTGACGTACGTGTGGTGGACATGGATACATATTAGAGCAGGACGTACACGGCCACGCGCGAGAGAATGCAACAACATAGGCTAACATTCGGCGACTTGCGCGATGCCGAGCTCATTTTGCCGCGCGCGCCACAAAAACCAGACATGACACACAAGTATATACGGTAGGCCGGTGCGGTGAGACACAAAACGCAAGTAGTCGCACGGCCGTATACTGTACTCCGCTGTTCTCCGCCACGCAGAATTCGCGCGCGGAGAGTGGGTGTGCGCGCGTTGGTGCCGATTCGCGGTCATGCCGCCGGCGGCCCCTTGCGCTTGCGCTCGGCAGCGGCGGCCCACTGGAAGAAGCGGCAGTTGCTCTCCTTGTCGCCGCGGTGCCCCTCGGCGCGCGCGCAGCTGTAGAACGTCTTTCCCTGCGTCGGCCCCGCCTTCTTGACGACCTGCACGCGGCACTTCTCGCCGTGGTGGCAGCGCGGCACCTTGTCGGACATCCGCTGCATCACCTGCTGCCACGCCTCCCGCTGCGCCGCGCCGCCTCCGCCCGCGCCGCCTCCGCCCGCGCCGCCTCCGCCCGCGCCGCCGCGAGGAGGTGCCACCTCCCGCAGCTGCTCCCAGGCGCGCGAGTCCTCCGCCACGGCTCGAGCGCTCAGCGCCGTCTCCGCCGCGCCAGCGCGCGCCTCCGCCGCCCGCCCGCTCGCCCTCTGACGCCCGCGCTCATCGCCGCCACGCTCGCTGCCGCCGAAGAAGCGGCGCAAATCTTGACGCGGCGGGGCCGCGGGCGACGGTGCGGCGGCGGGCTGCGCCGGCGGCGCGGCGGGCTGCGCCGGCGCGGTGGCGGGCGGCGGCGGCTGCGAGACGAGGAAGCCGCTGAGCACACTCTGCCCTCCGAGCCGAGACCGGCTGCTCAGCGGCAGCTGCGGCGGCGGCGAGCGCTGCTCGAGTCCGGAGAGGAGGAGGCGGAGGGGGAGGTGGTCGGATCCCTCGAGCTCGACGATCTCGCACGCGTGCAGGGACAGGGGCGGCGCGGCGGCCGAGCAGTCCGAGAAGAGAGAGAGGTCGAAGGAGGGGCCGCCCCGCCGCGAAGGAGGGGCGGTGGCGCCGACCGACGCGTGTGCAGAGCTGCCGTCAGCCAGCCCCGAGCCAGCCTGCCCCGAGCCAGCCTGCCCCGAGCCAGCCTGTCCCGAGGAGGGGAGGAGCGGAGGCGGCGCGAGGAGGGCGAGGTCGATGCGCGAGCCGTAGTTGTGCCGGTCGGCGCCGGAAGCGACGTGGAAGCAGCTGTACGCCCCGCCGCGGGCCGGGTGGAGGGCTCGGAACGCGTCTGCGAAGAAGGGCCGCGGCGGCCCCAGCAGCGCCTGCAGCCACAGCCGCGAGGCGGACGGCGGCGGAGGCGCTTGCAGCAGCTCCGCCTCGCGAGCAGAGTCGAGGCGCGAGGGCGAGATGTTCATGTCGCCGATGAGGAGGACGCGCAGCCCCGCCGCCGCGAGGTCGCGGCAGCGCAGCTCGAGTGCGCGCAGGAAGCTCGCCTTGAAGGCGCGCCTCCGCTCCGACTCTTCCGGGTCGGACGCCGTGTTGGCAGGCGCGTACACGTTGAGCAGGGCGAGGTCGGCATGGACGGTGATGACGCACCGGCCCTCCGAGTCGATCTGCCGCAGCTCCTCCTCGCTCGACTCGGCGACGAGGCTCGCGCGGTGCCCGATGGACGAGTCGAGCACGCCCGTCACGCCCTCCGCGGCGAGCCGCGGCCGACAGCCAGTGCGGCAAAACGTGGCAACGCCGGCGTAGCGACCGCCCGACGTGCGCGGCTCGCGTGCGCGGCAGAGAGAAAAGTAGGAGTCCCACCCGTCCACGAGCGCCAGATGCCGCTCCATCTCGCGCAGCTTCACCTCCTGAAAGCAGACAATGTCGGCGTCGAGAGCCGCGAGCAGCGCGGCGAGCGAGCCAAAGCTCTGACGCCGCGAGATGCCGTGCACGTCCGGCGCATCGAACGAGGCCGCGGTGCTCGACGCGAGCGTCGCGAGGCCGCGCAGCCCAATGTTCCAGGAGACGACTCGCAGCGGATGGCTGGGTTCCGAGCCCCGATGGCAGCAGGGCTGAGACGCCTCCGATGGCTTCGCAGCCGCCATTTCTTGTGAGAAATAAGAAAGCATCCGCTACTAGGAAGAACGGCTGCTTTCGACCCGGCCCAAAACGAACGTCGTGTAGCCCTCCTTTTGGTATAACAAAAAACGAACGCTTGGGAGGAGGTGGCGCCGGATGGCGACAGCGGTCAGCGCAGATCTCTCCCCAGCGTTGCCTTGCTGTTAGCTGTAAGAAAGAATGAGCTGTAAGAATGTGAGTCGTGCTTGTTGGTCTTCAAAAATCTAGCTGTCAAATGTAAAAGAAAGAAAGAAAACAGACCGTCCAAGTACAGCCCAAACACGAGGATCGAGGGATAGGGGAAGGAGGACAGGGTCCACACCTCTCACCTGCACGAGCAGGATTTTGGAAGCTGTAATGTGGCGGCTGCATTGTTTCTGCCTCTTTTCTTTCTGAATATACAAACATGTCAGCTGACCCAAACAATGGCACAAAGAATGCACAAAGGCGTCAAAAATCGTGTGGGAACAGAGGGTAAGCAGTACAAGGCAAGCCAACTGAAGTGTACACTGTATGAGAGTGAACATGCCGAAATCACTGCCCGCTACGGGGCCAACACGGCTCCGCCCTGCTGGGCCGTCTCGACAATGTCGCGGCCCCTCGCCCGCACTCGCCCCTCGTTGGACAACAGCGAGAGCCACGTCTTGTGCAGCAGCGACATGGCGGTGATGACGAGGATGCGGCTGTGGGGAGGGACAAAGGCAAAGTTGAGGCTGCAGGCCGGCAGCCAAAAGGCGACCGTGCCCGATGCGGCCGTGACCCACTCCTCTGAGAGCTGACGTCCTGCCTCTGCCAGCGTCTGCCCCTTGAGCAGCCCGGTCGTCAGGTAGAAGCTCGGCACCACGATGAAGGCGCCATTCCCAAACACGTCGACGGCCGCCTTGATCAGCGGCGCGTTCCCAAACCAGCGATCGTAGAGCATGTAAAAGTGCCGGCACGGCCCGCCGTAGAAGGCCGTGCCCCATATCACGAGCGCGCGCCAGCGCTGCCAGTCAAAGGAAAAGGGCCGCCCGTCCGGCGGGCTGGAGTGATGGGAGATGAGCTGCGCCGTCGCGTCCGAGGCGCCGAGCACGGAGCACGCTGTCGCCGACGCCACCTTGTGCGGGTGCGCGTCGGACAGGCGGGCATAGGTGGATCCAAGCGAGCGCGGTCCGCGCATCGCCCGCTGCAGCGCTTCAGCGAGGCGGCCGCCGCGAGGCAGGGCGGCGCGGGCCGCGGGCCACTGCATCGGGGCACCACAACCACAACCACCGCCACCGCCACCGCCACGGGGGGTTGGGCGGGTCGCAGCCTCTTGGATTGTGGACGGTCCAGGAAGGGGTCCGAGGGGTACGGCGGATGCGAAACCAAAGAAGACTCGCGACGCTTTCTTTTTTCGTGCTGGGTCCTAGAGAGGAGATCCTCGGACGATGACGTTGCGAGCGGCACTGCGAGCACGCTGCATGGCTCGCACTCGGTCGATGGACGATGTGAGGCGAGCATCTTGCGAGAGTCACACACGACAAGAAGAACACGACACATACGACACGACAGGGACACAGACACAGACATAACAAACAAAGGCACACACACTGCGCTCCCCTCAGCGGGCAGGGAAACGCGAGCCCGACGGAGTCCGGTGGCGGGGGCCCCCGCAGCCAGCCCCTGCACTGACAAAGGGGTCATGGGTTTTAGGAGGCAGGTGGTGGGTTTGAGTGTCGTGAGTGCTTGCAGCCGCGAGTGCAGCACCGTTTGTGACTCCCATGGATACAGTTGGGTGGGCCACGGTGCTGGGGGGCGGTCCGGTGCGCCACAACAGCCTCCCCGGCTGACCCCCATCCAGTTCGACACCTCCATCCCGACCGTGGAACCCCAACTTCAACCGGTCATATCTCGGGCGGACTGGCACCTCAGGAGCTCATCCTGGGCGGTTTTGGGGAGTCTTGGGGGTGTGCTTGAAGGTGGTAAACAGAGTTTTGCACCGCAGCTTAACCGAGGGGCGTGCTGAGCACCGTGAAAACAGCGGACCACAGCTTATCACAGATCACAGAACCGGGCGGCATATTCCGTTTCTGCCGCTCTCCGTACCCAGCTCTCTCGCCTGGCAAGCGTCGCCACCGAGTGTCCGCACGGCAAAGCTAGCAGGCGCTTTTCTTCGAGGCACACGGGACAGCTCTGGAGCCGCCTCGCCACCATGTCCACCACCCGCACCGCGCTGCTCGACAGCCAAGACGACAACGCGGAGACGGACGCGACCGCGCCTGGCGACGCCGCGCCGGCCGAGGCGCCGCCAAAGTTCACGCTGCGCGGCGAGGCGTGGACGATGTTCATGCTCGGCTGGCCCATGGTGGTGAGCTTCGTGTGCCGGATCGGCATGGCCTCCACAGACACCGCCTTTGTCGGCCACCTCACCAACGCGACGACCGGCGTCTTCTTTGACCGCCCGTACAGCGGGGAGGAGTACCTCGCCGCGGCGTCGCTCTCCGACATGGTGGTCAACATCCTGATCGTGCCTCCGCTCGCCTTCAACCAGGTGCTCAACGCGCTGGTCGGGCAGGCGCTCGGTTCGGACAACAAGAAGATGGCCGGCACGTGGCTGCAGCTCTCCGTCTTCTTCCTCACGACGAGCTACCTGCCCTTCATGCTGATCCAGTACCTCTTCACCGCCGACGTGCTCAAGCTGCTCGGCTTCAACCACGACATCTGCGAGCTCGCCGGCGTGTACGCGCGCTGGAACCTCTTCTGGCCCATCCCGAACGGCATCTACCAGTGCATGCGCTTCTACTTCCAGGCGCAGGGCATGCCGCGCCCCGCGATGTGGAACAACCTCGCCTTTGTCCTCGTCAACGCGCTCCTCAACTGGACCTTCGTCTTCGGAGGGCCGCTCCAGTACGCCTGCGGCTGGACAGGGTTCGGATTCATCGGCGCAGCGACGTCTCTCCGGCAGGCGCCTGGAAGCACGCCCGAGCCTTCTCAAGACCATGCCTGTAGGCGCAGCGATGTCCATCTCGGCGTCGCGCTGCCTGCAGCCCCTCACGTACTGGCTGTACATGTTTGTCTACCGCCGCGCGCACCTCGAGACCTGGCCCGGCCTCTCGTCGGCCTTCCTGCGACCGGACCGCGTCCGCCGCTTCCTGGCGCAGGCGCTGCCCCTCATCGGCACGCTCCTCTTCCAACCGCCTGGACGCGTCCTTGCGCACGTCCGTGACATGTCCGTGACACGTCCCGCAGGCACGCTCATCTTCCAGTCCGTCTCGGGGCAGGTCACCACGCTGCTCATCGCGCAGCTCGGCGCCCTCGCCACTTCCGCCTCGCCCGCCGTGAAGCTTCCCCGAACCTTCGGAGCCTTCCCGCAGGCACCCTCGCCATCTCCGCTTCGTCCGCCGTCTCGGCGGCGACGCAGGTGGCCTCGTCCGGCCTCTCCGCCGCTTTCACCGCCGTCGCCGCCGTTCGCATCGGCTTCCACCTCGGCCGCGGAGACGTGCGCGCCTCAAAGGCGGCGATGTGGATCGTCGTCGGCACGAGCGTCGGCACGAGCCTGCTCACCGTCGCTGTGCTCTGGCCGTTGCGCGCGCAGCTCTGCGAGCTCGTCACTTCGGACAGCGAGGTCGTGCCCGTCGCTTCGATGCTGGTCGCCGCCGCCTTTGTCGCCGCCGGCTTGCCGCAGCCGAGCATCGGCTTGGTCGGAACCTCCCATGAACTTGCTCGGGACCCTCCCCATAGGTCTGTCGCAGCTGGTGAGCATCGGCACGTCGGGCGTCCTCTCAGGCCAGGGCCGCACCCCTTCTGATGGCGCCGCTGAACCTTCTTCCGAACCCTCTCTTGACCTTCCTACAGGTCAGGGCCGAACGTTCGTGACGACGCTGCTCTCGTTTGGCTTCGAGCTGCCGACCTCGATCGGCGGCACCGCCCTGCTCGTCTACGTCGCAAAGCTGCGCGGCAAGGAGGGGCTGCTCGCGGCAACGTCGGAGCCTTCTCGCCCCTTCTCTGAACCCTCTCGGAAGCTGCCTGCAGGAGGGGCTGCTAGCGATCACGTGGGCGGGCGGCGGCTTCTCGCTCGTCGAGGTGGGCGTCGTCGCGCTCATCATCCTCTGCGGCGACTGGAGGCGCTTCGCGGCCGACGCAAAGGCGCGGCAGGAGGCCGACAGCCAGCCCGCCGCGCCCGACGCGGAGGGGGGCGACGGCGGCGAGAGCGGCGGCGCGGCGGCGGGGGAAGGGACACCCGCCGACGGCGCAGCCGAGGCGCAGGACCAGGGCTCGAGATGAAGGGAGAGGGGCGTTGGGGAGCTCCGCGCGGTTCCGACTTCCGTGGAGATATTTTAGGCGCGGGGTGTAGAGTTTGAAGGTGGGAGAAGAGCCGCCCATATGTCAGCCGATCGTGCAGTGAGATCCGATCTGGCAGATGCATCATGCGCATGGCGGGCACAGATGCTGTGACGGGCCGGTTCAGACATCAGAGAATAATACGTCTTCCTGTGCATTCAGACTGTGCAACATTCTGATATACTGATTCTCCCACGCTCCACCTCGCGTGAGCCGTGAGCGCGTCACGGCAAAAAGAGTTTTTAATTAAAGTATAAAGAGTCGCTAACGAGTCGTACGACGAGATTAGGAGCAGCAGGGACCCGAGGGACCATGTGGAAGACGGCTAGTGCTAGTCCCCCATCGGGAGGACGACCCCGGCTAGTCGCCGACCACACCCACAAAGAACCCTGCACAAAGACCGCAGGGCGGGGACCTGTTCCTTTTTACCCATCTCCTAGTAGAGGTGTCCGTGTTATTTATTTATTTAACGAGTCGTAACTCGTGAGAAATTCCTTCTACAAAAAAGCTGCCGGTTTCACAGCACACACACTGGCACACTGCTCAGTGGTCAGACGGTGGACAAGAGAGAGAGGTCTCTCTCTCTCTCTCTCTCTCTCTCTCTCTCTCTCTCTCTCTCTCTCTCTCTCTCTCTCTCTCTCTCTCTCTCTCTCTCTCTCTCTCAGTGGACACCGCTGGACAGGTGAAATGAGAGAGAGAGAGAGAGAGAGAGAGAGAGATCAAGAATTCTCTCTTTCTCTCTCTCTCTAGGTGAAATGGGGTGATTTGCAACCCCTGCCTAGATGAGTACAGCTGAACAGTACCCGGTAAGTATAAAAGTTTTGGCCAAAACCCCCCACAATGGCTGACCCCGGGGGGCAACGATCAGGGGCGGATTGGGGGATTTTTCGGAGTGCGCAACTGGTTTTTCTCTTGCTGTTCCTTTGCGAGCGCGGCGGATTCGGCGATGCTCCCAGCCTCGCTGTGCGCCGCTGGCCTCCTCCTCGTCGGCGCTGGACTATCTCAGCCCTTCTACCTCTTCATCGCCGCAAATCCGTGGGCTCAGTTGGTCGTCGTAGGCTTGGTCCTCATCACGGCTGGCCTGATGTCAGCACTACGGGAGGAGGGCCTCGCGGCGCTCCTTCCCACGCCGCTGCGGCTCTGCCTCTACGAGTCGCCCTTCGCGCTAGGCCTCCATGTCCGCAATGCGGCCCGCTCGCTGCAGCCGGGACAGATCTCGCTCCAGCCAGACCCGCTTGTATCGCAGCTTGCGCGAGTCGCCGCCCTTTGCTGCCTAGACCTCGAGGATGCGCTCGTGCGCGAGATCGTCTCCTCGCTCGACGCCGACTTTCGCGAGGCTGCCTTCAACCCGTGCGCTCGCTCCCTCCACCCGACCCTCCTCAGCGTCGTGCTCGGCCGCCGCGGGCTGGCTCAGCTTGCCGCGATCGAGCGCGAGAAGCTGCGCCGTGGCCCGCAGAGCCCGGTGCCACCGGCGGCAGCCGGGGGTGACGGCGACCCTCCGGTGCTCCGGCGGCGCGACACCAAGGGCATCGCGCGCGAGGTGTTGCGGCTGCACGGCAAGAGCAGCGGGAAGAGCCCTCTCAGCCCGGGCGCTGCCGACGAGTCCGACGCCGCGTCTGCCGCCGGAGACCTGGACAAGTCGTCGGGCAGCGGCGCCATCGGCGACCTCGCCCTCGCGTGGAAGATCGTCTCCCTCCACCTCGTCGTCCCGCTCTGGAGGGCTAGCGTCGCCCGCGCCAGAGTGCGCCGCAGCCGCAGCCCTCGCCAGCCCCCTCGCTCCCCTCCCAGAGAGGAGTTGACCCTCCCCCTCCCCCCTCCCAGAGACGCCTCCGCCGCCTCGCAGGCGTCGGCTCCGTGGAGGCTCGTCGTGGCGACCTGGACGGCGCTCGCGCAGAGCTGGCTCGTCCTGGCGGCTTCGGCCGCCTATGCGTGGCTGATGGCGTGGGTGCGGCAACCGCCCGCGCGCAAGGCGGCCGGCGGCGAGAACGGGGAGAAGGGCTCGGAGGCCGCGAACGCGCCTCGGCGCGGCCGCAGGCAGAGCCTCTTCGGTCGGCGGCAGAGCCTGGAGGCGTGAGGCTGTGCTTGCGCGCGGGGAGGAGGCACGGGGTTCCCTCTTTGTGCATGGGTGCGCTACGACGCTTGTGAGTTGCGACTCTTGATGAGCCTTGTGCCTGTGGTTGCCAGTTCGCATCCGCTCTCATCGCTCTCGGAGTTGACGGTTGTACGGTGTCGCTCCCCGAGTCCTGTGGTCTCTGCTTGTCTGTCTCTGTGTCTCTAGTCTGTCTGTGGTCCAACGTCTCAAGAGTTGAGCTGCCTCTCCGCGGATCTCCGTGCGTGACTTTGATTGTTTTTGTCCGGGGAGCGGGGCGGGGGGGCGGGGGGTTCGTGGTACGTAAAGCCGTAGGTGGTTGCCGCTCCGTTTCTAAAAAAACCTCGGACATTTTACGAACTCCTTGGCGACGTGCGCGTCGCGTCGCCAAGGCTCTGCGACCTCGGTCGTACAATCGGCGACCTCGGTCGCACAACCGGCCGGATGCGCGGGTTTTCAGCCAGGTTCCCGCGCACCGGCCACGAACTCGACTCGCACAGCAAAAAAATCCGGACCACGAAGCGCCGCCCGCGCGCCCATTGACCCCCCAATCAGCCCTCTTGCTGTCCCTCAATCCCCACCCGCCAGATGTACTGCCCTCGCCCACCCAATACTCCCACCCTCCTGACCCGGACAGTCCAGGTACAGGAAAAGCGGGGAGCGGGGCCCGATCCAAGGAGCACCCCGTCGGCCCGGGAGGGCTGTGAATTTCGGCGCGAGCGGAAGGCTGCCTGCAGACGCTCAGCCCCCGGCTGAGCTGCCGAATCCTCCCGGCTAATCCCCTGACCTGCCGCCTGAAACGGGACGACATTACACCACCTCACACACACTCCCCCCTCAGGGCTAAGCAGTGCGCAAGTCCACCCGAACTCTAGGCGAGGCGTCGACCACTCCTTCGGAATAGCTCTGTCAGTGGCTGCACTAGACGCCCAGAGATGGCGCGCGGCGCGGGCGGATGACTGCGGAAGAGAAAATGCGGAGAGGCTAGCTCGCAGGTAGATGTGCTCAGCCAAGGGTAGGGGATGAGGGGAATGTGTCAGTGTGGGGGGTGCACCAACCGCAGAGCGTTGTGTTTTGCCTTTAAGACTTGAACAGTTTTTTTTTTGCCGCTCCGTTTCTCTGTTCTGGCCTTTTCTCCGTGTTTACTTCGAGTTTTGTGTCCGGCAGAGAAGACACAGACGCCCCAAAACACGCCTCGACCTCGTCACGCGGCAAGTGCTACAGGCTCGGCACTCCGGCGGAGCGTGTCGCTCTGAACCAGCAACACCGTCTGCGTCTCCTCGATCCTCGATGCGCGTCGCTCCAACAGCACCTCACGGATCATCACATCGCCTCCGGCCCGCTCGGCGACGGAGCTCCCGAGCCGGTCGCGTTGAGCGGCTCTCTGTGCCCGCGGTGCACCCCCTCCACGGCGCCCGCTTCCGGCGCCCGCCACGGTCCCGCCCGCGAGGCTCGCTCCACGCGTCTACCGGCGCATCACAGCCCAGCCTGCGTGCGGTAGTGGTCGGTCAGCCTCACCTTACCGCCCTGCGGCCGGCGGAAGCCGCCCGCCGCCGCGCCGCCCGCCGGCATGCCCGCGGGAGGACAGCCTCCGTGCGGGCCTGCCCCCTTGGAGAGGCAGGCCCCCGGGGGCCCTCCTCCTGCGCCGGGGTGGTGGGGGGCGGGCGGGGCAGGGCCGCCCGTCCTCGGGCTGCCGCCCACCCCCCCTCCCACCCCCCCTCCCATCCCCATTCCCATCCCTCCGGTGGGGGGCGGCGGCGGCGCGGCGCGCAGCTCCTCCTGCCGCTTCTCCTCCGCCTAGACAGGGACGTGTCCGAGACGTGTCACGGACGGGGGTCCTCGACGGCTCCGCCGCCGCCTCCTCCTCCCCAGCCTCCTTCTCGAGCCACTCCGCGGCGCTCATCCCCGCCGGCATCCACGCGCCAACCTCGGCATTGTACACATACTTTGGCGCCTCCTCGACCGGCCCGTCCCCGCCCCCGCCCCCGCCCCCCCCTCCCCCTCCGCCCAAGTCCACGCCCGCCGCAGCCGCCGCCTGGCGGGCCCACGACCAGCCTCCCTGCAGCAGGTCGGCCGGCTTCTTCTTCCCCTCGACCAGGTCGACCAGCCAGCCGCCCGCGCCGCCCTTGGAGGCGTCCTCCTCGCCCTCTCCTCCGGCGGCCTCGGACGGGCCATGCCCGCCGCCCAATCCTCCGCCGCCGCCGTAGCCAGGCGCGCCCGGAAGGCGCATCGCAGCGGCGCGCGAGTCGTAGGCTGGCGGCGCCGCAGCGGCGTACCCTCCCGGCGGCACTGCCGCAGCCTGCGCGGGCGGTGCAGCGTACACCATGGAGGCTCCTGCGGGCAGCGGCGCGCCAGCACCGGGCGTCTTGGCCGACCAGTCGCTCACGCGATGGCTCGGCGGCGGCGCCCACTGATGAGCGGCGGCCGCCGCCGCCGGTGGTGCGCCTGGCATGAGGCTGGCGTCGAGCGGAGCAGCGCTCGCCAGCATCTCCTCAAAGCCGAGCTGCGGCGAGAGCGGCTCGACGCCTCCGCCGCCGGCGGCGGTGGACGACGCCGGGGGGGGCGTCACCGGAGGAGGCGTGCCCTGCGCATGCTGCTGCGGTGGTATTGCTTGCAGGTCGAGGCCATAGACGCTCATGTCTGACAGGAGCGCGTCAATGTCCCAGCCGCTGTCCGGGTCGTAATAGAGATCCGCGTCGGCGTCCTCTCCAGCCACGGACTGGAGCTGCGCGAAGAGCGCGGCGCCGTCGGCGGCCATGCAGGGTCCTTCGTCGGCGATGCGCTAATACTACCTTTGTTTCCAGCGGTACCAGGCAGGGTTCGGACTTTTTGCGGGGTATGGTATGGTACGCGGCAACCCACCCCGCCGACGGTACCGCACCCGCGCCGGTCGCCGCACCCGCACCAGCAGGCGCCGCGCCGGACTGAGCCGCAGCCTACCACTCCGCCGTTCGAGCTCGTATTCACTCTCTGCTGGCGCTGCACCAACCAAGGCATCGCTGCTCGCGCTGGTCACCGAGATGCGTAACCTCGCAAATAAGGAGGAGCGCAACACAAAGGTCAACCAACTTGGACGGCTGGCGTTCGAGATCTTGCGACGGCTATGTTGATTCGCGCGACATTGAGGCGCTCCGCAACCAGAAGGGTGTCGGCGAGTGGAGTGTGGAGCAGCTGCAGCAGCTCTGCGACACGGGCGCCTGTTCCTACCTCATGGCGCTGCGGGCTCGGCGGCAGTAGAGGGAGGGGCCGACGGGGACCATACCCCCCCCACCCCCTGTCGAGGGCTAGTCTTGGGGGGTCAGGACCATATACCCCCCCACCCTTTGGTCCGCGAGGGTACCATACCATACCCCGCAAAAAGTTGGAACCCAGTGGGTTGCGGGCATGAAGAAAACAGGATTGAGACACGCCGCCGTTTCTAAACCTTTCCACAGCCCTCATCCACCCCACGCCGTGGTTTCTTAGCTCCGGCCGGGGCACTCAATCAAGCCAGAGCGCCGGCAGGATTTTCAGGTATTAAAGCTGCGGAGGTATCAAGCTGCGGTCCGCGAGGGCGATGCCAGAGTGCAGTCTGCCGCCGAGCGGTCGGCTCTCTGGATGACGGGAAGACGCACACACGCCTCCATCCACTCCACTCAGAACTCCGCAGACTTGAAAGGTGACAAGTGCGCGCGCCGCAGGCGAAGAGAAATTTTGAGCTTCAGCTGGGGCTCCCGTTCACACTCGTGTCTGGCCTTTTCTCGGCACTCGGGGCCGCGCCTGCGGCGCGCCGTGGTTTCTTAGATTTTCGCGGAAATCGCTTGCCGGCTTGGGAGAGTGTTTTGTCGGCTTGGTAGGGTTTCTCAGGTAAGGTTTCTTAATGCCCGCAACCCACTGTACGAGAGAATTTTCAGAAGATAATTTTACAAGAAAAGGCGCTCGCACAACAGAAGAGAAAGCGGACGGATAGCAAACAAGAACACAACGCACTCTCTCACGTTACAAGGGACATTCTGCAGAGATGCAGGGAGGAGCTCATCTACCCTTATAAGTCTCTCGTGTCCGCGCCGACGCTCTTTTAACGTAGAACGTCCCAGCTACACCGCCCGCCGACGATCGATCAGTCCACAATCGTCGGCCCGCAGCGACCCGCAGCGATGGATGCCGCCGCCCCCCCGGCCACTGCGGCCGACGCGCCGATGCACGACCGGCCTCCGTCGGATGGCTCTCCGGCCTCTCCGGCCGCTGACGCGGCCGCCCATGCTGCTGCCGATCCGGTCCCTCTCACGCTCAGCGATATCCGCACAAGCTACGACAACTTTGAGGTCGCCGGCTTTGGCCAGGTGCAGCCACCACCTGCGTGCCTCCATGTTCACGCTTCGCGCCCCTCCCCCCTCTCTGACGCCGCCGTCTGACCTTAGGTGAGGGGCACGACTACCCGCCTGGAAGGCGCTCTCATCAGCAAGTCACCCAGGCACCAACTCCTGGGCGTTTACGCTTGACTACGAAACCATGCAGTGGATGCAGCTCGATCAAAACAGCGACGCCAACAGCCAACAGCTGGCCCCTGGGCGAGTTCCTTGCCCAGGATGAGGTGCGAGCCATGATGCTCGACCCAGCGTGCACCAAGCCGCTCACATTCCGTGAGTTCGTCAACGGGCTCTCCAAGTCGACGGCGATCTCGAACTCCGACAACCGGACCGATGCACCAGCCGCGGAGGACGATAGCTCCCTCGACGACATCCCTTCATCGACGGACGCCTTCACCGCCGCCGGCCCTGGGCCATCCATCGCGGCCTCCGACTGGCTGCCGCAGGTCACACCCTATCTATCTTCCTTAGGCACGGAGCCGACGGAGCCATCGCGCACGCCCGCAGCATCGCGTGCTGCTCCGAGGTCTCCCGCCGAGACCGGCTCGGCGCGGCTTTGACTGACGTGACTGACTGATGAGTGCTTGCGATGGAGAGAGATGTTGTTGCGATGGATGATCTCCGACACCCCCAAAACCAAAACGCAAATTGCCCCACTTTGGATCCTGCGTCTCTCACTGCCCGAACAACAGAGGCGGGTACCGCCGCAGGTCCCCCACTAGTTGGGAGATACTTCTTTTCGACGCCTCGGCGACCCTTAAAACTTCTTTTCGAAAAAGAAAAGCTAAGCGCGCGTGTCGCGGAGGCTCCAGCAGCCTTCGGCTTGTCCATGAACGCCTCACAGGCTGTCAGCGCCGCCGACTCGCACAGCGACAAGCGCACGCACCGCTCGCTCCTCGAGCGTCTCCGGCAGCACAGCCGTGGCGAGTCGGGCTCCGCCTTTGTCGAGGCGCTGCTCGAGGCGGCGGCGGTGGCGGCGGCCTCGCCGCGACGGCGCACCCCGCTCGGCCACGCGCAGCTACTCAGCATGGTGAGCGCCACCGTCGAGGAGCGCTGCGCCCTCGGGACAGCCGAGTGCGAGGCTGCCGTCGCGGCCGTCGGGCCACGCCTTCCGGCCCTCGCCGCGCTGCTGCACGGCGCCCACTCTTCGGGCGAGGGCTCGGCGGCGTGGAGGGTGGGCGTCTCGTCCGTCCGCCGCCTGCTGCGGGCGCACGGCTCGCTGCTCGCCTCGGCGCAGGCGTGGCTGCTCGCCGAGAAGGGCTCCGCCACGCCTCCCGCTTCAGAGGCTGCCGACGCCGCATGCGCGCTCGCCGGCGCAGTGCTTCCGCTCCTCCTCGCGCGGGGCCGCGCGTCGGCGGAGCAGCAGCTCGACTGGGCGGCGTGGTCGAAGCTGCTCGGCGGCCTGCTGGCGACCGCCTCGCCCGCCGTCGCGATCGACGGCTTTGCGCCGCTGCTCGGCGCCCTTCCGGCCGAGGAGCTGCTCAAGCGCGTGCTTCCGGCGGTGACCAAGGCGCTCAAGCGGGCGGCGGAGGGGGTGCTTCCGTGCCTGCCGAGGCTCTTCGCGGCGCTGCCTCGCGCGGCGCCGCTGCCCGCGGCCGCCGCCTCCTCCCTCTCTGAGCAGCTCGCCCCATCCCTCCTCGCCGCAAGCCCCGCCGGCCGCTCCGCCGCCGCCGCCGCCGCGCTGCGCGCGCTGCGCTCGCGGCTGTGCGGCGGCGGCGCGGCGGCGGCGGCGCGCGCGCTGGTCGGCGCGAGCGGGAAGGGGACTCAGCTCTCGCCGCAGCAGCGTGTCTCTCTCGGCGAGGCGCTCGCTTCCCTCGCCTTTCCGCCATGCGGCGCGGCAGCCGCTGCCGGCGCGGCAGAGGCGCAGGGCGCGGCCGAGGCGGTGGCGAGCTACTTGCTCCCTCTGGCGGCGCGGGAGGCGTCCGAGCCGGCGCGCACCGCCATGATGGCGGCCGTCGGGAGCTGGGTCGGCGTGGCTGGCGTCGGAAGCGCGGACGCGGCGGTGAAGGCCGTCGGCGCCGGTCTGGTGGACAAGTCTGCAGAGGTGCGGCGGGCGCACCTCGCTGCGGTGCTCGGCGGCCTGCAGTCGGCGGTTGAGGGGGGCGGTGCGGAGGGCGGCGGCGCGTCGGGCGCGCTCCTCTCGCTGCTCAAGCCTTCGGCCGCAGGCGAGCCCCTCCTCGCCATGGTCCGATCCGCGATTAAGAAGGCGCCCACGGCGCCCGCCGCCCGCGCGGATGCGCTCGGCGCGCTCGCGGCGCTGCGGGAGGGGTGTGCGCTGAGCGAGCCGCTGGCGGCGGCCTGCACGGCCGACAAGCTCTGGCAAGCGGCTCTCAAGGCCAAGGAGGCGTTTGCGTGGGCGAGCGCGAGCAGCGCAGGCGAGAAGGGGTGGCCGGGAGGACAGCCAGGGCGAGATCTGGGGAGAGATGGGGAGATGAGGCGTCTCCTGCGCGACATGTGGGGAGGTGTGGGGAGGTGTGGGGAGATATGGGCGCCGCCCGCTCTTGTGCTCACTCGTCCTGCCACGCGCGGCGCCCTTCCCTCGCGCAGGCGCCGGGCGCGAGGTGCGGATGGCTGCTCGCTGCGTCGTCGGCGTCGCCCTCTCGCCGCTCGCGTCGACGTCTGCGCACCGCTGCCACGGGCGGCGCTTCGCCTCCCTCTATGCACTGACCCGCCCCGCCCTTCTCCACGCAGGACCGCCGAGGGCGGCGCGCTCGACGCACTGGTCCTGCTCGCCCTCGCCGACGACGCCGACGCGCGGCTCGCGGCGCTGCACGCGCTCCGCCGGCTGGGCGGCGCTGCGGAGGCCGAGCCCGAGGCGGCGGCCGCAGCGGCGCTTCTGGCAGGGAACGCTGCGGCCGCTCTGCGCCCCGAGCACGGCGAGGGGGCTTGCCGCGCGCTCGGCTTCGCTCCGCCGGCGCCTGCAGCCGCGCCGGCCGTCGCCGCGGCCGCCGTGCTGCGCGCGCTCGAGCGGGCGGCGCGGAGGCAGGTAACGGAGCCGGCGGGTGCCGACGGCGCCGCGGGCGAGCCCGACGCCGACCCGGCCGCCCCCGCTGCGGGGGCGGCGATCGCGCACGGACGGAGGCTCCGCGCGGCGCTGCGTGCGGGGATGTCGCGGCTGCGCGACGCGAGGTGCGAGGAGCTTCCGCCGCTCGTGCCGCGGTTGCTCCTCCTCTGCCACCAGCCCGCCCTTCTGCCCCGCGAGCCCGCCGGGCCGGGCGGCTGCGGCGGCCGGAGGCCGTGGGAAGAGGTCGCCTCCGCGTGGGGGGAGGCGGCGGAGGGGCTGCTGCGGGGCGCGGCCGACGCGGTTGCCGAGCTGGTCGCCTCGGACAAGGGCGCCGCCTCCGCCTCGCGCGACACGAGGCTGGCGGCGCTCGCCTCGCTGGGCGCTCTCGCCGCCTCGCCCGCCGAGGTGCGGGCTGCCGTCACCGCCGCCCTCCTCCCGCGGCTTGAGGCCCCGATGCGCGAGGCTGCGGACGAGCTCGCTGCCGCGACGCCGTCGGAGGTCCATGCGCTGCGTTCGCAGCGCGCGGCCGCCGCGTCGAGCACGCCAGGCGGCGGCGGCGGCGGCGGCGGCGGCGGCGGCGGCGGCGCCAACGGGCGAGGCGCCGACGAGGACGTGGAGGCTGCGATCCGCGCAACGTTCGCTCGGCGCGCGGCGGAGGCGGGCAAGCCGGCGGCGGCCGAGAAGAAGCCGAAGGTGGACAAGGCCGAGGCACAGCGTCAGGCCGTGGCCGCGGCCGAGGCCGAGGCGTGCGAGAGGCTCGGCCGGCGCACCACCGAGCTGCGCCGCTTGGGCGAGCTCCTCTCGGCCGCCGCCGACGCCGCGCCCGCGGCGGTGCGAGGCAGGCTGCCGCAGCTGCTGCCGCTGCTCGTCCGGCTCCCGGCGCTGCCTGCTCTGCGCGCGGCGGACGGCGGAGGGTGGCTCGAGGCCCTCTTCGAGTCGCTGCTCGCGTGCGCCGCCGCGCCGCTGCACGCCGTTCGCGCGCCGGTGGCGAGGGCTCTGCTGCGCGTGCTCGCGCCCGGAGACGCGGCGGGGGAGAGTGGCGCGGGCGGCTCGGAGCCTCTCGCGCTCGCGCCGCTGCTCGAGGCGCTCCTCGGCGCGTGCGACGGGATGCCGCTGCCGCCCGCGGGGTACAGCTTGCTCCTCCCGCTGCTCGAATGCGCCCTCGCCGACCGGGCGGCGGCGGCGGCGTCGCTCAGCCTGCTCACCCTCCACGCCGCGCCCTCTTTGCCGCTCGACCAGCCGGCGCGCCGCACGAGCGTCCGCCTCCTCCTCTCCCTCCTCTCGAGCGACCGGTGGCGCGCCGACGCGGCGGTCGCGCTCGAGGTCCTCGCCCCGGCCCTGCAGCCGGCCTCGCTGCCGCAGCTTGTCCGCGCCGCCACCGCGGCCGAGGGGCCCGACGAGCGGTGCGCGGCCCTCAGCGCGCTCTGCCACGCGGCGCCGCTCGCCGAGGGGTGGCACCCTCCCGACGCGCCGCTCGCAGCGCGGCTCCACTTGGCGAGGTACGACGACGACGCCGCCGCCGCCGCGCGGGGCGCCGACGCGTGGGCGCTCTACGCCGGCTGCGTCGACGCCGCGGAGCCGGGCGCGCCGCCGCTGCCGGCCTCGCTCGAGGCGGAGCTGCTGCCCGAACTCGCCGCCCTCTCGGGCCGCGAGCGGGCACAGGCGGCGCGTGCGCTCGCGGCGGCCGCCGCCGACGAGCCGCCGCGGCTCCACACGCTGCTGCAGCGTCTCTTCGAGATGCACAAGGAGGCGTCGCCGCCGCCGAAAGCCGCGGCGGGTGCCAAGGGCAAGAAGGGCGCGCCGCACGCCAACGGAGCCGAGGGCCGCGCCCCAGCGGGGAGGCGCCGCCCGCCGCGCGAGCGGCGCCTGGACACAGCCAGCTTGCGACTCTAGGCTCCGAGGAGGAGGACGACGGCTGGCGCGCGCGGCACGGAGTCGCGCTCTGCCTGGCGGCGGTGGCGCCCGCCGCGTCGGTGATGCAGCTGCCGGTGGCGTTCGCTTTCCTCAAGCGCGCGCTCGCCGACGAGGTGGAGGAGGTGGCGGCCGCGATGACGGCGGCGGGCTGCGCGCTCATCAACGAGCAGGGTGCGCCCGACCGGATGGTGCCGCTCCTCGCCCCGATGTTCGAGACGATGCTCTCCGAGGCGGCCACCACCGAGGCGGACGAGACGTGGCGCGCGGCGAGAGAGACGAGCCGCCTCTCCTCACGGCTCGGGTGCGAACAGGCGGACGACCGCGTGCGCACGGGCGTCGTCGTCTGCTTTGGCGCCCTCGCGCGCCACATCCCTCCCGACGACCCCAAGGTCGGGCTCGTGCTCTCGCGGCTCGTCGACTCGCTGGCGACGCCGTCCGAGGTGGTGCAGCGCACGGCGGCAAAGTCGCTCTCCGCGCTGCTCTCTCGGGCGGAGGTCAAGCCGCGCGGCGCCGAGGTGCTGCAGGAGCTGCTGGCGACGCTGCTGGCGACGCCGTCGTACGCGATGCGACCTTAATTAATTAACACTAATTAACACTCATAAACACTGATTAAAGGCGACGCCGTCGTACGCGATGCGGCGCGGCGCCGCCTTTGGCCTCGCCGGAGTGGTCAAGGGGCTCGGCATTGCCAGCCTGAAGAAGGAGGGCGTGATGGCGGCGCTGCAGGCCGCCATCGAGGAGAAGAAGCGGGGCGAGGAGGCGTCCAACGCCAAGGAGGGCGCCCTCTTCGCGCTCGAGGCGCTCTGCGAGACGCTCGGCCGCCTCTTCGAGCCGCACGTCGTCGGCGCGCTGCCGCTGCTCCTAGACACTTCCTAGAGACTTCCTAGAGATTTCCTAGAGACTTCCTAGGCGCGCTGCCGCTGCTGCTCTCGTGCGTCGCCGACGGCTCGGGCGGCGTGCGGCACGCAGCGGTGTCGGCGTCCGGCGTCATCATGTCGAGCCTCTCGGCGCAGGGCGTCAAGATGGTGCTGCCGTCGCTGCTGCGCTCGCTCAAGGAGGAGGACAAGTGGCGCGCGCAGCACGCCGCCGTCGAGCTGATGGGGTCGATGGCCTTCGTCAACCCGAAGCAGCTGTCTGCGACGCTGCCGCAGCTCGTGCCGGCGCTCACCACCGCCCTCACGCACTCGCACGCAAAGGTGCGCGAGTCCGCCTCCGCCGCGCTGCAGTCGGTCGGATCCGTGATCCGCAACCCGGAGATCTCCGAGATCCTGCCGGCGCTGCTGCACGCGCTCGCCGAGCCGGCGGCGGGCACCGACGCGGCCCTCTCTGCGCTCGCGCACTGCCAGTTCGAGCATTGCGTCGACCCGCCCTCGCTCTCGCTCATCGTGCCGGTGCTGCAGCGCGGGCTGCGCGCGCCATCGGCGCAGGCCAAGCGGCGGACGGCGCACATCACGGGCAACATGTGCTCGCTGCTCGCCGACCCGAAGGACATCCTGCCCTACCTCGACATGATGATGCCTCAGCTGCAGTCTGTCCTGCTCGACCCGATCCCCGAGGTGCGCTCGACCGGCGCCCGCGCGCTGGGGCGGCTCTGCGCCGGCCTCGGCGTCGACGCCTTCCCGAACCTGATGGCGTGGCTGCGCGAGGGCCTCCGCCGCGACTCGTCCGCCGTCGAGCGCGCGGGCGCCGCGCAGGGCCTCGCCGAGGTGCTCGCGGCGCTCGGCGACGAGGCGGTCTCTGACGAGCTGCCCGCGCTGCTCGCCGGCGCGGAGGACCCCGACCCGGCGGCGCGCGAGGGGCACGCGGCGCTGTGGACGCACCTGCCCCGCGTGCTTGGGCCTCGCTTCGAGCACCACTTGGGCGCCGTCCTGCCGGTTGTGCTGGCGGGGCTCGCGGACGGCGCCCGCGCCGGGTCTGCAAGGCGAGCTGTGAAGAGCGCGGCCGTGAGGGGCGGAGCTGCGAATAGGCGCCGAGCAAGTGCGCGAGGCCTTTCCTAGACCTTTCCTAGACCGCTCCTGGAACCTTCCTGTAGGCGCCGAGCCGGTGCGCGAGGCGAGTTTGCGCGCCGCGCACGGCGTGATCGCGACGTACACGCGCGCGGCGGCGGAGCTGCTCCTCCCCCCGCTGCAGCAGGGCCTCGCCTCAGACAACTACCGCATCCGCCAGTCGTCGATCGAGCTGCTCGGCGAGCTGCTGCTGCGGCTGACGGAGCGCGGCCCTCTTCCGGTCCTCTTCCTAGACACTGCTTAGACATTTCCTAGACACTTCCTAGACACTTCCTAGCGCGGCCCTCTTCCGGTCCGCTCGAGGAGGGCAAGGGCGCGCCTCGCCTCGGCCCTCTCGGAGCCGGCTCGGCCCCTCCCCACAGGTGCTCGAGGAGGGGGAGGACCCGCCGGCCGACTCGCCGCTCGCGCACGTGCCGACAGCGCAGCAGCACGCCCTCCTCGCCGCGCTGCACATCGCGCGCTCCGACACGGCCGCCGCCGTCAAGGCTGCGGCGGGCACCGTGTGGAAGACGCTAATTAACACTAATTAACACTAGTTGCCACTAATTAGGCTGCGGCGGGCACCGTGTGGAAGACGCTCGTCGAGAACACGCCGCGCACCCTGCGCGCCATCCTCCCACCCTCGCCTAGTTAACACTAATTAACACTGATTAACACTAGTTGACATTCACTAGGCGCGCCATCCTCCCCACCCTCGCCGCGCAGCTCATCGGCACGCTGGCCGGCGGCGACGACGAGCCGCAGGAGGCGGCGGCGGCGGCGCTCGGCGAGCTCGTCGTCAAGCTGGGCGAGCGCGTGCTGCCGCGGCTGCTGCCGCTGCTGCGGCGCGAGCTCGAGGAGGGGGACGAGGACCGGCGCGCGGGCGCCGCCATCGGGCTCACGCAGCTCATCGCCTCGGCGGGCCGCGAGCACGTCGAGCGTTTCCTGCCCGAGCTCATCGGCGCGGTGCGCGCCGGCCTCTGCGACGAGGCGGCGTCGGTGTACGGCGCCGCCGCGCGCGCCTTCGCCGCGCTGCAGCGCGTGGTTGGCGCGGCGGCCGTGCACGAGATCATCCCCGCGATGCTCGAGCTGCTCGGCTCGGGCGACCCGGCCGACGCCGACGCCGCGATGCGCGGGCTGCGCGAGGCGGTGGCGCAGCGGCCCGCCGCCGTGGTCCCCTTCCTGCTGCCGCGCCTCTGCGCGCGCCCTGTCAGCACCGCGGCGGCGCGAGCGCTCGGCGCCGTCGCACACTCTTGCGGCGAGCACCTCCACCTGCAGCTCGACGTGGCGCTGCCGCCGCTGCTCGACGGGGTCGTCCTCGAGGCGGAGCTCCTCCCCGCCGGCGCGCCCGCGGGCGCGGCCGAGCCCGAGCAGCGCGAGGCGCTGCTCGGTGCGGCGCGGTCCCTCTCGCTCTCCGTGGGCGAGGAGGGACTCCACCTGCTGTACGGCGAGGTGCTGCGCGCCGCCGCGCCAGCCGCGCCGCCGCACTCGCGCGCGGCGGCGTGCGCGCTGCTCGGCGCGGTGATGTGCGAGCGCGCCGAGGAGCACGCACCGCACCTCGGGCCTGTCCTCGCCGCCCTCGTCGGGGCGATCAACGCGCCGCAGCCCGCCGTGGTGCGCGCGGCGTGGGGCGCGCTCGACGCGCTCGTCAAGGCGCTGCCCAAGGAGCGCTACCCCCTCCACGTCCACACGCTGCGCGAGGCGCTCGCCTCACTCGCCGACGAGGCGCGCGCTGCTGCGCGCAAGGCGGCCGCCGCCGAGGGGTCCGACATGGCTGGCCAGGCGGCGGCGGCGGGTCGCGTCGAGGTGGCGGGGCTGGCGCTGCCAAAGGGCCTCGCGCCGCTCGTCGCGGTCTACCTGCACTCGCTGATGACCGGCTCCGCGGAGCTGCGCGAGGCGGCCGCTCTCGCGCTCGGAGAGGCGATCGGGCTGACGCCGGTGGCGGCGCTCAAGCCGTTCGTCATCCAGATCACCGGCCCGCTCATCCGCGTCATCGGCGACCGCTTCCCCGCCGGCGTCAAGGCGGCGATCCTCGCCGCGCTCACGCTGCTGCTCGGGCGCTCCCCCGCCGCGCTCAAGCCCTTCGTGCCGCAGCTGCAGACCACCTTCGTCAAGTCCCTCTCAGACGCGCAGCAGTCGGTGCGCGCGCGCGGCGCCGCGGCGCTCGCGGCGCTCGCCGCCATCGCGACGCGGCTCGAGCCGCTGCTCACCGAGCTCGCCAACGGCGTCGCCACCGCCGAGCCCGACGTCGCCGCCTCGCACCTCGCCGCGCTCGCCGGCGTCGTGCGGCGCGTGCCCAAGCCCCTCTCTCCCGAGCTGCTCGCAAAGGTGGAGCAGGCGGCGCTCGCGCAGCTCGCCGCGCCGGACGAGGCGCGCGCCGCCGCCGCTGCCGCCACGCTCGGCGCGGTGGCGCGCTGGACCGAGATCGAGCCGCTGCTCGAGCGCATCGAGGATGGGTCTGCCGGCGACCAGATTGCCGAGCTCCGCGCGGGGCTCGCCATCCTGCGCACCGTCGGGCCGGGCGGCGTCGCCGCCGCCGCCGCCCCCGCCGGGGCGCTGCCGCCGCCGCCCGACGCGGTGCTGGGCGCGTCCGCCTCGCTGCCGTCCCTCCGACCCGCGCTGCCCGCGCTGCTCGCGTCCGCTCAGGCGGCCGCGTCGTCCGCGGACGCCACGCTGCGCCAGCCCGCCGCGCACGCCCTCGGCCGCGTCATCGCCGCGTTCGCTGAGCCAGAGCCCGAGGACGCGGCGGAGGCGGAGGCGGAGGGCGCCGACGCGGCGGCCGCGCTCGCACTTGCCGCCGCGGCCGGCGTGCCGAGCTCAGCTCTCGAGGCGCTCGCCGCCCTCCTCGCCGACGCCTCCTCGGACGTGCGCCTCTCCGCGATGCACGCCGCAAAGCGACTCGCGCGGTTGCGGCCGGCGGCGCTCGCCGCGGCTGGCTGTGCCGGCGGCGCCCTCCTCCTCCCGCCGGTGGCCGCGGCGATCGCCGTCAAGGGCAACACCTTCTTGCGGAGCGGCGCAGAGCGAGCCTTGGCGCAGGTGCTTGCCACGTGCGCTTGGACGGAGCCCGCCAATCTGCCGCCGGCTGGCAGCGGCCCCGGCCGCCTGCCTCCCGAGGCGCGCTCCGCGGCCGACGACTTCCTGCGGCGCTCGTACCGGCGGATCCGCGCGATGGAGTCCGAGGCGGAGCGCTCGGATGAGGACCCCTGAAGGGTGTCGTTCCGCGCCCTCTCCGCCGGCGCTGCCCAGCGCGCGGCATGCTCCCGCGCATGCCACTATAGTTACGGCTCGCCGAGTGGAAAAGGGAGCCTGCGGCAGCCACTTTGGTCCCCTACCCCTTTCACACACCACACAGTAAAAAAAACTGTTCAGTTTTCAAAGGCAAAAACGCCAGCCTACGCCCTCCCCTCACACTGACACTTCTCCCCTATTCCCGTCTTTAGGTTGCGCACATCTCCCAGCGAGCTAGGTTCTCCGCTTTTTCTCCCCTAGTCATCTGCCCGCGCCGCGCGCCTCTGTGGGCGTCTAGTGCAGCCACTGACAGAACTGTTCCAAAGGAGTGGTCAACGTCTCGCCTGAAGTCGGGTGGGCTCGCGCACTGCTTAGCCCTAGGGGAGGGGTGTGTGTGAGGTGTCGGAATGGTAAGGTTTCAGGCCGCCAAGGTGTGGGGGATTTGGGGGATGAGTCAGGAGCCAGCAGCCTTCCTGCTGGACCTGAGTTCACAGCTCCTCCGCCCGACGGGGTGGTCCCTTGGATTCGGGCCCCGCTCCCTTTTCCTGCGCCTGGTCTGTCCCTGTCAAGTGTGTGTTGCGAGATGCAGAGCTGGTTAGGCTGGAGCGCGGGCGGTGCGGTGGCAGGCGAGGGCAGCGCGGTAGGCGAGAGGCGGCCGCGGGGCTTCGAGTGGCGCGATAGGAGGGTAGGCTGGCTGTGGAGGGGCGCCGCGTGGCCTCGGCAAATGAGTAGTGCTTTATGAGCGGCCAGTTTTGTGCGTATTGCATATCGAGCCTGCGGTGTGGCCTAGTTGGTGCAGCGTTCGGGTCGGGGACGTTTTGGTCGTTGGTTCGAGCCCAGCTGGTGCAGTTCGTAGTCGCGTAGCGCGCGGGTGCGCGGCAGCCTCGGCAACCGAGGCGACAGTGGCGAGCAGGGGCGAGCAGGGGCGAGCAGGGGTCAGAGCAGTGCGGCGCGCCGAATTTTTTTCGATGGGCTCGGTCAGTGGGCGTGTCAGGAGGCGGCCGGCCGGGAGAAACTCGGCAGTAAAACTCCCGCGCCGGCCCAGGAGGTGGGAGTGTCACGGAGGCGGCCATTGGCGCGCGCTCCTTGTCTTCGTGGGTCCGAGTTTTGACACACACCACACAGTAGTGTGTGGCGCGCCGCGTTCTTCGATGTTTTCGCTCCGGAAAAAAGCGCGTACTTTCGCGGTGCCCGTGCGGGTGGTCTTTTGTTCTCTACCACGCCACTTCCTACACTGTTTAAAAAAAGCATGCGCGGTTGTGTGTGGCGGCCTCCTCGCGGGCGGCGGGCGCAATAACGGGGACGAGACGCGGTTCGCCTGCCCTGGTCGCGCGAGCGGCGGTGAGCGTACGGCGCAAACGAGATCGTATCGTGCGGTTGCGCCACGGATCCACGGCTACTAAACTAGGCAGTGTGACGGCCCGAGATCGAATCTTACGGGTGCGCGAGACGGCCATCGGAATCGAGAAGAGTGAGGAGGAGGAGGAGGAGGAGGAGGAGGAGGAGGAGGAGGAGGAGGAGGAGGAGGAGGAGGAGGAGCTACTTGCCCGCGGCGTCGGCCAAGGCGTCCTCTCGCAGTCGCGACAGCTCCTGCGTGAGGCCCTCCAGCTCCTCTGGGCTGGGGATCGCATCGGTCGAAGCGGGCGGCGTAACGCCGCCGTCGATGCAAGGAAGCTTCGGACGCCGGTCGCGCGGCGGCGGCTTCGGCTCCGGCGGTGGCTCCGCACCGGCCACCGTGCCAGCGGCGCCGGGGCTGGTTCCGTCATCCTCAGCAGTGCCGGGCAGCCGGACGCAGACGCCGTCCTTGGGAGGCGCGGACGCCGCCTGCTCAGACAGGATGAGGGCTGTGGACGCCGTCCGACGGCGGCGCGGCAAAGTCTTCTCCGTCGAGGCTGAGCCGAGCGCGGCGATCTCACAGCCGAGCTGGTGCGAGCGCCGCCGGCGCCGCTCCGCCACGGCGAGCGGCGCTCCGCTGTTGTCGTTGGGCGGCGGCGGCTCCTCCTTGAGGACCGGATTGCCGAGCGGGCACTCGAGCCACTCGCGGTCGGAGGGGGAGAGGGTCGACTCGAGCAAAGCCACCTGCGACTCGAGGTGCAGCGCGCGCGGGCGGCTGGCGATGTCCTCGGCCCAGCAGCTCTCGACGAGGTCGCGCAGCAGCGTGGGCGTACCAGCGGGGAGGCGGGGCCGCTTTCCCTGCAGGCCGATGGAGACGGCGGCCTGCAGCGCCGAGCGGTCGGAGAAGGGGACGGTGTGTGTGATGAGCTCGAAGAGGATCATGGCGTACGAAAAGACGTCCGCGCTCTTGGAGTAGGCCTCGTGCATCACGATCTCGGGCGCCATCCAGCGGTAGGTGCCTGCAGGTGCAGGATCGGGGACGGGGGGGTGGATGTGCGTACCGTTGCGGGAAGCGCCCTCTCGCCGTTAATCGCGCGCGCCTGTCTCTGGCGTGAGCACCTCGCGCCCCAAGCAGTGCGTGCGGGTCAAGCCCGTCGGCTGCACGCCGGCGGCGAGGCCGAAGTCGGCGATCTTGACGCCGTGCTCGCCGTGCAGCAGCACGTTTGGCGACTTGAGGTCGCGGTGCATCACTCCGTTGGCGTGCAGGAAGGTGAGGCCGGCGGCGACGCCCGATGCGACGCGGAAGAAGAAGCGGCGCGGCGTCGGCCGCTGCAGCGCCTGCTGCAGGTCGCCGCCGTCGCAGTACTCGAGGATGACGCAGCGCGTGAGCCTCTCCTCCACCGCGCCGAGGAGCCGGACCACGTTGGGGTGGCCTGGCTGCGAAAGCCCCGCCAGCATGCCGACCTCGACGTTCCAGCTCGCGCACGCGTCCTCCCGCCCGCTGGCAACCTTGGCCGCCACCACCTCCCCGCGCCACTCGGCGAGGTAGGTGGAGCCGCCCAAGCCGCTCCCCAGCCGGCCGCGGAAGACGAGGTCGTCGAGGGCGGCGCGAGTCACATGCGGCTCGGAGCTCGAAAGGGAGCCTCCGCACGCGCCCGCGGCGTCGCCCGCCGCCGCCTCAGGCGCCGCCGCCTTTTGCCCCGGCGCAAACGGCGGCGCGGGCGCTGCGGCAAACGGGCCGTGCGCCGACGCCTCCGATCCGCCGAGCCGCAGCAGGAGGAGCTGCTTGATCTCTTCGCCCGAGATGCCGCGCAGCGTGTCGCGGAGGCTGCCCATTCCCTCGACTGGGCCGCCGGCCCCGCCAAGCAGCGCCAGGGCGACGCTGGCCAAGTCCGGAGTGGCTCCTCCGTCCTGCGGCTGCCCCGCCCCTGCGCGGACTGTGGAACCCACACCGCCGCCACCGATCTCGTCGCCACCATCCTCGTTTTCGCCGCCCTCACCGCCTCGTTTGCTGCCCTCGCTGCCGCCGCCGCCCTCGCCGCCGCCCTCGCCGCCGCCCTCGCCGCCGCCCTCGCCGCCGCCGCCGCCGCCGCCGCCCTCTCCGCCACCGCCGCCCTCGCCACCGCCCTTGCCGCTGCCCGCGCCACCGCCGGCTGCGAGATCGTGCAAAGGCACCGCCACCGCGGAGGCGCCGGTCCTTCGGCTCCAGTCCGGCGTGGTCGAGGGGGGCGGCGCCTTGCTGGTCGAGGAGGGCGGCCAGCGGTTCGGCGAGGGAGGCTTGCCAAGCAGGGCGGGTGGCGAGCGCTGGGTGGGCGAGCGGTGGCGGGGCACTGCCAGTCCGTGCGACCACGACCCGTCGACGCGCTCGCGGGTGGGCGAGCGCGGCGGCGAGCTGCGCGGCGAGCGGGAAGGCGGCGACCACGCCGAGGAGGAGGAGGCGTAGTTGTGCAACATGACCTGCAGCTGCTCGATCTTTGCGATGTGCGACGTGATGAGCCGCCACAAGCGCGGCGGGATGAGGCCCGCCTTGCGGACGGTGCACACGTCGAGCGACTCCTCGAGCTTTGCGAGCAGCGAGCGCAGCTCCGGGTCCATCTCGACGGCGGCGCCGAGGAGCTCGAGCATGCGGGGCGGGGCGAGGGCTCGCAGCTCCTCTGTCCGCGCCCGCTGCTCGCGCAAGCAGAAGAGCAGGTCGGTGGTGGCGCGCGCGGGGAGCCCCTCCAGCCCCGCTCTGGGCAGTGCGAGGGCGCCGCACAGCCAGGCCCGCATCTCGCCGAGGCAGTTCTTGAGCAGGTCGAAGCAGCGCATGGCCTGCCAGTCGGGGCTCATCGAGGCCGACGAGGAGGCGTGGCACTCCTCGAGCGCCTGCTTGACCACCGAGTTGTACTCGCCGAAGGCCCTGTAGAAGGCCTCCGCCGCAGAGCGCGACGCCCGCTCGAGCGCGGCGAGGGCGGCTTCCGTGGGCAGACCTCCCTCGGAGGCGTCGAGCTGGCCGAGGGCGAGGGCGAGCTCGTTACCCACGCTGACGATCATCTCGTCGCAGCGGCGGCGCACGGCGGTGACCTCCGCAGCCGTGCCCGGAATCAGCGTGGCGAGATTCACGGCGGAGCGGGCGGCGATCAGGGCCCTCTCATAGTCGGTTCGCTTGCCCGCGGAGGCGAGGTGCATGCAGCTCGCGCCGCGCTCGTTCTGCAAGTTTTGGAGGACGCCATAGGTGTATCGACGCGACGGCATACGCGAGTGGAGCGCCGCAGCGGGCACCAGCGGTTGATCCACCGCGGCGTACACAGCGGGCGCACGGCACTCGAGCTCGGCTTGTGCGGGTGCTTGCGATTTGTGCCCGCAATGAGCTCTGACCCCCCCCCCCCTGTGTCGGTGCGCGCCCTTTTTCTCTACAGTGTACGTACGTACTTTTAGCTTACTAGAAAAGAGAGAGGGGGTTGTTGCTGACGGGGTTTGCGATGAGGAGCGATCCGAACGTGTATTCGGGTGATCAGATCACTACCGCCGAAACGCAAAAAAGAGCACTGCGACGCATCGGGCTCATGCTAGCATCCACCTCGCGAGCCGACCGTCTGGCTCAGCGAGGCTGCTGCGGAGCACTCGCGGGCCGATTTCTGGCCCAGCGAGGCCGCTGCGGGACACACCGGCGGCTCGGTTCGCTCCTCAACGCAAACTCGGTCGAGCAAGAGTCAGGTGTGAGAGAGAGAGATTTTTAGCAATACCAGTGTGAGAGAGAGTAGTCTCTCGGTGTGTGTGTAAAGGCGGCGCGGCACGGTAGGTAGGATGGCAGGCTGGACATCGGTCGGCGGGCCGAGCTTGAGTTTTTCAGTGTATGTAGCTCTTACGTACATTCCCGTAGGAGGACTCTGCTGACAGGGTTTGCGATGAGGAGCATGCAGTGAATTTTTTTCAGCGCTACGTTCTCCTCGGGACTCAGACTCTTGGCCCGCATGCCCGCCGGCCTGGGCGTCCTCCTCCCGCGCGACTTCCTCGAGCGGCAGCCGGAGCGCTGGAAAAAGTCGCAGCGCAAGCGCGGCGCGCTCCGCCAGCTCGCACGCATCAACCAGCGGCGCGAGAGGCTGGAGGCCAAGGCGATCCGGAACGCGGAGCGCGACGCGGCGCGGCAGCTCGCGAGCCGCGAGGAGGCGGTGGCGGCTGCGGGCGGCCGGCCCGCCGGGCCGCCCCCCTCGCACTGCACTCCCTTTGGGCCGCAGCGCAGCGGCCTCTGGGCAGCCGAGCTGCAGCCAAACCAGCCGCTCGTGCTCGCGCTGCCCGAGGGCGTGCGGCTGCGGCTGCTGCGAGCCTCATTCGCGGGGCCGGCCCCGTCCTCGTCGCAGACCACGCTGCGCTGCCGCGTCCCATCCAGCACCCACGTGGCCACGCTCTGCGTGCTCCGCGGTGGCGGAGGCGGCGGCGGCGGTGGCGATGGCGGTGGCGATGGGTGCGGCGCGGTGGCGGCGGAGTCCGGCTCGCGGCCACTGCGCGCCGAGTTCAGCTTCTCGGACGACCGCGTCGCTCTCGCCGCGGAGGGTGCCTCCGTCGTCCACTTGCTCGGCAGCTACTCGTTCACCTCGCAGAGGGCGGCCGAGGCGGCAGCCGCCGGGACGGCACCGGCGGCGGGCGAGGCGGCGGGCGCTGCGCGGGGTGGGACGCAAAAGGGCCAGTCCTCGCGGGCACAGAAGCCAGACGACGCCGCCGCACGCGAGCGCGCTTGCGCGAGCGCGGCGGGTGGTGGCGGCGGCGGCGGCGGCGAGGGCGGCGGAGGCGGAGAGGGAGGCGGAGGCGGAGGCAGAGGCGGAGGCGGAGGCGGTGGCGCAGACGCGGGCGGCGGCCAGGGCGGCGGCCAGGGCGGCGGCCAGGGCGGCGGCCTGATGGAGCTCTCTAGCGGCCTGCGGTACACAGACACCGTGGTCGGCAGGGGGCGTGCTGCGGCGCGCGGAGACCGGCTCGGCAAGCCCTCGCGCCAGGAGAGGGCTGGGCCTGGCTGGGCGGGCGGTGCGGCCGACGGCCCTTGCGCCCCACCGCACAGGTGTCAAGTTCGAGGGGATGGCGTCGCACGGGCCCGGGGACTGGCGCGTCTTTGACGACAACAAGGGGAGGCAGCTCCACTTCACGCTCGGGCGCGGGGAGGTGCCGGGCTGCTTCCTAGACACCTCCTAGACGCTTCCCAGACACCGCCTAGACACTTCCTCGGGCGCGGGGAGGTGCCGGGCTGCTGCGAGGCGGCGGAGCCCCTCTCGGATCCCGCTCGGAGGCTGCCCTGTAGGTGCTGGCCGGCTGGGACGCGGGCCTGCTCGGCATGCGCTGCGGCGGCACGCGCAGGCTCATCGTCCCGCCCTCGCTCGGCTACGGCGCGCGCGGCGCCGGCCCGGTGCCTCCGGAGGCGACGCTCGTCTTTGAGGCGCGGAGAGACCGGCGCCGCCGCTCCCTCGCACACCGCCACCCAGCCTCACACTCCTGCCGCGCGCGCGTCCGCAGGTGCGCCTCCTCAACGTGCAGCCCGACCTGACGCAGCACTGAGGCCGGGAGAGCGGCTGCGGGCTGGACTCGGGCGGGCGGTGGGCGGGCGCGCCTGAGCTCATGCGGCGCGTCGTGCCCTGTGCCCGTGGCCACCGTGGGCACGCGCGTGGCGCCTGCAGTTCGCAACGGAGAGTTTGTCTGTGAGCTCCTGCACTGCGCACAGCTCCTGCAGTCCTGCACTGGGTTGTTGCTCGGGGAGTACTACTTTGTTTGTTGAGGGAGTTACAATCCAGAGACTTCTCGAGCCCCCTCTCGTGCGCCGTTGTCGGCGACCCTCCATCCCACTCCGGCTCACGCGTCACAGCACACGGAAGTCGCTGCGCAAGCGCTGTGAAGCGGGGCCGCGGGGTGGCGGGGACGGCCAAAAAGGCTGGGGGGGGGGAGCGGTGTAAGCCCGTGACCCCCCGCGTGTGTAGTAAGCTGTGTACGGTAGCGGACTCAGAGGCGCTCAGCGCCCGGGCGGCTGGAGGGCCGCGGGCCGCTGCGCGCTGGCGCTGCGCACGCGGGCCGTGGGCGCAGCGTGGGACGAGTCAATTCATTCGACTCGTGGCCCCAAAGTGCGTGAGCGGTGAGGTGTGACGGAGAACGAATAAAGAGGAAAGTACGAGCTACGACCAAATCACTAGAATCGGACTTGAAAGGCACCCCCATGATGGTCCTAGAGGGCCTGGGAAGGAATGCAAGACAGATGCGCCTCGCTCCGTGATTCCATCGATGGGAAATGTTCACCGCGACTCACGTCGAGCCACGAGCGCGCGGGACACCGATCAGCGGTCACCGCGCCGCGGCGTGCGGCGGCGTCGTGCGGCTTTTAATTTTACCTGATCGTTATCATTTCCCCCCGGGATGTGTCCTCTCTCCGGCCAAAATCACGACCTTCCCCAAAAGTGGGTGATCTGGAGCTAGCGTAGGACAGGTAGGGCCTGAGGCGGCAGTAGTCTGCCATGTCATAGGAAGGATTGTGGTTGAAGAGACGCGTGTTCATTTGTTTTATATCCTGCCCGGAGATTCTTACCTTATTTCTTTTTGACACGCCGCCCCGTGCTCTCTCTCCACGCTTTCTAGTCGGCCTCGTCGTTGTCGAGGAGAGTTTGCGAAGCCAGTGGGCGAGAAAAAGAACACACTCGGCGCGTGACATTTCCCATTGCGGAATCACGGACGAGGCGCATCTACCTGCATCCCTTCCCAGGCCCTCTAGGACCATCATGACGGAAGGCTCGAGCGTCCGTGTGCACCGCGTCGACGCCGCCTGCGACGCCCGCCCGCTCCCGGGCATGGTCAGGCCGCCCACGCTCCTTTGCGTCCCCGGCCTCAAGGAGTCGCGGTCCGGCTACCGCGTCGAGGATCGCGACGTTGTCTACTTGTGCGTGAGGCCGGGATCCGACTTTGGCACCCCTGCCTTCGCGGCGGAGTGCCTCGCCGCCGTGCGTGAGCACCTCCCGGACGACGCCCCGGTGGATGCCCTCGCCTTCTCAATGGGCTGCTCGGTGCTGGCCCAGCTCGTCGCCGCCGGCCTCCGGCTGCGCGAGGCGTCCCTCATCTCCCCCGCGGGCCACTTCAACGGCACGTGGGCCGAATCGCTGCTCCGCCGCGGCACCGCCTTTGGCAGCTGGCGGTACGGCACCGGTTTCTGGTCCGGCCTCGCCACCTTCCCCACCTACGTGGCCGGCGGCGCCAACGCGTGGGAGTACGAGTCGCTCCACCGCCTGGCGGAGCGGGTCAAGGTGTACGCGGCCGCGTCGGACCCGGTGCACCCGAACGACGTGGAGAAGTTCGCCGCCAACAAGCAGATCAAGCTGATCGAGGCGGACGGAGGCCACTTCGGCCCCAAGACGTACGTCCCGATGCTGCACCGCCGCAAGTCGCGCTCTCCGCGCCGCGCCGACAAGGCGCCTCGCCCGCTGCACAAGAAGATCCTGTCGCAGATGCTGCAGCCGTACTGGGTCGCGCACGTCGTGTGGGTGCTGTGCTGCGCGATGCTCTGCCAGTCGCAGTGGGGGATGCTCTCCTCCCACCCGCTCACGACCCTCAGCTACGGCTACACCTACTGCGGCTGCTGGTCGCTGATCGAGTGCGCGCCTTAAGTAATTAATCAAGCGCCTCGCCCGCAGAAGAATCGCACACGCGCTCTCTGCAGCGCACCCGAGCTCGACCTCGCTCGCACCCCTCGCCGCCGCCGCCCTCGCCTCCCTCCCGGCCCTCTTGCCCCTCCTCCCCCCGCACGAACCGCCCCCCCCCCCCCCCCCTCTCCCCCCAGGTACGTCTACCACCGCGCCCTCCAGCACCACGTGCTGCGCCCGACGCACTGGACGCACCACCGCCGCCCGCACGACCACAAGCACCTCCGCAGCCCCGCCGGCATGATCCAGCTCTACGGAGGCGCCGCACCTCCAGCCGCACCTCCAGCCGCACCTCCAGCCGCACCTCCAGCCGCTCCCCGCCCTCGGTGCCGCCTCCTCCACGACACTTCCCGGACACGTCCGACAGGCGCCCTCTGCCTGCTCGTCTACGCCGTCCACGCGGCCCTCGGCGTGTCCCGCTACCCGCCCTTCTACCCGTGGCTCGCCTTTTGCTACCTCGCCTTCGAGTTCGCGCACGAGACCGCCCACAAGGCGGACCCGCCCTGATGGCTAGACCTTTCCTGGACCTCTCCTAGACCTCTCCTGGACCCTCTCCTGGCACCGTCCTGTAGGCTGACCCGCCCGCGTGGCTCGGCGCCTGCCGCGACTTCCACGTCCAGCACCACAAGACGCCGTGGCTCAACTACGGGTTCGTCTCGCCGATGTGCGACCACGTCTTCGGCACGGCGCACGGCGACTTCGCCGCGCCGTGGGCCTCGATCCTCGCCTTCGGCCCCATCCCCTTCCTCTCGTTTTTCCTCCTCCCCCCGGTCGGCACTTGCGCAGACGAGACGTCCTCCTCCGACGCCGAGTCGACGGCTGAGTCAGAGGCGAGCACGGTCCTTGCGGACAGCGAGCCGGCGCTCGCGCACGCCAAGCTCGCCGGCCAGCCGCCCGCCGAGTCGCCGACTTGCGTCCGCCACGCCTTTGTTGCCGAGGACCTGTCCTGACCGAGGACCTGTCCATACCCGGCTTGCGCGCTCCTTCGCCCTCCTTCCCCTCCCCGCCGCCAGCCGCGCCTAGCTCGCCGTCGGCGGCGGCGGATGCTCGAGGGGAGGTGCTGGGCCAGAGGAAGGGCAGGCGCGGCCGGTGAGGCCCCCTTCGCTGTGGCGGAGGGGCTGCTCTCTGTGGCCTCCCGTACTCTGGGTCTCTCTTGGGGGACTCCGCCCGCAGCCCTAGCTTTGCGCGCGGCGGTGTCCGGCATGGTGGGCAGGGAGGGGGGAGGGCCCCCGTCTTTGTGAGATTTTGCGTGCGTGGGAGCGCATGACACGGTGCGCTGCTGGGGCTCGCGAGGGTCCCGAAATCCCTCGCGGTGTCCTGTCCGTGGCGAGCCGTGACTTGTGTGACCCGCGGTTGGAGAGGAGGGCCCCGAGAGGGGCCGCCGAGCCGTTGTGATATGTGACGTTTTCTGTTGAGTGTTGTTATACACAGGCACATGGCGGCCGGACCGCGCGGCCGGCGTGTCTGGTGTCTCCGCGTCCGGGCGGGGGAGGGGCTCAGGGGGCCTCAGGTGCGTGTTGGGGCTTGGCCGGCCCGCGGCGCGCGCGCCGGTGAGCGGTGTCGCTGTCGGTGAGGCGGTGTGAACGTACGTGCGTGGTCCACCTGACCCTGTGTCAGCAATGATGTCAATAAACACAGTAGCCCCTCGGCGCCTCTCGGAGCGCCCCACGTACCGGCTCAAGCGTACTGTGCCACATGCAAGCGCCCTCCCCCCACCGGCTGGCCGCCTCCCTGGGCCTCAGTCGACGGGTGCCGCCTCGCCCGAGGCCTCTGCCTTTGGCCGCTTTGATTTCGGCTGCTTGGACCCGGGCCCCTCGCCCTCGCGCTCGAGGTTCCGTGCTTGCCGCGCGTCGGAGAGTGCCTGTGGACGCGGCGCTATGGTCAGGTCCACCCTGCAGCAGTTGGCACTGCAGGCAGCGGGGCGCACGCACCATCCGCGCCTTGCGCTTCTTGTCCATGACCGTCTCGGCCTCTCAGCCAGCCTCGGCCTTGCCAGCCTCGGCCTTGACCTCGCGCTTGACCTCGCTCTTGGCCTCGCTCTTGGCCTCCTCGCTCTTAACCTCGGCCTCACCCGCCTCCTCGCCCGCAGCCTCAAACTGCCGGACGACCTCCTCACCCAACACACGCACAAAGGCGGCGCGCACTGTCGCCAGGTCGGACGCAGACAGGATCTCGCCGCAGGGACGGCCCGACTCGCCTGCCATAAGCTGGTCGATTCGGCCGTGCGTCTCGAGCGCGGAGCTGGCCACCTTAGCGGACACGCCGCCGAGACTCTGCCAGTGGTATGCTTCGCCTCCGTTGCGGGTGGAGAGCGAGGCGAGGCGGCCGGTCGGCGTGCGGAAGTCGACGCAGTACTGAGTGCCGATATACGGCATGCCCTCCGAGGTCCAGCCGAACGGGGCGCCCGGCTGCGCCTTCTTCAGGGTCATGCCCTGCTTGCGGCGGGCATGCGGGTCGATGGCGTGCACGCCGGTGGACTTGCCTGGCGAGACGAGAGGCGGAGCGTGAGAGGAGGGCGAGGAACTACAGCGCGGCTCAGCGAAGTCGAGCCAGACCGTATCGCATTCCAACGGTGAGGACAGCAAGTTCGCCGTTTTTTTCTTTTTGTTGGGCGGCTGAAACACAGAAAACCCGGGTCCCAAGACGCAGCGCTTGTCCACAGTACTGGGCACGGGCCTCGGTTGCCTCCTCCACGCCGTGCACCGAGTCCCATCGAGTCCCAAAGGTACGAATGTCACCACACTCTGCTCTCTCGGTCCGTCGCGACCCGCGCGCGCTCGCAGTCTCACGCTCTCTCTCGCTGCTCGCGGCTCACTCTGAGCCGCTCAATCTCGTGCGCGTGTGCGAGTTTCCGACGCTGGGCTCTAGCACCCCTTGGACCACCCGGGTGCTTCTGCCGCGGGGGCGAGGGGTAGGAGAGACGTGGCGGCATGGCACACTCACCGCACGGCTCGGTAGCCACGCTGCACTTGCCGCTGCATCAACCCTTGCGCCTTCTCCAAGCCCACCGCGTGCCGGTCGCCAGTCCAAATGTCCCCGAACATCGTCATCTTGCCCGGCGAGAATCTGTAGTGCGCCGGCAGCGAGGGCGGCGTCACGACCACCGCGCCCGGCGCCGGCGCCGGCGCCGTGGCCGCCACCGTGGCCGCCACCGCCGCCGTGACCGCCACCTCCGCCGCCTCCGCCGCCTCGATCTCCTCCGCTTCGACCAGCAGCCGCGCCTCCTCCTCCTCCACCGCCACCTCCTCCAGCAGCAGCGCCTCCTTCTCCTCCTCGCTCGGCGGCTGCTCGTCCACCGAGATGCAGCCGCTGCGCGTGATGAGCTTGCCGTCGAGCGTGAGCATCACCTACACCAAAAAAAGGGGGATGCGTGGCGGCCCCGTCGCGTGGAGGACGAGCGCGTCGTCGCGGCAACCTCGAAGTAGCACGACGAGATCACACCCGCGCGACGCTTCTTGTGCACGTCCCCCTCGGCGGTGCGGCAGACAGCGAGCGCAAGGTAGGCGAGGCCGCCCTCGATCGACGCGAGCATCTCCTTGAGCGAGACCTTGTGGCTGTAGTGCTCGAGTTGAGCCGCCTCGCGCATGCCGGCGCGCAGCTTGGCCGCCAGCTCGGGCTGCTCAGCCTCCACGGCGGCGCGCAACGCCTCGCCCTCGCGCACCTTCTGCGTGAGCGGGCGCAGCATGCCGCTCGACAGGAGCGGCGGCACAGCGCGGACGAGCGAGAGCTGGTCAAGTGGCTGGCGGCTCACTGCGAGGCGGACCACGGCGCGCCCCGTGTACCGCGTGCCGTCCAGGCAGCCGAACTTTTGGTTGCCCAGTTGATGCCGCCAGACGGTGCAGTCCACGCCGTTGAAGTTGTCCACCTGCAGCAGCCGCATCACGTGGCCCTCCTCGAGGTTGGCCTGCAGGGGACAAGCGGGTGAAACGAGTTGAGGCGGGAGAGCAGAGGCGGCGCGCCGGCGCGCCTCGAAGGCGGTCTCGCACTCGCTGAGCGGGACGTCCATGAAGAGTTTGGACATCTGCTGCCGGTCCACGTTGAGGCCGCTGGGAGCGACCCACGTCGCGTTCTGCTGCACCACCAGCGCTGGCTCTCGTCGTTTGAGAAGCCGTCGGGCGGCATGCCGATCATCTCGACGACCTGGCGGCCGTTGATGACGAGCGGCGGGTCGAATGGTCGCTCCGTCGGCCGCGCGCGGGGCTTCCCCGCCACGTACACGTACACCGCGCGCCTATTGCACTAGAGACAGATTGACGTGCCCTTCCCTCGCGGTACACGGGCCGAGGAGGGGGAGCCGCGCCCGAGCTCGAGGAAGTGGCGGGCGACGTCAAAGTTCTGCGACTCGCGCGCCTCGACGCGCGCGCACAGCTCGGTGAGCTGCGGCGGGGAAGCGAGGGCTCACGAGGACAAGCGTGGGCGGGGACAAGCGCGGCGCGGGCCGACCACACCGAGATGCTCTCGCCGCGCGCGGCCAGGTTCTCCATCTCTCGCTCGACCAACAGCGCCGAACGCGCGGTCGAGCGCCGCTGGGTGTACTCGATCGTCCGTTGGCTCGCCTCCACCGCCAGCTGGCCGAGTTCTTGCGCCGCCGCGACCTTCTGTGCGGAGAAGAATTGGTGCGGCATCTGCTTGAAGGCCACGCCCGCCGCCTCCGCCGCCGCGATCGACGCTTCTCTCGAGAGCCGCCGCGGCATCACCTTGAAGGCCTCGCCCCTCGCCTGCGCCGCCGCGATCGAGGCTTCTCTCGAGAGCTGCCGCGGCCCGCTGGCCGAGACGCGAACGCTGGGCCGCCCAGCGCCGCCTGTCTGCCCCTCCATCGGCGCCGCCCCCCACTCGGCGAGGCGCTGCTGCCTGCGAGAGCAGAGGCAGGGGGTGAGCACAGAGAGGGTGGGAGGGTGTCTCGATCCGCGTCCCCCGAAAGAGTCTCCACTCAGTCGGTTACCCCGCCCCATCGTGCCAGGGGGCGGCGGCGGGACGCGTGGGATCGCCCCCGCGACAGAGTGTGCTAACCCCTCGCCCTGGCTTGCCGCTGCCCCGGCGGCGGTCCTCTCCGATGCGGCATGCACGCTCATGGCGAAGCAGAGGCTCGCGGTAGATACAAACGGATTGCGCGCTCGCCAGGGCCCCCGTTAGGCGTGCATACGCTTCGGGCGAGGGGAGCGGTGCAGGGATCGCGACACCGGCAGCGGAGAGCATCTGCTCGACGTCGTCGGCCAGCGAGAGCCCAGCGCCCTGCAGCGCGCTGAAGACATCGACCATCAGCCCGCGGTCGTTGAGCCAGCGCCTGATTTGCTTAGGGTACAGCGTGCGGCCGGCCTTCGAGAACTTGTTGCACGTCGGCCTGACGCGGCCGCTCTTGGGCTGCTGCAGGGCGTGCACCATGACCAGCCGCTTGAAGGCCTCGGAGTAGTCTGCCGTCGCGCTGCGAGACTGCGATCCCTGCGGCGCCGCCAGCGGCGGAGGGAGAGCCGGAGGAGGGAGAGCCGGAGGAGGGCGAGGCGAGGGGCGAGGCGGAGGGGGGCGAGGTGGTGCGGAGTCAGCCGGAGCCTCCGCCGCTGCCGCGCCCTTCCGAGCCCGCTTCCTCGCGCCGCCGCCGCCGCCGCCGCCGCCGCCGCCGCCGCCGCAGGGGAGGTGCGCCACACCCTCGTCCTCGGATTGCAGAGAGTTCAGAAAGTCGCACGCCTTCTGGGCGGCCTCGCGCTTCGGCCGCGCCATGACTTGTTGGCGGCAGTAAAAGAATTTTAGAATCCACAGAACACTGGGCACAGGACTGGGCACGGGACTGGCGCGCACTGGCACAGTAAAAGAATTTTCCAACCAAACTCCCTCGCACAACACTGGGCATAGGACTGGGGTGTGAACGCCAAGGATACCTGACCACGAGACTTGCGTGGGGTGTGGGGGCGATTGCGGCGACGGTGTTTCGGCATTTCTGTGGCCTGTGCTCAGGAGGTCGTGTGCAGTCCGTGGGGTGCGTGAGTGACCAACCCCAATTTGTGCCGATGTATGTCCGGTGTGTGGCGCAGCAGCATTGCGACGCATTCTCCAAGCACGGCCTCTGGCGTTGCGAGTGCACAGAGAGCGAGCAATAGTCGACAAAAGCACTGATCTGTGGGCAGCGGATCTCCATGGCGGTCGCGCCCAGAGAAAGGAGAGCCAGGTTCGGACTTTTTGGTATGGTATGGTTCTTAGACATACCCCCCGCCAGCTGACAGACCCAGCCTCCCGCCGACGGCACCATACGCCCCCCCCCCACCCACCCACCCCCTCGCCCCACCGCCGGCCGCCTTATTGCTAGGCTCCAGAGGAGGCTGCAGACACCGACACGCACACTAGATACGCGCGGATGGCCGCCGTCTTCCACACCAGAAAACGGCGGCAAAGGTGGGCACCCGCGCCGGTCGCCGCACCCGCACCAGCGGGCGCCGCGCCGGCCGCGCCCCGTGCGCGGTGCGGGCGGCTCCGGTGGCCGCCGCGCCGGCCGCCCTGCGGGCCACCGCACCGGCGAGGTCATCCATCGGCATCGCCGTGCCGGCGGGTGCCCCCCTCCAGTGGGTGCCCCCGCTCCGGTGGTTGCCTCGCCGGTGGTCGCCTCGAGCGGGTTGGCCAGCTGCGCCAGCGGCGCAATCTCGGGGGACTTGTAGTACATCCCGAACTCGGCGACGAGGGAAAGCTCCTCGGGCTCGTCCGCGATGATGCCCCCGGGGCAGCCCTGGTAGGGCTCGTCGAGCACCTTGCGCGTGTCGCCGCGGAGAGCAGCTGCAGCAGCTCCGCGACACGGGCGCGTGCTCCTACCTCATGGCGCTGCGGGCTCGGCGGCGGCAGTGGACCCCCGACATAAGTGTACAGTGCACTCAACAGACAGGCGCGGGACAAGCTAACTAACTAAATGACAAGGCTGTCCGACCGCCACCAGATAGCAAACTCCGACTGGCGCGAGTTGCTCTGACTCGACGATCCTCGCATTGCGGCGCCGACGGCGAGTCCTTCGGGAGCGGTGCACCTTGGCGGCGACGAGCGCGATCGCGACAGTGCCGACCGACGACAGCGGCAACGGGGAGAGGAGGCGCCTCCTCCTCGACAACGCGTTGCCCATCGGAGGATGCGCCGCTAGGCGGGGAGGGCGGCGGGGAGGGCGGCGGGGAGGGCGGCGGGGAGGGCGGGGAGGGCGGGGCGGAGACGTCGAGAGGCGGCGGCGGCGAGGGCGACGCTGACGGCGGCGGCGGCGAGGGCGGCGACATCGGCGGGGGCGGAGGCATCTGGGGATCGTTAGCAGGAGCATCAGGAGGTAAGAGTGGCGGCGGCGGCGGCGGCGACGGCGTGGGCGGCGGCGGCGACGGCGAGGCGGAGGGCAGCGGCGGCGAAGGCGATGACGGCGGCGGCGACGGCGAGGTGGAGGGCGGCGGAGGGGCAGATGGCGACGGCGTGGGCGGCGGCGGCGACAGCGAGGCGGAGTGCAGCGGCGGCGAAGGCGATGACGGCGGCGGCGGCGGCGTGGGCGGCGGCGGCGATGGCGAGGTGGAGGGCGGCGGAGGGGCAGATGGCGACGGCGTGGGCGGCGGCGGCGACGGCGAGGCGGAGTGCAGCGGCGGCGAAGGCGACGACGGCGGCGGCGGAGGCCAGGGCGAGGCTGTCGACGGCGTCAGCGAGGGAGCGCCCAATTTCCTAGCGCGGTACAGCTCAACCGCATATTGGTCGCCGGCGTACGATCGTCCATTCGCTGAGCGGCGTGATCTCGACGGGCACCGTGACCCTCCCGAGGAGCGCAACGCCCTCTCCTTCTGCATACGAGAAGCGGCCGATGTCCGGATCTTTGCTGTCGCCGCCAGATAAGACCCACTCCGGTTGAGCACGGTCTGTTTCGGGCCGTACTCAATGAAGCGACAGCCCGTCCGGACGGGCTCGCTGAGGTTCGTTCGGATGCCCAGCGACCCCAGCAGCGTCGAGTTGCTGCGTCTGTAGCCAGCTCCGCCAGCGTGGCCGGAAAGACCCAGAGCAGGCCCCAGCCGCCCTCGACCGACGAGGCGAAGGGCCCGTCGGTGGCGGCGGCGGGCGCCTCGTAGCAGTCGTACATGATGCCGTCGCTGTGTGTGACTTGGCCGTAGCCGCCCACGCCATCGCAGGCCGCCTGGCACGTTGCCGACGGCACAGGACTGCCGCACACTCTGAAGGAAGCGGGCTGGCCGGAAGGGGGTTGCCAGTCGGGCGCACTTAGCGCCGTACGGTAGACCGTGTCGAAGTGTCGTCCACGTACTTGGGGAAGGGGGGACTGTACACGACCACGCACCTCTCGGCTCGCAGTCCGCGTACATTTTGTTTGAGGGGCCCGCCCGCAGGAGGGAGGATTGTTGGCCAAAGCTCAGATTTCTTTTTTGTGTTTTGTTCGACTTCGAGGAGAAGCGAGAAGAGCCCCCATGAAGAGGAATACCACGACCGCGGACACACACAACACGCCCGCTCCGAGTCTGAATAAGGTTTACCTTCCCTTCCTCGCCGCGTCCTCGTGCATCGCGCGCAGGATGTCTCGTCCGGCCTGGTCTCCGCCCCCCACCACGGGCTGCCGGCCCTCGCTGCCGCCCCCGAAGAGCCGCACCCCCCTCGCGTTGACCTTGTTCCCGTTCGGGTCGTTTGTCACCACCAGCCCGCGCGAGCCCGCTTCTCGCCGGACCGTGTACTCGGTCTTTGCGGGCACGACGAGGCAGGACCCCTCGGAGAGGGTCGCCTCCTCGCCGCCGCGCAGGCTCACCCTCGCCTCGCCGCGCAGCTGCAGCAGCCACGTCTCGTGCCTCCACGCGGCGTTGTGCTCCACCGGCCCTCCGGCGACAAAGATGCCGAACTCCTTGTCGGGGTGGCTCTCGCCGAAGAGGGGCAGGGTCGCGCCCGCGTCGAGCAGCGCGGACCGCTCTTCCAGCCACTCGTCCAGCCTACAGCCACACGGCGCGCGCTCTCACGCCGGCGCAGCAGGCCGCACCGCATTCCAGATGCCGCGAGGCGCCGGAAGGGCGGAGGGACGACCGTCGCCACGTCCTGCTTGAGGGGCGGCGAGGCGAGGACGGAGGTGGCGGAGGGCCGCCGCGTGGCCGCCTCCTCCGACTCGCGGAAGGCGGCGAGCACCGGCGCGAGGTCCTTGCCCAGGTCGGAGCAGTGAAAGTACTGCTCCCAGAGCACGGCGTCGCACGCCTCAAAGTCGGTGTAGAAGCGGAGGCCGTCGAGCTCGCGCTCGCTGCGCCGCCGCTCGACGACGAGGCCGATGGAGCCCGCGTCCGGCCGCTGCGGCGAGTGCGGGATGCGCGAGGGCAGCAGGTACACCTCGCCCTCGCGGATCCGCACCAGCTCGCGCCGGCCGGCCTGCAGCGTGGGCAGCTCCATGTCGCCTCGCAGCTGGAAGAAGAACTCGCTCCCCTCCTCGAGGTGGAAGTCCTCGCGCCGGTTCGGCCCGCCCACAAACATGACGGAGAGCTGGTCGCGGTGGAGCAGCTTGTTCATCACGGGCGGCGCAAAGGAGGCCGCGTTGTCGCGGAGCCACGTGTCGAGGTGCGTGACGGCCAGCGACGAGCAGTGCCGCCGGGCGGCGCGGCGCCCGAGGCAGCCGGCGCGGCACAGCGGGCGGGAGGCGAGCATGGCGGTGCAGTCGTCGATTCGGCCGACACGAAGAGAAAGAATTTTGCCCGGCCCAAGGGCTACTCTAGGACAGTGCCGACGGGACGCGGCGCGAGAGACGACTCCCGCGAAAGCACGGCGGGCATCCGATTCTTCTCTCTTCTTGGCATCCGTGGCGTGGGGCTCGCCTTCGAAAAAGAAAGAAAGAAAGAAAGACAACCCAAGGGAGGGATGGGAGAACGGCACGCCGCCACCACACAGGGATTTTAATCGCCTTCGAAAAGTCGGGCATGGCTCTCCCCGCAACTTTCTCGCTAACACGCGCGCACCACCGAGACTGTGGTGGGCGCGCTGCGGTCGCACGTCTACCTCCGTCATAGTGCCACGACGTGCGGCCTAGATTTAGCACACGCACCTCTGCTCGCATACACTCATACAATGAATATCACCTGTGCGAGATAGGGCTAGCAGTACTGTTATATGATAGTAATAGAGCAGTTTGGTCGGAGGGCGCCCGGGTCGCTCCGGAGCGGCCCCGCGCGGGGAGGTGGGTGGAGGGCGGGCGCCACGCCGTCGGGCAGGTCGCGCGGGGACGCAGCCGGGGCCAGCGCGCGGCGCTAGAGGGCCGGGCGCAAACTTGTTGGACCTGGACCTGGACCTGGACCTGGGTCGGCGAGTTTTGGTGGTTCGAAATGCGGAGCGCGCAGTCCGTTGTGGTTCGAAACGCGATGCCTCCGTTGGGAGACACGGACGGCGCCGGCGGGAGCGACGCGGCCGGCGAGGCGCCGCACTCGGTCGCCGCCCTGACGGTGATCAGCGAGCCGGTCGAGCGTGACCAGTTGCATTCGAATCTGAGCACCACATTGAGGCCGTTGGTGGAGAGGGAGCGTCGCGAGCGAGGTGACGAGGATGGAGCTGTGGGTGTAGCCGGTGACGTGTCTGACTTTCGCATTGAAAGACTTATTGATCGAGGGTGGGGATGGAGCGGAGGCAACATCTCACATGCAGATCAATTGGAATAGGGTCAAGCGGCACTACTTCGAGGTGTATCTCTTTCGGTCAGCAAAGGGCTGTGGGTGTAGCCGGTCGAGGCACGGCCGCGTCGTCCACGACGAGTCGTCGGAGAAGGGCGAGACGTCGAAGCGCCGTGACGGTGATTCTCGGGCCGAGGCCGATGTCTCGTAGGGAGGAGCTGACTTGTCAGCGCCTTCGCAACGCGGTTCAATTGTGGACGACGGTGTACACGGAGATGGGATGGTGCGACGACATGCGGGACAAGCTGCGATTGCACATGCTTCTGCATGCTACGTGTTCGCACCGCGAGGTCGAACCGAGGTTTATACGGGTGTGGCTCCAGGGCCCGGTGCTCCAGGATGCAGCGGCTGCGAACCGGCGCAGGTGTGTCCGCAATGCGCTCACTAACGTGGCTGAGCAGGAGCATGAGGACGGCAACCACGCACACGAATGTCTGTGCTGTAAGGCAGCTAGCCTGTGAGGAGGGCGTCCATAGACACCTCACTAGACCCCACACACGGTCTCGTCCGTGCCTCGCCGGCCGGAGAGATTGCTAGTTTGCTAGAGAGGTGGAGCAAGCCTGCTCTAGCCTCGCATGTTACTTCCTGTTGTGTCTGTTGTTTGTTGTGCCCTTGTTTGTTCTCTTGGCACCTTGGAGTGCTGGGGGGGGCGACAGGGAGGATGTGGCCTTGAGTTATGTGTACGCCTATACTCAGGGTGTGTGGCAGCCCGCTGGCTGTGTGTCTTGTGAGCCTGTTTGTGTCTTGTGTGTCGCTCGTGCGTGTCGTCATCATCTGTCTAGCGTCCACCCATACCGCGTTGGTGTCCAGTCCGAGCCTGGCTGTTCTTCACCTTTCTACCTAACCTAACCTAAAGTCGATAATTGAACACAACGCACTCTCGCAGGTGGTCGTCAGAAGACTCGTCCTTGCTCGAGGAGAGCTCGATAGACTATGCAGCCAGGATATGCAGCAAGGAGGGCGGAGCTGCGACGAAAGACGAAAGAAGCCGCGAGAACAAGGGAACGGCAGGCGGCGGCGGCGGCGCAGAACGAGGCAGAGGAGAGCGACGCGACAGAGGAAGAAGCGACAAGGGAGAGCACGACGAGAGGGGGCGACCGCGAGGTGGCACGAAGGTTGCAGCGAGAAGCGGCGAGATAATGCGAAGAGAGATAGGAAGAGGCGGACGCCCAAGGCGCAAGGGTGGGCGACGGCTAGCGCACCACACCCCTCTCCTTAAAATCCCTGTGTGGTGGCGGCGTGCCGTCGTCCCATCCCTCCCTTGGGTTGTCTGTTTTCTTTCTTTCTTTCTGCACTCTCGCAGGACGAGGCAGAGGAGAGCGACGCGACAGAGGAGGAAGCGACAGGAGGGAGAACGACGAGAGTGGGACGACCGCGAGGTGGCATGAAGGTTGCAGCGAGAATCGGCGAGGGAATGCGAAGGGCCAGTGAGTGGCCACTATACCACACAAACAACTCTAACACTCACACGAGATAGAAAGAGGCAGACGACCAAGGAAGGGTGGGCGACGACTAGCTCACCACACTCCTCTCCTTTAAAATCCCTGTGTGGTGGCGGCGTGCCGTCCTCCCATCCCTCCCTTGGGTTGTAAACAAAACAACTCTCTTGGGTTGTCTGCTGACTTTCTTTCTTTCTTTCTTCTCACATGACAAGCGATCCCACGACAGCGATTTGGAGAGAGAAAAAGCTGCTCGCTCGAACCGCGGCCGACTCTACCATCGCGGCCGCAGCTGTTGAGCTCTTCAGAAGACTGGTGCCTCATATGCTGCCTCCCTGCGGATGCTGCCGGCGAGCCTGGCGGTCCGCTGTACTACAAGGAAGTGCTGACTCGATTCTACCTCGAATTCTTCTACCCCCACGACACGGAACGCGAATGTGACAGGACCATCGGGTCCTTCAGCCACCAAAGTGAGATCACCCGAGAGCAGCTGAGCCTGCCTCTGGCCTCGCCTCCCTCTCCTTCAGGCATTCGTGGCATCCTATGGGTCGTCCAGAGTATCGACCTCTGGCGAGTCAGCCAGCCCCACTTTGAGGGCGCCATGAAGTACAGAGCGATCGCCACCTCGCTGGCCTCTCCGCAGGCCCCCCCCGACCGCGTCGAACTCATCGGCGCGGGCTCTCTCGGCTACGGGACCGGCCCCAGCTTCGGCTGAGGGCTGCCAAGCTGCCGAGCCCAAATCACTGTGAGAGTCGTGATTTCTTGTTGGTTTTCTAAAATCTCTCAGCGATTGTGGGGACTACACAGAGAGAGAGATTTTTGGACTACATGATCCGTCCGTACATGAAGGGTGGAGGGGCCCGTCCGCAGAGCTAGGCGGTGTGGGCGCCCTCCACGAAAACTCGCAGCTTGTGAGGAGTTCAGGCGCGGGCCCGAGCCCCTCGGCGCCACGAGTCTTTCTTGCCTCCCAGCCCTTGCGCTTTGAACTCTGTGGCGGGCCGGTCGACGGTCGACAGGACACCCAGCTCCAGGCCACCATGGCGGTCGCCGTCGCCGCTGCCCCGATCTCGCTCACCGACGAGGATCGCCAGATGACCGTCGAGCAGTACCTGAAGGCGGCCGCGTCGGAGCGTGCCGCTGCGCTCAAGCGGCACGGCGAGGAGCTCATCGAGCGGTACGATGCCGAGTTCAAGCGCGCCCGCAAGGTGCTGCGCGACGCCGCGGTCGAGGCGCAGGCGCGCTCGGCCGACGACAGCGAGCGCGACGACAGCGAGCGCGACGAGGTGCCTCGCAAAACCGCCACCACCTCCGAGCCGTCTGGCAGCAGCGAGCCGTCGGTGGACGCGTTTGCGCTGGTGGGGATTCGCGGCGTGCACCAGGGGAAGATCTTCAAGGTCGAGCCGGCGGCGGACAGGAAGACGTGGAGCATCGGTCGGACGGCGGACAACGACTTTTGCCTCAGCGGCGACGACGAGGTCTCGTCGGTGCACGCAAAGGTCTCCTTTGACCGGAAGCAGTTCAAGCTGCAGGCGCGCGAGGGAGAGCCCGCTGGGAGGGACCGAGCGGACCGTCGAGCCCGCGCCCGCCTCCCCTCCGGCAGGACCTCGGCTCGACCAACGGCACCTTCACCACCAACGGCTCTGGCGCGTCCTGCAAGCTCAAGTCGCGCAAGAACCACGTGCTCAAGGCGCCGCGATCCGCCCCGCCGCCCTGCCTCGCTCCCCGCCCCTCTCACCCCTCCCGCCGCCTCCCCCAGGTGGACCACCTCGTCTCCTTCGGAGGCGCGCCTCCCCGCACACACGCCGCCGCCCTCCGCATCAGCAGAGCCCTCACCAAGAGACGAGCCCTTCTGCCGCAGGGTCAACCTTCAAGTGGTGCTACCGTGCGTGGCGCTGCCCACCCCCGTGCCCGCGAAACCAGCGCCCCCTCGAGCCCCGCCCTTGCCTACCCTCCTCCCTCCCACAACTCGCCCATCCCCGCTGCAGACTCGGACGCTGTCGAGGTGACGGCACAGGCGGCGAAGATGGCGTCGCGAACGCAAAAGTGAGGCGCCCGGGGAGAGGCAGCAGTGCGCCGCTCGCGGCGAGGCTGCTGCCCCTGCCGAGCCCCAGCAGCAGAGAGAGCAGCAGAGAGAGCGTGCCCGTCTTCTCGTGGGAGAGACGCGCAACCTCAGCCTGCGCACAATGTGGCGATCGCGAGGGGAGTCGAGCTACAGCTAGCGTGCCGTCGTGCTGATTGTGATTGTGGTGGCCGGCACGCGCGTAAGGCGCGATCCGCGGCGGCGGATTTGGTCGTCGTGTGGCGCGCGCGCCCCGGCGCCCCGTCGTTACAGCTTTTTCGTCCCCGTACGTAGAGGTCAACATCTTGCACGTGTGCTCCCGTCCCTCAGAGATCGAGGCCGTACAGCTGTTGTGAGTAAGACTATCTCGGCGCGCCGAGATAAAGGTTAACTGTTGTGTATACATAGAGCGGCGCAACGTGCGCCGGCCGCCGCCGCCGAAGGTTTACACCGTCGCACGCGGGCCCTCATTCCCGACTACCCCTTCATGAGGGATTCGAGTTTGGCCCCAAACTCCGCCTCGCTGAGCCCGTCGACGACGACGACGGTCTCCTTTCCTCCCTCTGCGGCGGGAGGGGCGTGGGCGGCGTCATCGCAGCTGCGCCGGCGGGTGCTCTGTGCGTGTGTGGCGGGTGTGCGCACGGTATGCCGCCGTCAGCTTGGCCTGGATGCCTTGTGACTCGCGGAGCAGGATGGGCAAGCTGCTGTTGGCAGACTTGATCGCGCTGTACTGCTTCTTCCAAAAGTCCCTGCGAGCAGCGACGACGGTGCCGTGAAGAGCGGGGCATAGTTGGGAGGGGGAAACAGAGCAGTGCGGCGGTGACAGCGGCGACTGTGGGCGACGGGGCACCTGATGCCCTTCGAGGCGGGCGAGGTCTGGCACATGGCGACCCTGAGCTCCGTCAGGACTCCCATCGCTCCACACCTGCACCGAGCGCCACAAAAAGAAGAAAGAGCCGCGTGGCACTCCTGTAGCGGGTGGCGGCGTGCCGTCCCGTCCCGTCCTCCCATCCCTCCCTTGGGTTGTCTGTTTTCTTTCTTTCTTTACTAGCACACCTCAAGTGTCCCCCAAAACCCCGAGGAGTCACACAGTCCACCTGTGTGATGCACGCCCTGCGACAGCGCGGGGCGGCAGGGTGCGCACTGTGCCTCTGCAAAACAACAAACTGTGTGAGGTTGTTTGGTATAGCTTTAAATCTCTGCTAGCTCCCCGCGTCGCTGACGGACCGTTGCTGCTGCAGCAGGTGTGGCGGCGGCGGCCAATACCCGAGGCGGTCCTCCTCCGCCCTCACCTCGTCCACCCAGCCCGCCTTTGCTCGCGGGAAGCTGTCGGCGTACGGCACGTAGGGTTTGAGGTCGAGGACCGGGGTGCCGTCCAGCAAGTCGAGCCCCTCCACGGTCACCCTCAGCGCCGCCTCGTCCACCTCCACAACCTTGAGCGCCGACAGTGCGATCGGGTTGGGCCGATGCGGCGCCCTCGTGGCGAAGACGCCCTGCTTCGCGCGCCTCGGGCCACGCGGTGGCCGTACCAGCGGCTTCCAGCCTGCGTTGAGGTGCATGAGCGTGATCGCCCAGCAGTAATCGAAGCCAGCAAGACCTCGCAGCGTGTGATCGAGACCGGCGTCAGGCCGCAGCTCGATGCAGCCGCGCTGTGCTCCTCCGCCCGAGACCTGCGTCGTCACTGTCGGCTGCCGCGGCGTGCCGAAGCGCTCCTTGTAGGGGCTCCGAATGACACCGATCGGCGTGAGTGTGACGGGCGCCGCGGCGTGGTCAGCAAAGGCATCGGTGTACTCCAGCGGTGGCCGGAGCGAGCGTGGGTCGACCACGCCGGCGCGACACAGAAGTGGGAGGACGAGGCTGATACAGGCACGGTGTCCAGCCATAGCGACAGACCAGGCGCGCCGCGACCTGGCGTGACAGCTGGACACGTGGGGTTTTTTACACCGCTCTTTATACTCGTTTATTCACGAGGCGACCCCAGGGGAACCTGGGCTCTAGGTTTCCTAGTGGCGTGCTGTGAATAAACAGCGAAGAAGACGCCTAGGTTTTTTATCTCGCCGAGTCAACCCGAGCCTCCGGGAGACTGTCAGCTGTTTTCACAGCAGGCTGGAAGTACCTCGACAGCAACTGGAGAGAGAATTTTGCCGAGCGCGGAATTTGCGCGGGCAGAATTCTTTTGCAAAAGCATCACTGCGCGGCCATCGCAAGAGCCCCCGCTCTCGACCCCCCCCCCCCTCTACGTCCGAATGCGTGTCGCTGCTCGCGTCAGCATCGCACGCAGCCCCGATGGCGTCGCCCGCGGCGTAGGCGTGCGCCTGGCAAGCCGCACGCATGTGAGAGGGTGTGTGCACGCACATGCCGTCAGTCCCTCCCCGCCCCCCCCGCCTGCCAGCGGTGGGCCGTCCGTGTCCAATCTAGAGGCGCACTGGTAGTCGCTGCGCGATTGGATGACGTAAGGCGCCTCGCCAAAGTCGGCGGGCCGAGCAACAGTGAACTCTGCAGTTGTCCAGCGGTCGCCCGAGACGCGTGTGGAGGAGAAGCACTTCCACGCCACCTGTCCGGCCTATGGTGCATGCTGGCCGCCTTCCCACACTTGGGCGGTAGAGCCCCCCTCACCCACACACCGCGGCGTGCCTCGTGCGCCTGCGCCGACGCGTAGCCGTACCGAATCTCGAGAAACTCGCCTAGCAGAGAGCGCCAGGGAGGGTGCCCGGAGAGGTCGAATGATGCTCGATGCGTTGGGCTCCGGCGCACCACGGCTGCCGACGGTCTGGTATGTCTCGAGTATCCGCCCGCCGTTGACCTGTGAGGGAGTGGAAGCTGCTGGCGCAAAGGCAAGGTTGAGCGGCAGGAGCGGTTGTTTGTCAGCGGGGTGGGAAGGGCGGTACCTCGGAGATCAGTGGAGCGCCGCCGACAGCGAGGCAGCTCTCGGTAGAGACGAAGCCTGCGGCGAGCCTCTCGCCGGTGAGGGAACGCGGCCTTTGCCAAGACTAGACGGTGAGAGAATAGACAAACCTGCCGCCGTGTACTTCCATTTTAGCACTTCTCCCTCCAACGCAGTATAGCGGATCTTCTGGGCGGCGTTCAGCATTGCGGACCTCGCTAGCCAGCCCAGACCAGTGGCAGCGAGCATCTCGTCTCCGTTGACCTTGCCTTTGCACCTATTGCGCCAGGCTCGAGGTGAAGCTAAATGCCTCTACTATCCTTGTCCTTTTCGCATGAGCTCAACGCACCGCCACACGCCTCCTCGAAGCCTGCGAGACCGGCTTGCAGTTAGCTATGCGGCAGCAGGAGAAAAGGCAGGCTCTACTACCCGTCGAGCAGCAGGAGAAAAGGCAGACTACTACCCGTCGAGCACCTGTGGAACAACGACCTGAGCTCGAAGTCGTTGGGCCTCCGCACGGGCACCGCGCCTGTGCTCTCCTCGAGAGAGTGGAGAGCAGAGAGGAGCCCAACCTCCGTCGTCAGGCCCTGCTGCCACGCCTGCTCGCGCTCCCCTCTGCTATCACGCGGAGTCGACTCTGGAAACGACTGCTCATCCACTTCTGGGTCATCGTTATCGCTGCCACCATGCTCCCAGCGAGACGCCGCCCTCAGCCCATTGCCGCGCAACTCGATGGCTCCAGAAGTGGGTGAAGTCTGCGCAGGCAAGCAACCGCTGCGCGGCCCACTCAGGGCATGTGCCGCTGCCAGCGCCGCCGCCACGCCGCTGCCGCGCCGCGTTGCTCGTCGGAATGCAGACATATGTGTATCAGCCGACGAGAACTCGTGCGTCCCTACGCCTACGCGGATCTCTCTCTCTCTCGGGTTTCACAGATGGTTTCATTTGAGTCAACGGGCCGCGACGGCGACACGGGCCTCTAAGTACAACTCTCACACAGCTGGGCGTGTGTTGGGTGTGATGTGTTCTGCGACGACCGCGGTTGTTTTGTTTCAACCCTTTTCCTACACCCTGCTCCCTGGCTCAGTCAGTCAGTCAGTGTTACACACCTCCTAGCATGGAGGACGCGCCCACACGCACACACACGCTGCACACGATTGGCTCGGGAGCCGACACGAGGCACACTGTCACCGGCCGTAGCACTGGGTCCGGACTGCTGGACGCACAGCACACAGCTCACAGGCAGGACACAGCTCACGAGGTGGCGCTATGTAGTGGGGTTCTCAGGGACTGACACGGGAGAAGAAGGTGGAGCACAGGGACGGGGACACAGAACTCACGAACTGACCTCCCACCCCGCGCCGGGGGCGGTGGCGCACAAACAAGCTAAATAAAGATAGATTTTGTTTCACCGGCTGCCACGCCACAGCGATGTGGAGGACACATCGGGTGGGGGCACGCTGCGCAGCACGCCTGGGCGAAAGGACCGCTGCGAAAAACCGTCGGGTGCCCCGCAACAGCCTCGCTGGGCCAGAACGCAGAAGTGATAAGATCGGCCCGCGAGGTGGGGTGCTAGTATGAGACCGATACGTACGTCGCAGTTCACTAAGTTGCGCAGCGGCGGTTAGTAGCCACCGTACGTTACTCCTGAGAAAGGGTGCGGCGTCTCTGGTCTCTCGCTGCCTCCCACCTCATCGGATTCCGAATGGGTCGAACGGGAGTACTAAAACAGCAGCATGTTCTGGGTGGGAGGAACCCTTGGGGGGGACGCGGCGGTCTCTCTGGTTTCTGGTTTCTGGTTTTTCGATATAGCACACACCGGCATTATCCTCGCTACCCAACGCGGCCAAAGGATATCCACCTCGAGAACCTCGAGAACACCGGCAGCGGTGGCAGCGGTGGAAACGATGGGAGGGGTGGCGGCGGCGGTGGCGGTGGCGGCTGCGGCGCTGGGGAGGGCGGCGGCAGCGGCGGAAGCTCTGGGGAGGGCGGCGGCGCGGGCGGTGGCGAGGGAGGTGGTGGCGATGGCGGCGGCGGTGGCGATGGCGGAGGGGGCGGTGAGGGCGGCGGCAGCGACGGAGGGGGCGGTGAGGGCGGCGGCGGAGAGGGAGGCGGCGGCGGCGCGACCCTCGTCTTTACGAAGCACTTAGTGTCTCCGCCGCCCTCGCTGCGCTCGATTGGCGTGTCAAAGAGGTAGCACGGGTAGCCTCCTCGACGTGTGTCTCTGTCGCCGGAGAACTGGTAGCCGGTGCACCTAGCGCCGAGGCAAGGACGAGCCACTCGCACGGCGACGGAGGGCCTTTTTGAGAGCTGCCTTTCCAGCTATGCCTTCCGCATGTCTGACTAGCCGTGCGCTGGCTGTGCGGCAGGGGTGGCGCGTGGCCTCAGGGTGGCCTAGGGGGCGGCAGCGGCACCAGGTCCGCTCCGCGCACTCTCGCTGGCAGGGGATCTCGTCGTGCGGGGCCCCCATCATGCGCACTTCCCCCGCCGCATCCCTTCGCCGCCCGCCGGCGCAGACGCAGGCGCCATCGGAGCTGCCCGCAGGCGGAGGGCCTGCACCGGCGGGGGGGGGGGGGGTCGTGGGGGTCGGGGATGGGGTCGGCGCATTGTAGCCGGAGATAGGGCGCTGCCCTACGTGCGCTGCTCTGCACGGTGCGGGCGCTTCTACTCACCGAAGATGGCTGTCGGGAAGACAACGCGCGCGACGCGAACCGCGAGCGTCTCGGGCGGCGTGTAGCGTGACCAGTCGACGCCCTCCTTCTTGACCCAGCACTTTGCGGTCGGGTTGGGGCTTGTGCGGGCGATGCGCGTGCGGTGCAGCTCGCACTTTGGGTACCCTCCGGGGCGCGCGTGCTCGAAGGCGACGCAATCCGCCGCCGCGGCGCACTTGCTGCGGCACTGGTCCTGAGAGGGGCGTGTCCCGGGACGTGTCAGACACGTGTCCTGGGAGGGCGAGGACGGGCACTCGCTGCGGCGCTGCTCTCCTCGCTCAAGCCCCACGTCGTCGTCTGATCGCCCGGGCCGCCGCTCTCGGTGCGGCAAGCTCCGGCAGAGCGACCGCTCGACGGCGCACTCCACTCCCTCCGCCAGTCGGTGGCGGCCGCGCCGCTGCCCTCCGCCTTGCGTCGCTCGGCGGCGAGGCCGGGCGACCACCCCGCCTTTGCGTAGCAAGCCGCGCCCCACGCATCCGGCGACGGCTTGACGTGGGTCGCCTGATGCAAGAGAGATGTACTTCTTGCGGTGTGTGCGAGGGTTCGGTGAGTCGGCGGGTGGCGTGGTCTGTGGGCTAAGCGTTGCCGGATGGCTTCCATGGGAGAGGGCTCTGGGGGAAAGTGTCCTGGCTTACATCTCGGCTGCATCTCGGCTGCATCCCGCACCTCCTCGAGGTGCATCTCGCACGAGCTGCGCGCGCCGCGGTACTCCCACGCGGCGCACCTATCGGGATGCTCCAAGAAGGGTCCTAGAATGTTCCTAGCGAGCCGCGGTACATGCGGCGCACTCGGCGAAGATCGCGCAGAGGCGGGCGCAGCGGCGCGGGCCGGTGTCGGCGTCGGTGTTCGTGGCGACGCTGCCGCTGCAAAGGACGGCGCCGAGGCCGCAGGCGTCGTCGCCCTCTGCGTCGCGTGCCCGGTACACAAAGTGCATCTCGAAGTGAGGCGACCAGCCGACGCCGCGGCAGCCTCCGTTGACGCACTCGCCTGGCAGGAGGCACTGGCGCAGCCCTGGCTGGCAGCAGTCTGGAGGCTGGGGCGGCGGGAAGAGAATGAGGGGGGGGGCAGGAGCCATCGCAGAAGCCGCCGCAGAAGCCACCGCAGGAGCCACAGCAGAAGAGGTCGCACTCGCAGCAGCCGCAGAAGCAGCCGCAGGAGCAGCCGCAGAAGCAGCCGCAGGAGCAGCCGCAGGAGCAGCCGCAGGAGCAGCCGCAGGAGCAGCCACAGGAGCAGCCGCAGCAGAGGTCGCACTCGCAGCAGGAGCAGCCACCGCGGCCGCCGGCCCCTGCTGCAAGCTGCGCCGGTATGGCGGCGGCGTCTCGCAGCACTCTCTCATGGACCACTCCCACCGCGGGGCAGGGTGATAGAAGCCGGCGAACTGTGACATCCTCTGCCCCAGCTTCAGGGGCGGCATCGGCGGCATCGGCGGCGGAGGTGGAGAGAAAGGTGATGGCAGTGGGCGTGGCGGCTGCGGGGGCGGCCCTGGCGGCGGGGACGGAGCGGGCGCCGCGTACACGTCGTAGTCTCCATCCCGCTCGCACTTTGCCAGCACGATGTCTCGGATGAGCCAGCATCCAAAGGTGCGGCCCGGGCGCGTGGATACGAAGCCCTCGCACCCGGTGTGCGCCTTGCAGATGGCTGTGCAATCGGCAACGGAGCCGGCGGAGATGCCGCTGTCTCCGGCGCTCACGGCGCCGTGGTACCGATAGCAGTTGAGGCGCTCATATAGCGCCATGGTGAATGGGGGTGTCGGAGGGCTCGGCGGCGAGGCGAGCGTCGGAGGGCTCGGCGGCGAGGCGAGCGCCACGCGGCTCAAAGGGGCGCAGCCGCTGCACCCGATCGGAAACTCGTCTACGACCTTGGCGCAGGCGGCGAGCTCGGTGAGACCGCCGCCAGGCGTGGACTGGAGCCAGTCAATACGCGAGGCGCACGAGTGGCCTCCGACGATAGTGGCCAGGACCGTCGGGGTGCAGGACGGCGCGCAGGGCATTTAGAGACTGCCACGTGCAGATCGGAGACACGACGTTCTCTTCGACGGTGAGCAGAGACGCTGTATAGGAAAATAAAGAAAAACCAGCACTGGAGCGCGACACAACGGTGTCGGCGAGAGACTGCGAAGAGAGATAGGAAGAGGCGGACGCCCAAGGGTGGGCGACGGCTAGCGCATCACACCCCTCTCCTTATAAAATCCCTGTGTGGTGGCGGCGTGCCGTCTTCCTCCCTTGCGTTGCCTGTTTTCTTTCTTTCTTTTACGGTATCACAATGTGACGACCAAAACGATCTTGGGAGCCAGGGTGAGACAACAGGCCGGGGTGCCACACGGGGCACACCACAGGCGTATTCTAGAGGGGGGAAAGAAACGGGGAGTGAGGGGCCCCGCCACGAGAAGTGCGTTTTGGGGATGCAGAGCGTGCAAGGCAGCTAGGGATGAGGCCACAAAAGAGGCACGCGAGGCAAGGAGGAGAATCGGAGAACGGAGAGACTGGGACGACTGGACACAACGGAGGCGTGAACTCCGTGCACGACCCTGACTGCCAGCGCCGAGGCGGAGGACCCGGCTCTAGTGAAGAAAGCGGTCACGTGTAAAAGAAAGAAAGAAAGAAAACAGACAACCCAAGGGAGGGATGGGAGGACGGCACGCCGCCACCACACAGGGATTTTAAGGAGAGGTGTGTGGTGCTCACGTGTAAAAAGAAAGAAAGAAAACAGACAACCCAAGGGAGGGATGGGAGGACGGCACGCCGCCACGTGTAAATAAATAAATAAACAAAGAGTTGGACAAATACCAAATTCCAAATCGCAAACATAGAAACCCAAACACAGGCGGCGACGTGGCATACGAGCTCATAGGAGAAGGAGGCGGGCATAAAATAAATAAAACGGACATCCCAAGCTAGGGCTGGGTCGAGGACAGACACGTCCCCACCTTTGCAGGATTTTGCAAAAGCGAGGGGGGAGGGGGCGCATCGCGGCGCGGAGAGGCCGCCACGTGTATAAATAAATAAACACAACGGACACGCCAAACGAGGGGTGGGAGAAGGACAGGTTGTGGTGGCTTGGCCTCATAAAATTCTTTGCGGCACGCGAAACAGCCCCGAGCTCGGCCGGCAATCTGCCCGCGCGATGCACAGGCCGTGTCGCCTCGCGCGCCGGCGAGCACGGCCAGCTCTCCCAGCCTGGCGGCTGCCCCCAGCAGCCTGCGCTGTGCGGTGGCGGTCCGACACCTCGACCTTGCCGACCAGCTCGCAGTTGCGCTATCTCGACGAGGCGGAGCTGAAGAGCCTGCACGCTCGGCTCGAGAGCAGCCCTGACCTTGTCACGCCGCCGTGGCGCGAGTTCAAGGCTTCGTGGGAGGCCGCGGCTACGCCCGTCGATCGGCGGGTCCGTCCGATCTACGGCACGCTCACCCTCTCGTTTGTCGCGCAAGGCATCCAGTTCCCAGTGCTGCCTCAGCTCGCGAGGAGCCTCGAGCTCGGCACCGCCGACCTAGGGCTCATCGCCGCCACCACCGCGCTCGCGCGCCTCGTCTCCAACGCGCCCGCCGCCGCCGCTGCGGAGCGCTTTGGACGGCGGCCTTTGCTCATCGCGGGGCCGGCGACCGCAGCGGTGGGGATGGGGCTGCTTGCTTGCAGCGACTGCTTTTGGCACATGGTCGTCGCAAACACGTGCCTCGGCGCCGGTCTGGCCACCACGACCACCGCCGCGCAGCTCTACCTCGCCGACATCTCGACGCCGCGCAACCGCGCCGCGACGACGGCGCCTCTGCTGCAGTCTGCGCTGATCGGCTTTGCCGTCGGGCCGGCGGTGGGCGGCGTCCTGGCGCAGCACCTCGGCTTCAGCCTCCCCTTCGCCGCCTGCGCCACCGGCCTGCTCGGCTCGTCCCTCGCGAGCGCGCTGCTGCTGCCGGAGACGCTGCACGAGGCAGCCTCGAGACCTCGCGACATGCGCGACCTCGAGGCGGCGCCGCGCAGCGAGCAGCAGCAGCAGCAGGGGCAGGGGCAGGGGCAGGGGCAGGGGCAGCAGGGGCAGGGGCAGGGGCAGGGGCAGGGGCAGGGGCAGGGGCAGCAGGGGCAGGGGCAGGAGCAGGAGCAGCCCGCCTCGGCGGAAGTGACTTGGCGACTGCTGCGGCGGCCCGCCCTGCAGGGCATCGGCGCCGTCGTCTTCATGAATGGCTTCGCGCAGGGCGCCTGCCCCGTCAGGCTGGCCTCCCCTTCCTGGAAGCTTCCGTGAAGCCTCTCAGCCCTTCCCAACAGGCGCCTTCCCGGTGACGCTCGTCCTCTTCGCGACGGAGAACGTCGGCATGGACTCCGCCTCGGTCGGGGGGAGGGGGTGCTCACTGCGACCATCTCCTCTTCACCGTCACTCATCAGCACCTGTGATTAGGTTGGAGGAATGCTCACCGCAAATGTGGCGCTGATGGTCCTGCTCACTGCGCCCGCGACGCGGCTGAGCGACGCGGCGCGCTCCCGCAAGTCGATCATGGTGCCCGCCCTCGCCGCCGCCGCCGTCTGCACCGGCCTCCAGTCGCTCGCCGCCACGCCGTGGAGCTACGCGGCGCTGGTCGGGCTGGGCGGCTCCGCGAGCGCCTTTTCGATGCCGAGCATCTCGCCCATCATCCTCGACTCGGTGGCGGAGGAGGAGCGGGCGCGCGCCCTCGCCGGGCGGCAGATGGTGCAGGATTCCGGCGCGCTGCTCGGCGCGAGCGGCATGGGCCTCGTCGCGAGCGTGCTCGGCATCCCGGCGGCGATGCAGACTGTGGCGGCGCTGCAGCTCGCCTCGGTTGCCATCTTCGCGCTGCGCGTCCCTTCTCGCCCCGCCGAGGCGCTGCGCGAGTGCGAGGCGAGGCGGAGGAGGGAGCAGCGGAGAGACCAGTCGGCTGCGAGGGGGCGCGGCGATTGAGCGGACGCGTTCAGGGAGTGGCCAGCTCGCGCAGCCTCGGTACCATAGTTGCACGCGGGGGCCTTGTTGATGTTGTTGATTGTTTGTGTTTGAGAGATTTTTTGTGTCCACCTCGAATCGCGACAGCCTGTATTATTGAAAAAATAGTACCGTGCGACGACGACGACCCGCGTGTGCGGTTTATGAGCGGGCCTTTTTGTGCACTTGCCAACAAAATGCGCAGAGTCCAGAGACGGAGCCCGACTCGCTGCTTATTGCTTTCTGCTAGTGCAGCTAGCACGCCCCCCGGCGGCAGCCGAGGGAGCGGAAGGTGAACGAGTAGCGGTGCGGCGCCGCAGCGGGGTGCGCCTCGACGGCGTGCCTCAAATCGTACCTCGCCATCCCGCCCATGACGTAGAGCGAGCGCGGCGGCAAGTGCACGCGCTGCACGTTGGGCGCCCGGGCCGCGCCCTCGCGCACGCCTCCCGCGCCGCTCGTCGCGCCGAGCAGCAGGGTGGCGGGGGCGCCGACGGAGACGCCTGCGATCATCTCGTCGTACTCGCGCCGGTGGTCGAAGTGGAAGCCTGACGCCATGCGCTCGCGGTGAGGGCCCGACGGCGGGTGCGTGTCGCGAGGAGAGGGGGCGGCGGCGCCAAGGGACTGGCCTCCGATGTACCGCTGGACGTAGCACTGCCCAAAGGGCGGCTGCTCGGCAGGGTCGAGGCAAGCGAAGGGCCACGGCCGACCTCGCACGCGGGCGAGCACCTGCGCGGGGGGGCGGGAGGTGGGGAAGAAGGGGCGAGGGGGGGGAGGGGAGGGGGAGGGGAGGGGGGGGGGAGGGGAGGGGAGGGGAGGGGAGGGGGTGGAGGGGGGAGGCGCCTTCTCCCCGAGAGCGGCGAGGACCGGAGGCAGCGGCTCGGAGCGGAGCACCTTTTGGCATTCGTGATCGTGATTGGTGCGGCGTCGACCGACGAGGTCTCGGTGAGAGGAGGCCCCGAGGTCTCGGTGAGAGGAGGCCCCGAGGGCTCGGTGAGAGGAGGCCCCGAGGTCTCGGTGAGAGGAGGCCCCGAGGGCTCGGGTTGACTCTGGTGGGGCGGGGCACCTTGTAGCTCTCTCCAAGAGTGACTCCGAAGCAGCGGCGCACGCCGCCGTCCACCGACCCGACCCGAGGCTCCCACTCGTCGAGGCTGTCGCACCTGGCGGGCGGGAGTGGGTGAGGGTGAGGCGGCTGTGCAGGAGGAGGGTCGGCAGCCCAGTCCCTATCCCTCACCAGGCCAGCAGCTGCGCCTCCTCGGGCAGAGACAAAAACTCGTGCTGCGCCTCGAAGCAAAAGAGGCGCAGGTCGGCGCCTGCGGGCGGAGGCGGGCGAGGCGGGCCAGGCGGGTGAGGCGGGGGGGCGAGGGGCGAGGAGGAGGGAGGGGGGGGGGGGGGGGTTGCCGGAGAGGTGCCTCCTCGCCGACTCGTACCGCGCGAGCGCAGCACCGCCGACCAACGCACTGCTGCTGTCGCCGCCGCCGCCGCCGCCGCCACCAGCGGCGCCGCCGACACCATCACCGACGCCGCTGCTGCCACCGCCATTACCGCCGCTGCTGCTGCCGCCATCGCCGCCACCGTCGCCGCTGCCACTGCGGCTGCTGCAGCTGCCATCGCCGCCGCCGCTCCCACCGTCGCTGCCGCCACCATCGCCGCCGTCACCATCGCCGCCACCGCCGCCGCCTCCACCGCCGCCGCCAGCGCTGCCAGCCTCTGAGCGGAAGATTTGCTCTCGGGGCATAAAGTTGAAGCGGAAGCGGAAGGCTCGCGCCACGCCCGCAGCGTCTTCCTCACTCATCGCCTCGCCTGCCTCCGGCCAGTCTAGCCGCCTCCGCGCGCCCTTTGCGGCGGGGCCTGCGGCGGGGCAGCGCCTCTTCCTGGGCCGGCTGGCCGCAGCTTCGAAGGGAGGGAGGAGGAGCGGGTCGGTGTGCGCGACTCGTGGCGGGCTGGCAGGCGGCTGCGGCTCGATCTGCTCCCGCAGCGCCAGGCGAGTGGCGTCGGAGAGAGGAGAGAGGCCGGGGAGGCCGCGGTGAGGGACGGGAGAAGGCAGTGCGAGGACTGCGCCAATCACATGCCGCACCGGGCCCGTCGCCCACGGCTCGGCGGCCGTCCCGGCGCACCCCTCAGCGCTGGCCACGCCGTCGACGCGGATGAGGCCGGCGATGGCGCCGGCCGGCGGCAGATCGGCCGCGGGAGGGAGCCGCGCCAGGCGGGCCTCCAGCCTTTTCCGCGTCTCGGCGTTGAGAGATCCGAGGCCGGTGTGGAGCCCATACCAACCGGGAGAGAGGCGGAAGGGACGGTTCTCCACGGTCTTTATGCCGGCCAGGATGGCCCACGAATAGAGCGCTCCTCGCATCGTGATGGCGTGCGTGGTGGCGGCCGGGTCGGTGGCTCCGGTTGGCAGTGGCCGCGGTGGCGGAGAGGGAGTGACGCACTCGGGCAGAGGCTCGGGCGAGATGACCTGCATTTTTGCCTGTGGCCTGTCGCGCCGCGCGGCCTGCTATCGTGGCCCGGGAATTCTTACGGTGATAGTACTAGCACGCGCCAGTTCGCACCTGTGTCGAGCCTGTCTGCTGTGAGCCGGAGTTGTTTTGTTTAAATTCTTCTGGGTTGATTGGGAGGGGGGTCGGCACTGGCGAGGTACTCCCACGCCTCTCGGGGTTTTTGTCTGGCCGAGTCTGCTGGGGCGAGCCTCGGCGAGACTGCGTCAGCTGTTCCCACAGCAGGCTGGAAGTACCTCGCCAGGGTCGGCCGGAGGAGTACGCCGGCCTCTTCGACGGCCCATAAGGGGCCGTCGCCTACCGTGCCTTTTGTAGTGCCAGTCCGAGCCAGTCTGCTGTAGAGGGGCTTCTATAGTAAAATTCTCACCTTCAGCTCACTGTTCTTCACCTTTCTACCTATAAGCACACTGACGTGACAAGGGCGTGGCGCAGACTAGCATACACACCGGCACACCACCGGAGCCGCCTAAGCGACTCCCTCCGTTAAGTCTTAAGAACGGCAATGCATTCTGCACAATGCCGCTCTCCCTGCGCTGATGGGGGGGTCGCCGCCCCTGACGTCGCTGGTGAGTCTGAGTGTGGTGTCCGCGCTAAAGTAGTCCTGGTGTCTGGCCAGTGCCACGCCCACGGGCCACCGTGCATGAAAAGGTTACGCGTGTGATGTGGCCACGCGCGACACGAAACCCATATACGACAACGCTCCAACATCCGGCCTCCGAGTCAATCCGACACTCGAAGCCAACCCTTGCGGTTGATCCTGCTGCAGCTGAGCGCAACCACGGCGAGCGTGGTGGCCATGCTCGTCGCCGCGAAGGCGAAGAGCAGCGGCGGCTCGGACGGGCTGGGCCGGTAGAGCCACAGCGTCGCGTGCGTGTCGCGCGGCCAGTTGGACTCGGTCCACAGCGCGTCGGTCCCGTTTGCGACGGCGGCCTCGTCGACCAGCCGGAAGATGCCCGCCTCCGCGTCGTACTCGAGGGAGGGCGAGACCGCGTCGTGGGTCAGCACCGTCGGCTCGCACAGCGGCGAGCCCTCCTCCGCCGTCCCGGACGCGCCCGGGAACAGGGAGCGCCTCGGCTCTGCGGGGCAGAGCGGCGCCAGCGCGGCGCGCAGAAAGGCGGCGGCGAACTTTGCGGTGCCGGAGGCGGCCAGCTCGCCGCGGAGCGGGAGGAAGGCGCTCGTGTAGCGCGAGGTTGGCGGCTCGACCTCGAGCTGCGTCGCGGTTGCGCAGCGCGGGTCGGTGAGGAAGCAGCCCAGCAGCTCCTGGCGAGAGGGGGGGGGGGGGGGAGGTGAGAGAGCCCGGACCCCTCTCCCCCTCCCCTTCCCCGGCGGAGGGAAGGGCTGCGCGCTTCGCCAGCAGCGATGATGATTCGCCCAATCTCCGCTCCTCTCTCGGCTGCTCCAGTCCACTCGGCGCTCCTCGACCAGCGAGCAGTTCGGCGCCGGCGACCCTTCCCCTCCCGCCAGCCGCCACCAGGCGGCCGCTGCGACTGCAGACGCCTCGCACACGAGAGAGGCGTCGATGCCTTCGAGCGTGTCGAAGCGAGAGCCGTACCTGGTACCAGGGGCGGGGGCGGTACCAGCGAGGCGTCGCCGCCGAGAGTCCAGTGCATGGTGTGTGTGCTTGTGTTTGTGTGTGTGTGTGTGTGTGCGCGCGCGCGCGCGGTGTGTGCGAGTGTGTGTGTGTGTGTGTCTGTCTGTCTGTCTGTCTGTGTTGTGTGTGTGATGTGTGTGATGTGTGTGATGTGTGTTGTGTAGTGTGCTTGTGCTCACGGGTCTGCCCTGGCGCACCGTCCGCCGCCGCGCCTCTCCGCGTCGTAGTCTGCCAAGGTGCCAAGCGAGGGACACCTGTTCACAGCTGCACGTGTGAAGAGACGCTGCTCACACTTCTCACACTCACACGGCACGTGCGGAGGAGCACCCGCTCCCGCCCGCCCCAGAGGCGGAGGCGGAGGAGGAGGCGGAGGAGGCGGCGAGGGAGGCGGCGAGGGAGGCGGCGGCGCCAGGAGGCAAGCCCGCGCTGCTCGCCTCCCTCACCTCGACGCGGGCCCCTCGCTCGCGCGCCGCCTCGCGCACCGCTCCGCCGACGCCGCCTCCGGCCTCCAGGTCGGGCGCACACGCCGCCGCGGGAGAGTGCAAGAAGAGCCGCGCCGGGCCGCCCGCCCCGCCGCCCCCGCGCGAGCCGAGCGGCCCCAGCTCGAGCAGCGCCGCCACGCCGCCCGCCGCCCCGCCCGCCGCCCCGCCCGCCGCCCGGAGGGCAGCGAACCGCAGGTCGGGCTTGTACGGCGAAGCGCACGAGGGAGGGGGACCGAGCGGGTGCGGCGCGGCGCTCTGCGGCGCCGCCCCCTCCTCGCGGCTCCGGTTGTCGCAGCGGAACGTCTCCACGTCGCCGAAGAAGCGGCGCGATCCGATCTGCCCGTACGCTTCCCCGGTGAAGAGGGCGAACGCCGGCGTGCGGGGCAGCGCCTCGAGCTGCTCTGCGCTGCCGGCGAGGCGAGCGACGGAGGCGACCGCAGCGAGGAGGGCGACGGTGCCAGAGACGGCCGCCTCCGCCCCCGCGGCGTGCTCGTGGAAGAAGGCGGCGGCGTCGAGCGACGCAGTCAGCATCACGGCTGGCTTGTCCTTCGCCGGCGGCGACTGCGCGGCGGTGCGTGGCGGCAGGGCGCCCCACACGCTCTGCCCTCCGAGAGGGAGGCAGCTCCCCTCGGCGAGGCAGCTGAGCGAGTCGCCCGTCGCGAACATCGGGTACTTGAGCTCGAGAAGCGGCGAGCCGCCAGCGCGCACCGCGCCCAGCAGCGCGGCGCTCTCTCCGGCGCTCAGCAGGACGACGCCGAAGTCAAACGAGTCGCGCGATAGGCCGCTCCCGGAGGGGTTGAGCACCGTGCCGCCGGGCCCAGGCCCGCCGCCCTCGCTCGCGGGCTCGGGCGACGCCCACCCGCGCGGCATCCCCTCCGAGTGCAGCACGGCCACGCCGCGCAGCAGGCCACCGAGACGTTGCCGCAGCGAGTGCATCACGCTGGCCTCAAAGAGCTCGGCTGATAGGGCGACCGAGACCGGTTCGGTCGCATTCAGGACCCGCGCGAGCGCCTCGCGGCTCTCGACGGCGACGAGTGGCGCGATTGCGCCACCTGCGGGCGTTGCGCAGCCCGAGGGTCCGTCGGCAGAGAGCAGCCGGACACACGGGTCCGCACGGGTCAACTTGACGAACTGAGCGGACTCACGGCCCTTCGCCGCCGCCGTCGAGAAAAGAAGCAGCGAGAGCAGCGCGATGGGCGCGTGGAACATGCCCTGCGCACTGGGCTTGTTGCGCGGCGACCGCGACAACCTTAATCAAAGAATTTTTCTCCGCAACGATGTGTCTTTTACTTCCCACCCTTCCACTTCTCATAACAACGTCCGACCCAAAGGCTCGGCGCCGGGCACCACTCAGGAGATGAAATCTGCCCGTGAGCTGTGTGGCCTGAGAGAGAGAGATTTTCTGTGACCTGTGAATGAAGGTCGGGGCCACAGTCGAGAGCTGGGACGGTGCTTGTCTCTCAACTCGTTCGTTCACAACTGGGGTTTCCAGCCCCAGGCTGCTGCATAATCGGATCGGAAGCTGGATGCGCCCGCCGCCCCGGTAACGTACGCAAACTCTTGGGCTGCCACTCACACGACATTCGGTTTGACGCCGTCCGTGCTCCCAGCTGCTGCATGCGAGGCCTAGGCGCCCTGCCGCTCCTCGTATCGTCCCTGGCGGCGGATGTCCACGCCTCCGCGGGCCTTGAGATGCCAAGGAGGGCGCGAGTCCGCCGTTCCGCCACCCATGCGGACCAGGTCGACCAACAAGGCGAGCGCTATGAGGATCAGGACTTTGAGGGCGCAATCAGAGTCAACACAGCGGACACTGATGGCCGTTCTGACCACAGCGAGCACTGCACAGCGTGGGCGGCTGCTGGGGAGTGCGATGTCAACCCGGACTTCATGTGTGCACACCCTCGCCAGCAAATGCCCACCATCCCATTCGCTGCACTCGCTCTCAACCTCTCGGCTCGCACTCATTCTCTAGCATTCCCCGCTCTGGCTCCATCGGTGCTTGCAGGTGTCTTGAGTGTGCTACTTCCTGTGACTCTTGTGACGGCGGCAGCGAGGTCCCGCCAACAGCGCTGATGGCAGAGGCAGGTGGGGCGGCGGCCGAGGCAGCCAGGTTGGCAGCCGTGGAAGAGGAAGCGTGGGAAGCCTTGGAGGCTGCACAGGCGGAGGAGGCTGCGGAGGACGCCAGGGCAGAGGCCGCTGTGGCAGAGGCTGCAGCCGCCGAGGCTGTGGCGGCTGGATCGATCGCCGTGTACCTTCACGACGGCCACATCCCGCGCGAGCTGGTTGAAAAGTGGCGGAGGAAGGTAGAGTGGTGGGCCGCCGTCAACAGCGCGTCCACGGTCTCCTTCATCTCACTGACGCTTTGTAAGCGGCTGTCCCTCTTCATTGACCGCACCTCACAGAAGAGGGCCAGCCTCGAGTGGGAAGGGACCGAGGAGGCGGTGGCGCCAGTCGGCGAGGCGGAGCTGGGCGTCACGATTCGTCGCAACAGCGAGGAGACCTGGATGGACGAGACGGTCCGCTTGCGAGTCCTGGTCCTTGCCGTCGACGACGAGGACGACCCTTCTCGCCAGCTCCAGCTCGGACTCGACTTTCTCCGCGTGTGTAGCGGCGAGGTCTACCTCACGACACTGGAAGGCTACGAGCGCCGCTCGGTGCGCGGGGTCTCCCTGCTGGCTCACCATCCGGCGGGAGGGGCAGGTGTTCGATCGCTTGGGCCACGCAAGTTCGCCTTCTCCGTCGGAGTCGGCACTGCCGAGGTCGCCCTGCTCCCACTGCCGGCCGCCCCGCTCGCTCTGCGCTTCAAAGCGGAGCCACCTCTGGAGACGCCGACTCGAAGCCAGGCGACGCCGCCACCCGCACGACCGGACGGCGGCGGCGGCGAGCTGCCGCACGAGTGGGCCATGCTTCTAACCTCGCTGGCGCCGTTGGTGCGGCAGTATGAGTGGCTACCGGCCACACGCCTGCCTGAAACGCTGCTCTTTGCATCCCTGGTGTCGCTGGCGGTGGGCATGATCACTTGGTTGGTGGTCTGCTCCTCGAGCAAGGTGCTGCTCGTTCGACCTCTGCAGCCGACTAGGCAGCCTGTGGCCGCGCACCGGAGACGGCACAAGCCGCGCAGGCCAAGGGCGGTCCCGCCCGAGCCAGAGTGGTGGCTCGCGCTGGCGGAGTTCCACGCCGACCTCGAGGCAGCGGCAAGGGAAGAGTGCCTCTCGTTCCTCTGCTCCATCACGGGCGAGATGATGCGCCACCCTGCGATGATTGTCGTGCGTGGCGTTGCGTCGCACAGCTTCGAGCAGGTCGCCATTCGGCATTGGCTCGACGACGGCGGCGCGACCAACCCGGCCACCGGAGAGGAGCTGCCACGGGGGGGCGCGTCTGTCATCCTCAACAGCCAGATGCAGCGCGAGATCCGGTCGTGGTGCGAGGCCAGAGTGGCCGGCTGGAGGAGAGAGCTCGAGGAGGCGCCGTGCGAGCGGGAGCGGCCCGCCGAGCGGCCCCGCGTCCACATCTTTGTGGACGACGCGAACATCTTTGGCCGGACGTCGCAGTCCCTCTTCTCGATCGCGCAGCTCGCGGCTTGCGTCGAGCGCGGCCGCGATGTCGAGGAGCGCGTCGTCATTGGGTCAGGGACGAGCGAGCGGGCGCGCGGGCTGTGGGAGCAGCAGGGCTACCGCGTCGACACCGACCCGCGGCCGGGAAGGCAGCGTTTCGTCGACGAAGCGCTGCACGCCCGGCTCATGCAGACGGCGACCAAGAGCTTCGGCCCGCCGAGGACCATCGCGCTCGTCACCGGAGATGGCAACCGGAACGAAGGCCGCACGTCCTTTCCCGCATGCATCGAGATTGCGCTCAAGCACGGCTGGCGCGTCGAGCTCCACACGTGGCGCGCCACCATGAACCGCATCTACCACCAGTTTGAGGGCGAGTACGGCTCCTTCTTCCGCATACACTTTTTGGACACGCTACTCCGCGCCGCGAGTCGGTGAGGCGCGCAGTCACAGTGCCGAGGGCCTCAACGTATGCTGACGGCTGACGCACGCTCTCGTGCGCGAGGAGTGGGGATGCGAGGGGAGCGCCTAGCTCACAGTGAGAATGAGATTGACTGGCGCGGCATGTGCACGGGCATGTTAAGATCCGAACGCCCTCACCTGTGTAGTTTCCCTTCTGTTCACGTTCGCCGTGCGAGCCTGGCTCGCGCTGCGATATAGGGTTCACGGCAGAGAGTCAGTGGGCTGTTCTCGGCTCCGTTTCTCGGCTATCTGCGGCTCCCGGCTCGCGTGTCACGCGCCCCAGAGCCGTACGGCAAGAGAGGCGCGCGAGCCACCAAGAAGGCACTCCGACTCGCTTTGATTTCCGTGAGGCAACTGGTATCCCGCACCACTTTTTGATTAGTTCAGGCCTAGGGTTTGATTAGCCAAAAACTCCCATACCGGTAAATATTCAACACTGGGTTGTTGCACGAGTAGAGTATATGGGCCAAAAGCGTCGAAAATGTCCGAAAAAAGCGTGTCTCGAGTTTGTTGCAGCTCCGCAGCCTGCGCGCGCTGCCGGGACGCACCGCTTGCTGGATCTGTGCACTCCCTGGGTCCCAGGGAGTGCACATATCCAACAGGAGTGAGTAGGCTCGACGCCGTACTCGAGATGGAGCTGCAGAAAGTACGCCGCCGAACGTGCCACCGACGGCGTCCTGGCGGAGGTGGTGGAGTTTGAGAACTGAGGCTGCGGAGGTGACGCCTGAGCTACCGGCCCGTGCACGGCGACTCAGCCGGCGACCGCCACGGGCTCAGACGAGACTTGTCGACTCGTTCCATCTCAGCTTCACCGTGGTCATCGGGCGTCTGTCGACGTCAGGACCACCCATACAGCTCGCGGGTTTGAGGTCGCAAGAGCCAAGATGGTGGCGTTTGGACATCCCAACCATCACACAAGACAGCCTGTAGGTGATGGCGGGACGGCGCAGTGTTTGTGGCACTCGGCAGTAGGCACCCGCGGCACAGCCCCGCTGTCGGCTCTCGCGGGCTGCGGAACCGGCCCCATAAGGGAACGGTGAGGGCGAGTGTGGCAGCTCCTGCGCTAGTATGGGCACCCTCCATCACAACACTACTGATCCTGGTCATCAGAGCTGCCAGGGATAGCGTCAGGAGCCGGTAGGAGTCAAAACCCCTCATATTTGAGACATCGTGGCCGCCCATATACTCTCGTGCAACAACCCCACTGTTTATCTCCCGCGAGCTCTCTCGCACACTGTAGTCTCGTTTTTCACTGTAGTCTCGTACCAACCCTCTGATATTCGGTGACAGCTTCGGCTGCCGCTCATAATAGCAAGGTCGCTTGTACCAGGCATCCTCCTGTCGAGGACCACAGACCATGGACCATGCCGGAGAGTCAGCCAGTGTGGGCTCACCGGATATCGTGCGATCGCTGCCTTCCTGGCCGACGGACGCGCTCCGCCTGCTCGTCGCGCGTCTGATCCGCGGGCGTCCCGACGCGCTCCGGCCTCTCTACACCTCGTCCTTGCTGCTGTCTTGGAAGTCGTGCATCGATGCGCAGACGCCGCAGGACTGGGGGCAGTTTGGGAGCATAAAGTCCTTCTTCGCGTCGCATGCGCTCGTCGGGTCCTGTGCCCAGTTGGGGCAGTCGGAGTACTTGTCCTCGCAAGCGAGCGTGCACACGCCGCACATCTCCGGGCACAGCTTCATCACCGACGACGGGTTCGAGCCGCACTCGTGCTCTCCCCAGATGTGGCACTGCTTGCTGCGCGCGGCGGGGAAGGGGTCGGTGCGGCGTCGAGGGCAGGCGCGGCGGTGCGCGGCGAGCGCGGCGAGGCGAGGCGAGCTGAGGTGGAGGGCGGGCGAGGCAGGGCGGACAGCGCGCGCCGGTCCGAATCTCCGCAGGCGGCCCGTGGCGCCATGTTGCGGCCGTCAGCCGTCTTAGCCTCAATGTCGACCGGGTGCTTGGCGGCCTTGTGGGTCATTTCATTGCAGACCATGCACGAGTGCGGGCACTCCTTGAGCATGAAGGCCGGGTTGTCGATGCACTGATTCTCGGACGCCCACTGGGGGCAGTCGTTCTGCTTGTCGAGGCACAGGTGTGTGCAGGTGCCGCACGAGACGGGGCACGTCGTGAACAGGTTGGGGTCCTTCTTGCAGAGGCCGTCGCGCGCCTGCGCACACACGAGCGCGCGCGGTCCCTCGCTCCGGGCTCGGGCGGCTCGGCCTCGGGGGTGCGAGCGCGGCTCGGGCGCGCACCCATCCGCCGCAGTCCACGTCCTTGTCGTAGCACTTTGTCTTGCAGACACCGCAGGTGACGGGGCAGTCCTTGAACATGGCCATCATGTTCTTCTCACACTCGCCCAGCTCGCCCCACTGCTTGCACGACGGGTCCGAGTCGCGGCACGTGTGCGTGCAGACCGAGCAGCTGTGCGGGCAGAGCTTCTTGACGTGGTCCTTCTCGCACTCGCCCTTCTTTGCCCAGTTGCCGCAAGAAGAGTCGTTGTCCGCGCAGAAGCCCCACGCGTCCGCCCGGAGGACCAGGGAGGCGCACAGGAAGAGGTAGGAGCGCGTCATCGGCCGTAAATCCACCTGTGCCGAGCCGCCGGTACTTCGCCGCGCCACGTCTTTTGCTGTGAAGATGTGTATTCTTTTTGCTTGGGGCGGACAGCATGCTGAATTCTGGAAAAACCTGACCGGCCCCTGCGGTGCCCCTGCCTACCTACCTACCTACCTACCCTACTTATGGAAACTAAAAAAGAAATCACGGTATGGGTGAAGGTGGGGTACTATACCAACTAAAGTGATGGCTGGTGGTACTCTCCTGCAATCACAGTCCTTCCTGTGACATGGCAGGCCACTATCAAGCCCTACAAGCACCAGATCACCCACTTGGGGAGGGTTGACGTCGTGATTTTCGCCGAAAATTTCTTTTTCTGCTGTGAAAATTCCGGCGTGAAGAGAGGGAAAAACCCGAGGAGCGCCCAGACCTACCCTACCTACCCCGGCATGCTGTCCGCCCCAAGCAAAAAAGAATACACACCTGCTGTGAGCAGCTTTTCTGTTGCCCAGTGTTGAAGAAAGTTGCCGGTGACAAGGAGACAAACAAGGAGAAACCAGAGCTCACCCGGCAGTACAACGAGGGGTACAAGGTCGACCTCGCGGAACCCCACGCTGGCCCGGGAGGATGCGATGAGGTGAATGAAGTCAAGCTCTGGACGCCCCTCCTCAAGACCTCCTCGGCGGGCGTTGGCAACGCCTCGAGTGGCGGGGCACGCCCGCCTCCGTTGGCCACTCCTACGCCTTCGGCAACACCGAAGAGAAGGCCCGCCGCCTAAACATGGGCTGCAAGGCGCGGGGGCAGCCCGGCCAACCCTTCGACCACAAGAACGGCCACGGCTACGTCAAGGCGCATCGCGGTTTCTACCACGACGCGATCTTTGTCAAGCGCAACAACTTCAACCTGCTGCTCCACGAGACGTTCGGCGGCGGCTTCTCGCCCACCGCCGTTCTCAAGCTGCGCCGCCTCGCGCGCAAAGCCGCGCGCGGCAGCGTCGACCGCACGGCCTACTCGCCCAAATACTCGCTTTCTTTTATGTCCCACCATGCAGAGCGCATCTCTCTCTCTGTTGTGCGAGGCGTGAACCGCGCCATTCGCTCTCACCTGGCAACCCTGTCTGCACGTCTCGCGCGCGCGTGAACAGGCCTCCAGGCCCCAAATGACGTGTGAGTGTTAGAGTTGCCATAGTAGTGTCTGTCAGTGTTGTGCGCCTAGGTCCCTCCGAATCGGCAACACCCCCCCGTCGGCACTTTTTGTTTCTCCGCCGTCGCAGCTTTCTGTATTACTTTCCGTTGTCGCTGGCATCGCATGCGGACGCTGTTCCTTGACTTCGTCCTCGACGTCGGCCCTACACCGCGCTTTGCCGCCCTCGGCGCTTGTCTTGTCGCGAGGGCTCGGGCCCAGAGGATGGGCGTGGGTTTCTTTAAGTGAGCAGGCGCCGTCGCCAAGGAGCAGTCGAACTCGAGAGTCGAAACGGTGAAGGTCTCGGTCCGCTGTTCGTGCTTACTTCTGTCTCGCCCCTCACCCGGCATCGACGGTCCTCCGTCGTAGGCGCGCGCCACCGGTCAACAACAACAACCTCTCTCTCTCTCTCTCTCTCTCTCTCCGGTCAAGCATGCCGTTCCTGCTCACCGAGCTGCCGTGGGGCCAAGTGCTTGTCGAGGCCGCCATACTCGTCGCCGAGCTCCTGTTGATCCTCTTCCGCCTGGTCCCGTTCTCGTGCTACCTCGTCATTCCGCAGGCGCTGTTCGTCGGCATCGTCTGCCACAACCTGCCCGTCAAGCCGGCGGGCATCGCCGCGTCGATCAGCCTGCGCGTGCCGCTCCTCGCCCTGACGCTGTACGCGCACTACGCGATCGGCATGCGACTGCCGCACGTGCACGCGCTCCTCCTCTACGCGCTCGACTTCCCCTTCTTCTTCGACATACTCGCATGTGCGCCTCGCCGGTGCCGCCAGCCTCTCTCTCGGCGCTCCACCCCTCGCCGCGCTCCGCAGGGACCCTCCTCCTCGGCCGCTGCGCCTCCCTCACCCAGCAAGCCAAGGCGCAGCCGACCGTCGACCTGGTCGCAGCCCTGCGAAAGGTGCGGCCAAACAAGCCGAAGCTGGGCAAGCGAGTGGTCATCGTGGGGAACGGGCCTTCGGTGCGCGGCGTCGGGACGAAGATCGACACTTTCGACGAGGTCGTGCGCTTCAACCACTTTTGGTGCGGGGGCGACGAGATGGCGCGCCGAGCACGCGCAGCCCCTCGCACGCCGACACACCGACACACCCACTCCACGCACCACAGACCACACATGCACACACAGATACACGGGGCGGCACATCACTCTCGCACACGCCACACACGCACACGCATGGGCCCGAGCCCAGACCGGAGTTCCCCCCTCCCCCCCCCCCTCCGCCCCAGGTGCAGCACCGCGGCTCGCGCACCACCGTCCACTTTTCAAACTCGTACCTCTTCACGTCGCGCAACATGGCGAGCGAGAGAGCGCGGGAGCGGGAGGAGCGGGAGGAGCGGGAGGGAGAGGACACCCGCGCGCCTCGAGCCACCCTCCCCTCCCCACACTCCTCCCCCCCTTCCCCTTCTCCTCTCCCAGCAGCCACCTGCCCTCCCTCCCCTCGCACCAGGCCCACGTGGAGCCGCAGGGCAGCGGGGCCGTGCGAGCAGACTCGGAGCCCGTCGCGGTGAGAGCCACGCCTTAGTAGAGTGTGCCCCCCTGCCTTAGTAGAGTGTGCCCCCCTGCCTTAGTAGAGTGTGCCCCCCTGCCTTAGTGTGCCCGTGTGCCCTCCCCTGCCCAGCTCTGGCGCTGCTCTGGCGCTGCTCTGGCGCTGGGGCACGGCCTTTCCCTCCCCCGCCTGCCCCCCCCCCCCCCCCTCTCCCCCGCAGGTGCTCCCGATGCTCACCAACTCTTGCATGCTCGCGCCGATGCACCTCATGCTGCGCCTCTTCCCGCCCGCCGGTGTCGTCTCGATGGACGTGCGCGGCGTGCTCAGGCACATCGCCTCCGCCGTCCTCTTTTCCCCCGCGTGGAACGAGCGTCTCTCGGCAGCCGTCTCGCTCCCAAGGGGAAAGTACCTCACGACCGGCGCGCGTCCTAGACACTTCCTAGACACTCCCTAGAATGTACCTCACGACCGGCGCGCGTCCTAGACACTTCCTAGACACTCCCTAGAATGTACTTCACGACCGGCGCGCGTCGGCGGTCGGATCCTTCTGCCGCGAGAGCTCCTCGCGAGCCATCCGCGAGGCGGTCCGGGAGCCTTCCCGCACACAGGCATGTCGGCGGTCGGACTCTTCTGCGAGCTCCTCGACGCCGGCGAGGTCGAGGAGGCGAGGGCCGAGATGCTGCCGAGATGCTGCCGAGATGCTGCCGAGATGCAGCCGAGATGCAGCCGAGGTGCAGCCGAGATGCAGCCGAGGTGCAGCCGAGATGAGTGCCGCCGCTCGTGGAGAGAGAGGAGCCTGGGAGAGGAGAGTGCGGGAGAGGAGACGTCACTGTCACGCCCCTCCCCCCCACCCCTCTCCCGCGTCTCTTCAGATCGTGCTTGTCGGCTTCGACGGCTTCAAGCCGGGCCAGCCCAAGCACTACTTTGAGAACTTCGAGCCGTGGCGCGACACCGCCACCCGCCAGACGGAGAGGCGGCGGGGAGGGGGCCTCTCACTCTTGCGGCGGGTGGTGTGAGTCTAGGCACGAGCGTGTCCTCGGCTGGTTCATCGAGGACCTCCTCAAGCAGTCGAATCACGACCCTCGCTCCGAGCAGGTCACGCCACCACCTCCAGCCGGGAGTTGGGCTGGTCGCGGCCCCTCTGTTGCTCCTCGACCCCGTCTCTGAGACCCCCCCCCCCGCCTCCCTCCCCTCCACAGCTCTACATCGGCAAGCTGCTCAAGGAGGGCAAGGTCAAGTTCATGGAGTGAGCGAGAGGGTCGCGGTGGGCCGCGTCCATTCAACAACCGACCGCCTTCACTCCCGCGCGCCAATGTACTCTCTAGACGTGAGTTGCCTTTGCTCCGGCCTGGGCGGCCGAGGTGTGTTGCGCACATTTGTTTGGGTGCATATATGCAGCCACAGCCGAGGCTGGGTGGTGGGGGGTGTTTGAGAGGCACATATCAGAGAGACAAAGAGAGTGGGCGTGGTCCGTGGAGAGCGGGTGGGGCTCCCCACCGGCAGCGGCTGTGGTGGGATGCGTGCGTTATAGGACCTGTACTTATTAGTTCTTTGGTGTTTGGAGACGCGACACCAGCACAGTGACTAACTAAACTGCCCCTCAGCAGCAGAGGCCAGCGAGCGAAGCGTGCACACGTGCACGGTGCAGACTGCAGTCTGCACAGTCTGCGGCGCGCCCCCACACATGCCCATGCCTGGCAAGTTGCATCTGACCTCGGTCCTTGCCCTCGCCACGTGTCTTGCTCACGATTAACCGTCATGCGTCATAAAGGATCGACGCCGAAACTGAGTTCTCCTCGTAGAGCACGCCGTGTCCCCACATACTGGGCACGAAAAGCACGTCGCCAGCCTGCTGCGTGCACTCGAGCTGGCGTCCGAAGTCACCGCGGCGGGCGAGCTCAAAGTCGTCGAAAAAGTGGGCAGTGCTGTAGGATGCATCGGCGGGCGGGAACAGAGACCACCGCTTCCGGCCGTGCAGTAGCACACTCACGGCTGAGTAGTGGAAGTGCAGGGAAGTGCCAGAGTAGGGCGAGCCGATGTTGATCTGGTAGTTGTTGATTCGAGTCGTGCCCCGCGAAAGCTCACCAAGCCAGCCGCTCACGGGCTGCTGCTTGAGGAGGTGCAGTGCCATCTCGTGCAGCTGCGGGTGCGCATCCCACCGCGCCTCGACGACGGTGTCCGGCGAGAGGGTGGACGCCGCCGCGTGCTGCTCGAGCTTGTGCTGTTCGCGCCCCAGGAGCGTCTACTCACATCGTTGCGACGGTGTGCATTGGGGCGGTCTGCACTGGCGTGCTAGGCTAGGGGCGGCCTCAAACTCAGGCAGCGACATGAGGCTCGAGGTGCTGCGCGGACTCGACTGGTTGAGCGTGGCGACCTGCAGCTCCACATCGGCAAGGATCGACCGCAGCGCGCCCAGCTCCCACGCGCCCAGCTCCCCGCGCAGCGAGCCTGAGAGGGGGGGGGGGGGGGGGCATGCAAATGTGTCCCTAGTAGCGGTGAGTAGTGCGATGTGCGAGTAGTCCCCGTGCTGAGCGCCTCGCAGCAGGACTGGCCGCTGCCGGGCAAAGTGCTCCCTGCCGAAGCTCTCTACCGTGAGGTTCTCGCGCACGTCAACATCGCACCGCACCCGCGAGAGGTCCTCGCCCTCCACCACCGGCACCGAGCGCGGCCTGCCCCACTCACTGGGCGCTTGGGGTGTGCGATCGATGAACGACGGTGAGAAGCGCGACGAAAATTGGCTCTTCTGGTCGCCGTCTCCCGCACCTCGCTCAGTCAGGTTGCAACCGGATCCCATCCCACTCCCACACCCGTTCAGCGTCGCCCCGAGATCGTCGTAGCCAGCATAGATGGCGTGATCGCCCGCCGTGTGATCAAATATATCCCGTGTGCCTGCGTCGGCCTGCGCGCCAAGAAGCAGCCGCACGGCCGGGCCATTACCTAGGCGGGCAGCGTAGTGGAGCGCAGTGCGCCCCAATGGGTCTGCGGCGTCGACGTCGGCCCCGGCCTCCAGAAGTGTGTCGACGAACTGGGCATTCCACTCAAAGATTTCGGCGCGCAGCGCAGCTGAATCGATGTGCGTGTAAGAGTCGTCGTACAAGCTAGACGTGGAAGACATATTATACGTCTTGACCGAATCGTGTGCGCACTTAAAGCTAGAGCTGTCCACGTAGTGGCTGGAGTGCCGAATCTTCCACTTCGACGCGGTGATGAGGACGTTCGAGGCATCGGTGGCCTCGTGAAGTGCAGTCCTCATGAATCCTGGTGAAGCCGTCACCGCCGCGCCAGGGCGTAGAAGCTGCTGCAGCGCGAAGAGGTGTCGCGCCTGCACCGCCGCCACCACCAACGACCGGCTAGCCCCGTCTGTCGCGCTGATGTCGAGCGACGGGTGCGCTAGGAGCTCGTGGACGACGCGGTCATGGTCATGATCTGCGCACTTATTCCTGTGGAAGCTGGTCTGCTTCTGGGACCACTGGTCGAGGGCGATGTGCAGCGCCGTGTCCCCACCCGCGGTGCGGCCGTTGACGTCAGCACCGGCGAGCAGCATGATGCTAACCACGTGTGCCATCCCGAAGAATGCATTGCGAGTGAGAGCAGTCAGGCCGGAGGAGTCTATCGGCTCGCCCTCGACAAGCCGTCGGAGCAGTCCGGCACGCTTTACGGCGCGAGCAAAGAAGTTGCGGTCCATTTCGATCTCACCCCCGCGGCTGGCGTGTCCGAGAGATTGCCACAAGAAATCTTCGAGGGGCTGCAGGTCTTCCTCCTCGAGGGTTGGAGTCACCACGGCGATCTCCTGCAGCAGGCAGTCGGGGAGGGGCAACTCGCCCGTTTTAGCCCTGGCGACTGCATTGCGCACCAGGCGGCCCAGGAGGCGCGGATGTTGCGAGGCGGCGATGTGCCACATCTTCATCGCCAGCCGCAGCGGCTTAGCACTACTGTACTGCGCGCTCCACAGCAAGACTGGGGACGGGACGACACCAGCGCGGCCAGCTCTCTTGCCGAGCTCAGGTCCACCAACCATGCGGTCGCTCACTGCCGTTCTCCTGACGCCAGGAGCTGACGGCCGCGCCCAGCGATTCGCGCAGAGCTTGATTGCGCCGGCGAGCAGGCAAACCCCGGTCGCGAGGCACAGTTGCACAGGTCCAAATCGGCGCGAAGGCGATGCCGCCGCAGGTGCCGGTTTGCTTCTGCCGCTCACCGCCCGCTTGCGCTGCACCTTGTCCTTTGACATCTCTGCGCTGAGGATGAGACTGTGTTGGCAATCTGAAGTTGACTTTTACGATCTTTTAAGTTATCAACGCGTTGTTTGATCTCGCGATCTCCCGCTAACGGATCTTACCCCACTGAAACCTCTCTTGAGCACTTGAGCACGGATAGGGTCGATTCCGCCTGGTAGGCGACCCCCCTCTCTTTAAGGTCGTATTGCTAAAAATCTCTTTCTCGGGTCCGAGGGCAGCCTCAACTGGAGTAGGGAAATTTGGATTTTGGTCAAACGCCTGCTGGGGGCAGCTTCGCGGAAGTATTCCGGAAGCCAGATGATCCCCCAGCAGGCACACACACACGGAGGTGACAGGGGATGGTGGTGGGTTCAAGCAAAGAAGGGGAGGGAGAGAGCGACGCGGCGAGCGCAGGCGGCGAGCGTGCACGTCGCCTGTGCGGCGTCTTGTTCACTCCCCTTTGAGCTACCTTTGTGCCCCCTTAGGGGCACCCCTCCTGCGCTGCGCGTATGGTCACCCCTCCCTTCCGCCCTGTTGTTTTGGATGCCCCGCTCCGAGAAAGCGTGTCTCGCAGCTGCGAGAAAAGACTCTCTCTTCGGACGAAACGAAAGAAAGAAAACCCCGGAGGACGGCACGGCGCAGTCCCCTCGCAATGCTCGCAGCGACACCTCTTCATGCGCATACCGGCGCAAGACACACACAAGAACAGGCAAGCGTTCGCGCTAGCCGTTGCCGCCCCACCCCTGTCCCCTCTCTGCTCTCACACACAAGAACACGCGCAGAGCTCGCAACGCAACAGCGTGCGGGCAATACCAACTAGCATGCATGTGTGCGACCACACCGCAGGCGCCGCAGCCCCCATAGAGTCCTCGAGCTTCCCCGTACACGTACCGAGAGCGGCCACGTTTACTCGAGAGCGGCCTCAGCAGCTCCACTATGAGCGCGGTGCCGCATCCGCCGCCATCCTGGCAGCGGCAGCCTTTGCCCTCGCAGCGGTAGTGGCCGCGCGCCTCTCCTTGGCGGCGGACAACGCCGCCGCCAGCGCCGCCTCGGCCGCCGCCTCGACCTTCTTGGGCCGAGCCGAGCAGCGGGGCGTTGCCAGAGGAGGTTGCGCTGGCGGCTAAACGAGGCGATGACGAGGCGGTGCACAGTGCCGATGGCAAGACCGCGCTGCAGTGGGCCCCGCTTCTCACTGCCCCGGCGCCCACGCCTCGACCTTCTTGGGGACCTTCTTGGGCAGCAGCTGGTAGGACAGGTCCTCCCCGTGGCCTAGGCAGCCGCTCTCGCCCTTGCCCCACGTGAAGACGGCGCCATCGTCGATGATGGCGGTGCTGTGCAACATTCCAGCGGATACAGCGACGACGCGCTGGTCAGCGAAGGCCTCGACCTTCTTCGGCAGCAGCTGCATCGCCTCGTCGCCGTGGCCCAACTTGCCATCGCGTCCACCGCCCCAGCTCCAGACTGCACCACCGGCGGTGAGGGCGAGGCTGTGCTGACCTCCAGTAGACACAGCGACGACGCGCTGGCCAGCAAAGGCCTCGATCTTCTTCGGCAGCAGCTGGTTCTGCTGGTCGCCGTGGCCTAGTCGGCCAGAGGCTCCATAGCCCCAGCTCCAGACGGCGCCGTCAGCGGTGAGGGCGAGGCTGTGGTACTCTCCAGCCGACACAGCGACGACGCGCTGGCCAGCAAAGGCCTCGATCTTCTTGGGCTGCCACTGGTTCTGATAGTCACCGTGGCCCAACTTGCCAGCGCTTCCACGGCCCCAGCTCCAGACAGCTCCGTCGGCGGTGAAAACGAGGCTGTGCACGGCTCCAGCCGACACGGCGACGACGCGCTGTCCAGCAAAGGCCTCGATCTTCTTCGGCAGCAGCTGGCGCTGCTGGTCGCCGTGGCCCAGCTGGCCAAAGGCTCCAAAGCCCCAGCTCCAGACGGCGCCGTCGGCGGTGAGAGCGAGGCTGTGGGCTGCTCCAGCCGACACAGCGACAACGGGCTGGCCGACAAAGGCCTCGACCTTCTTTGGCTGCAGCTGGTTCTGCTGGTCGCCGTGGCCCAAGCAGCCAAAGGTTCCACCGCCCCAGCTCCAGACCGCGCTGTCGGCGGTGAGGGCGAGACTGTGGTACTCTCCAACCGACACGCTCACGGCGTGCTCGCCGCCCAGCGTAGAAGAAGGGAGGCGCGTCGGCGTGTTGAGCCGCGTCACGCCCTCGCCGTGACCGAGGAGCGATGGACTGTAGGACGGCGCTGAGCCGCACGACGAGAGCCGCCCCTCGCCGTCGATGAAGAGGCTGTGGTAAGTGCCTGCCGCAGCCCTCGCCGGCGGGTTGGACTCGCGCAGCAGCGCCGAAAAGCACAGCCACCGCACAGCGCAGCTCTCGCCCGCCGGCTGCGCCGGCAGCTCGAGGCCGCGCACTTGCGCCCACAAGCGGATGCCCTCCAGCGCAAGCGAGGCGTGGAAGAGCAGCGAGACGGCCGCGACGCGAGCGATGTCGGCGGGGTCGCAGCGAGAGAGGGCGCGCACGAGGAGCTCCGTGGGGAGGTCGAGGAGGCGGATGGGCGGCGGCGTGCTGGGCGAAGGTGCGGCGGAGGCGGCGGCGGCGAGGCGGCGCGAGGGGCGCCGCGGGGCAGACATCGCGAGAAAAGAATTTTCCCGGCCCTCCAAGTGCTTCCGAGGCAAGACACCGAGCGCGGTCAGGCTGGGCACAAGCCGCGGGCGGCGCGGGCGCGGCGGCCGCGGCCGCGGCGGCGGCGGCGGCGAGGTCAAGAGCAACAAGAAGGACTGGGCGAGCGTCGCCCGCGGAGCCGCCCGCTCCTCCTACGACGGCGGCCCACGCCTCGAGTCGAACGAGCCCTCCCTCTACGAGGGGAGCGACGAGGATTTCTAGGAACGGCCGCCGAGCCCTTCCCGCAGCGCAACCCTAGCAGCGCAGCGGGCAGGGCGGCTCGCGCAGCGCGCGCGCGCGCGACCGCGAGCCGCACGCGAGCACGCACGCGAGCGAGCGAGCGAGCGAGCGAGCGAGCACACACACACACACACACACACACACACACACACACACACACACACACACACACACACACACACACACACACACACACACACACATGTTGTACACATGCACAGACACACAGCCCCTTCCCCTTCCTCAAGGGCGAGGACACGCGCAGGGGTCGCACTTCTAGCGAGGCCCACAGAGTGGGAGACTCCTATCACCGCCACTGCCACCCACGTGTCAGTCTGCCTGTGGTAGAAGAGACTGCCGGTGAGAAGTCGGAGGAAGGTCGCTAGTCGAGAGAGATCGCCAGTGGATAGGGAGTCCACCGTGCTGCGAGCCTGTCGCTGTCCCTTGTCAGGAGCAGGAGAACTAGGAGAGCGCAACCAGTAGGAGGCCCGCGCTTGCCCCCGTGCCGCCGGGTGCAACCTGTCCTATACGAGAGAGGAATCCCTGGGACCCTGTCGTGAGGGTGAACCCCCTGCCCAGCCCCCCTCCGTGTCGCGATGCGCTCCCCGCTCCCGTTCCCCTGTGTCCCTGATCGTCCTACAAGATCCTGCTCGTGCAGGTGGGGACCCTGTCCTTCTCCCACCCCTCGTTTGGCGTGTCCGTTGTATTTATTTATTTATTTATAGAGGCAAGACACCCCGGAGTGAGAGTAAGGAGACCGCGGAGGGGGGTCCGGAGTGGTGAGGCGCCGGGGGTGGGTGGGCGTCGTGTCCGTGTCTGGTGTTTACTAGCTCCGAGTAGAGGGGGCGTTCTGCTGCTAGGGGAAACCCGGAGCGCGGAGCTAACCCTCGGAGACCCGTGTTTATTTTATGGCCCTTTCCCTGCGAACGCGCACCCCCCCTTAGGGGTCAGGGCTCTCTTGCCCGTAGCCCGATACCGATCATCCGGCCCGCTGGGTGCGCTTCTTAGCTCCCCGGCCCTGGATGTGAGGTTAATGACTGCACTCCAAGTGCTCCAAGTGCTCCCGTCGTCTCGCGACACGCGAGAAAAAGGAAGCCGCTGTGCGCCGCCCTCGGTGTTTTATTCCCTTTCGGGCACGGATTCGAGGTGCCATGACGCCGCTGCGAGAATTGGCGACAGACTGCGACGAGAGATAGGGCGAGGCAGACGGCCATCAGCGCACCCTCTCTGCGGGCGGATGCGGCGGCGCGGCGGGGTGGAAAAAAGAAAAATGCGGTTATTATGGATGCGCGTCGCTTTTCTTCTCTAATCGAGAGTCATCACTGCCATCGCCACGCGACAGCTCTTCCGGGCTGCGCCCAGCACCGCGTGTCGATCGCTCACCAGATGACGCAGCTCCGCCGCACGCTTGTCGCTCTTTGCGCATGCCG